AGTTGATATCTTAGTCCTCGCAAATTCAAAAGACCCACATTAATCCATTAAAAGGACTAAAATAATTCCACTTTGAATTTCATAGAGACCAGCCGACTAATTTTGTTTATAAAAGACTAAAGTGAGGACCATATATTTTGTTAAGTACCCAAAAAAAGCTTTTTACTCTTCATTTTATGTACGAAAAGGATGTTCGCCGACCATTTATCACATGCACACTTGTAATATCAATGAGATTAAAATGCTTATGTTTATTGAGTTAGAAGTGAGTGCTGAGACCGAGTAATATAGTCTTTTGTCTTTGTCAACAATTTTTTGGAAAAAAAAATATAATTTTACATTTTTTTAAAAATATTTTATATTTTTCCAAAAATATAAAATATTTTTTTATCAAAATGGGAGAGTTTGCAAAATGTCCATTGCGTGGAGCCTGATACTGCTGCCGTATGCACAAATTCGCATTGCGTGTTGCTGCATCTCCATGAATCATCACAATAACAATAATTCATCAATGCACAAATCCACAAACAATTATCAATAACACTTTAGTTGGAAACAACAATAACTTTACCAACAATAATTGAGTAAAGAATACGAAAAGACAACTAACTATAAATAGCATTAAAATAATGATATATTGCAAAACACTGAATGATTATTCCTTTTAATTGAGTAATTAATAATAATAAATAATTATTATTTTTTTGCAAAAATTGTGGTTTTTTCAACAATATAAATTATTTATGTTTCTTAAAATTAAACATTACGCTCAAGCAAAGTTTAATACATATTTTTCATTGTGAATGTCCCAATTGACATAAGTCGATTGAACTTCATACGTGACTATTGGGTATTGACATACCAATTAATCCTGATCGGTATAATAATTATCATAGGTTGCTCCCAACATATGATAATCTTATAAACACTATAAAATACGACTAATATCGGAGACAAAATATATTACCTACTAAATAAGGAGAGTCAGGTGATTCATTCTCCATAATATCAAAATCAACAAAAAATCAAATCCGTTGGTAGAAATAATAACATTAATAGTCGATTTAACATTCGTCCTCAAGTTGAAAGACAGACGATATAGTTGCCATGGAATTATCACTATTTAATCCAACTCCAATTTTATTTTATTTTTTGATAAAATAGACATCTCCCTCACGAACTTGATGAAAGATCCACTTACCACCAAACAATTTTAGAATCTCTTACCACAAAATCTTAACCTTTGATTTTCGACAATAAACGATTATAAATTGTTGGATCACGCTTATTAATTAATCATTCATTTTCAATGAATTATAACCGTTAGAATGACGAAAATCAACGGTTAAGATTTGATGGCAATAGATTGTAAAACATTTTGGTGGTAAGTGGATCGTCTCTCCACGAATTTTATTCTAGACTTGTAAAGAACTTTTCACATTAGCATTATTAAAAGTTATTTTTTAAAGCTTCTAACAAAATAATCTTTGGTTCGTTTTTAGACCCAAAAAATTAATAAATTCTAATAAACATAATCATAAATATTATTAATAGACTTAATAATATTCAATATACAAAGTAATAATAAATATTATTAGTAGGTTTAATAATTTTGAATGTAGAAAGTAGTGGTTGTGTTCCAGTAAAGAATACAGTTGTTAAAAAAAATATAGTTGTTTGCCCACTAACTTTACTCCTATGAGCATAGGGACAGTACATGAAAAATGGAACCCTGTATCTTTTTGTCCCCTTTTTTTCTATATAGGAAATTCAAGGGCGAAACGCCTTCTGTTTCCATCTCATATGTTTTGGAGACTCCATTCATTCCCAAAAGTATTTTAGCTGGCATTGGTTCCTGTGCCAATGCATGAAGTGATTTGGAAATATCATATTATTAAGATTTTAGATAATTCATATTATCATGATTAGGAAAATTAAAATGAGATTAATTCTACATAAAAACAAAAATATTAATCACTTTTTGTTAAATTGCTAACTAAATAATCTGTTGTTAAAACATGTCTTTAGAGGTGTAAATGAGTCAAGTTAGACTAGACTTTGACTTTAATAGTCTAAATTTATACAAAATATTTAAAGTCTAAACTGGCCTATTAGCCTATTAAAGACTTGATTTATAGGTTTGACCAGACTTATTATAAAAAATTAAAAAAACCTAACATGGCCTAAAAGGCCTATCAAGTTGCAAATTAAAGTTTATAAGCCCAAACTCAACTAAAATATAAAAGATAAAATTTCTTTTTCACAAAGGTCAATGAAATAATATTTTCATTAACAACACATGAAATAATATTTTCATTAACAACACATGAAATAATGTTCATAAAAATCACATGAAAAAGTTCATAAAGATCAAATGAAAAAGTTCATAAAAATCACATGAAAATTTCACACATATATATATATAAACCCCATATACTTTTATGTATATATAAGAAATAAAATTATCCCTTACAACATGAGAAATTCTAATCTCTTTATTTATTTTCTTTTTTGGCATGTCATCACAAATAAGTATATAACAATATTTTTTTAACAAATAATATATTTAGGTAGAATGAGATATGTATTTATATGTGAACGAGTGAACGATTTAAAATATATACATGATTCAACTATACAGCTTGCATCTCTCTAAAAAAAAGTACAATTGTGAGATCCTATTAGCCTAGATTTACTACATAGAATGGCACCATCGGTCTTATCTTTAGTTGGTCTGTCTTCTTGAATTTATACTAAATCTTCATCATCCCCTCTTTTACATGCTTGTTCCTTTCAATATGCAATCAATTTCTTATCTCTTTTGAAGAACATTTTTGCTTGGATCTTTCACAATTGATCTCACTCGTGTTGTATACCTGAATCAGCATTAAAATATTAAGGTAGATTGTTAGAACATGAGGGAGAGAGAGAAACTATTAAATATTTGAAAGTCAAACTTTTTTTTATTAAATTCAAAAAAAGATAATAAAGATGAAAGAAACATACATGAGATAGTTATGTGTCTCATCCAAATTTGATTATGCTGGAGATACGTTCACAACCATAAGAGTTTTGCCATTATCCCCAAGTGAATCACTCATCAACATTGTTAACTTATGATTTCTACAAGGTATGTGTTGACCATAGAAAGGAAGACGAAGCACTGATAACATCTCCTAGAGCTAATAATGATTTGTTGATACTTTAAGCTTCTTTGAGTTGATTACCCATGGAGCCGTACTTTTTTACCCTTTCTGAACCAGCAAGATCCACAAAACTCAGTTGTATGACAAATCCAACAACAAAATAAGTAAATGTCCACAATACTTGTAATTTATAAAATCATGTTTCAAATTATTGCACAATAAAGGAATATGATACACTTTTATTCAAAAGTAAAGTACAAAGCAACACCTAAATAATGCATTTACCCGTGCAACTAATTGACTTTAAAGATTAGTACTTTCAACTACAATTGATAATATAAGATGAGATATTGAACTTTTTTTATTCATTTGTGTCTTTGATGTATGTCGTCATTCAGATTCCCTCTGTATCCGCAGTAGAAATTGATACAACTGTTATGTTTGGTAGTCAAGTTTTTCCACAGTTACCATTCCTTGACAGAAGAGTAAAGCAAGAAAGATACATACATGGTCATCCCAAACTTTGATATTGTTGATGATAATAACGCTCTTAGCAGGGTTTATCCCGGTACCAGTAATTGGTATGGTGGTCAAGTGAATCATAAAAATAGCTAACATTGCACTCGAGCCAAAACTTGCGCAACTAATGATATATTAGATAATGCAGAAGAATAGCTTCAGAAGATGGAAAAAAATATGCACAAAAACTGATTATCAAAGAAAAATATATAGTAACACATATCCTATTTATACATGAATAATTTCATTTTTTAAACTTTTTAATGACAATTAATAGGGTTAATAATTACTCACGCAGAAATTTATGAGATATTAATACAGCTGGTTGACACCAAAAAATGATGAACTCTTTTTCCACCTATTAAGTTTAAATTTTCAATATGAATAATTACTAAAAGAGAAAAAGTTTCAAAGTGGTTTAAGTATGAACACAAAGTGGATATTGAAGGAGAGAGCGACACATCGGCAAATTTTTCAAAGAATATTTCTCAATTAGAATAGAATAGATTATCATGTGTTAAATAACATCTTTTCCCTAGACATGCACATCCCAGAATATACGATACGCAGAGATGTGACATATTTATCATTAATTTAATTTAAGATATATCATAATTTTAAGGGATAAAATATTGTTACTACTAATTAGTATTACTATCAATGTCACTGTCAGTTTGTTTCACCATTAGATCGATTATGTTGATCCAATGGTTATATTTATTTTCACCTTTATATGATTATGATTTTTCATATTTAATGTGAAAGCATTATATATAAGGAATCATAACCATATAAAGGTAAAAATAAATATAACATATTAAATATAAGGAGAGAAAGAAGATTTTTAGAAAATTAAATTAAAACTGTTAGATCAACATAATCAATTTAATAATTAAACAAACTGGCACTAATTGATAATAACAATATCGTATCTTTAATTTTAATTCATCAAACTTAAAGTTAAATGTGTCTTTGCTTTTAATTTAAAGACATTCATTTTTCTATCCCGAAGGAGGGAATGAAAAAGAGAAAATGATCAATGAGTAAAAGAGTGTACGAGAAAGTGGCGTAGAAATAACATTACTCACTACTCGGGATAAAATGATTGCATTTGTATGCGAATAAAAATGGCAATCATTTCTTGAAGGCCAAATATCCCATTTGTCTTCGTCTAAAGCACTAAATTTCTGCAACTACCTACCTTGAGAGTATAAATTACAATGACTCCAAATACACCATACAAGATGTCATATAGATCTGAACAATAAAAATGGACCAAAGAAAAACTTTGAATAAAAACAAAATTTATGAAAACTACGTTTAAACAAGGAATCATTGAATTACAATATAAAAGCGTATCGACCTTTAGGTCATAACAACACCAGAGCAAAAAATACACTAGTAGAAGATATCAAATAGTGAAGGCTGGACACTTGTAAGTTCCTACTTGCTCCAACAGAACCTAGAGGTCCAAGTGCCGTAGAAGATGAACTCCCTCCACCAGTGCTTGAGTTAGAACTAATATCAAAATATTCAATGGCCGGATCAGATTTAAAAATTCTAACAATTACTTGTAAGTCTAATTCATAATGTATATAACAAGAGTCATATTCTCACCTTCCCGCATATATACAGGATCCATAACCTGCAACAAATTGAAGTACCCACCATTAATTGCTTAACTCTCTTCCTACAAGTCCTCGACACGAGGACATGATAATACTCAGAAGTAAACATTTCAGTGATAAACACAAAAGAATGAAATAGAAACTTTAAATATCATGATTCATGACACATTTGCAATTTTACGAGATAAATCTTTGAGTCCACCACTAATTTCTACCCCTTTTGGGCGTTTCTATGTTATGCACTCCAAGTTTATCAGTGTCAGGTTGCAATAATAAGACATTTCTAGGAGGACTCTTTAAGTTCAAGGAGGTTTTATTCTCCACCTTGAGAATTACATATAATAACACACTGCCCAAAAAAAATGACTTGACTTCTGAAGCCATGGTTTTACTCATCGGTCGGGATTGTTCTTATCCAGGGAAGCGGTGTTATTGAGTTCCTACAACTGTAAATGAGAAAGCGTGTAATATGAAAAGCACATGGTTATATATGTTTGACATATATCTTTGACAGCACAGAGGAATAACTTGAAGTGTTACAAAAGTAACATACCATAAGATAGGAGTTAAAACAGAAAATAAAAAGCTTCACGGACTTACTAGGATCCTTGGTAATTGTTGTAGCCGTACCATCGAAGTCACATGTTCCGCCAGCATTATGCATTTTTTGATAATAATCATTGTAAGCATAAGAGGCATGGCTTTTCACATTATTGGGGAAATAGCACGGTCGCCCTGCTTGAATAGCAGCACAGTTTGCATGGCCTTGTCCACAAGCCCAGTTGATGCCAGCTTGCAGCTTATCAGTGTCTGCACCATCTTTTGCTACACAAAAAAATGCTGAAGAATTTCCACTATGGTTAGAAGCACTAAAACTCAAAGGATAAACAGTACTTCCATTAGTATAAAAAACGCCCCAATTTTTTTCTGATATAGGTCCATTCCTCTTGTCTTCATTAAACAATTCATATATGTAGGTATTAATGGCTATCTTTGGCTGACTGGGGGGACCAGAATCATTGAGGACTCTACGAATCAAATTATTGTTATAGGTCTCAGCATTCTCTACAGTAGCATCTTGTTCTTTTGCTCCACCAAAACTTGGCCAGCCTGTCTCTGTGACGATAATGGGTATATTATTGAAATTGAAGGCTTGAATAGAATAATAGGTAGCATCCACCATAGCATCAAACATACTGTTATAGTGGAAGAGTGTGTTCGGGTCAACAATTTGCTTCACTGAAGGAAGGGATTGGAATAGAGCATATTCAATTGGGAAAATGCCGTCTCCTTTAGTATATCCATAATAAGGATAGGCATTCAGCATGTATGAGGAATTTGTGTTCTTCAAAAACTGAAGGAGTTGGTAGATTGTAGAGTTCCATGAAGAGTTAAAGGTGGCAGTTGAAGGAGGAAAAGGCCTAGGGATTATATCCATGTGCTGGGGAGTTGAAATTTTAACCCGGAAGTTAAGGTCTGCAGCAACCAGGGCTTTGTGAAGATAATTCATGGCAGGAACCAGAACAGGGGCAACATTTGGAATTGAGGTCAGAACCTCACTGCCAACTGCTATTGCTGTGATATTAGTTGACGGCATGTAAGCAGCTACATTTTTATTAATCCAGGCTGCAGCAACTGATGGAGATTCTCCAATCCTTAGTATCTCCTCGTCGGTAACACCAACAATCACTTGAATACTAGTGTTTGAGAGGGCTTGTAGCATGTGCGCATTGGCATCAAATAGACGCACATGAGTAATTTGATGGGCTTTTAGAATAGCAACCACATTTGAAGCAGATGGCATATCAGAAACATCAGTTCCAATGTTTACCCCCACAAATGCACCTACATAATACATATTCAAGAATTTGATTCAACATCAATTGAGAAAATATGATAGACATTCAATTGTCTCTACCTTACATCTGCATTCACATTTTGCTTCTCTTTACGGCACTCTAATCCAGTTACAAAAATAACTAAGCAGAAAAATGTATCAGACATATTGTCAATATTTTATGGATGGAAAAAAACGACACAACTTTGCGTCATTTTAGATCAAATGTCTTTTATCTAAAATGGCACAAAGTTATTCGATTTAAAATGACAAATACTTTTTCCTTTATTATTGTAATAAAAGCAAAATTTTCAACCTTTGCTTCTAACTATTAAGCTAAATCAGACAATGCAAGAAACAACTCTTGATCTGTATATAATAAATGGCACGTGGAAATGTAGGAGACTTAGCAATCAGCGAAACTAACAATTTATAGACAGAATAACTCCAGATTCATAAAGCTATTGCAATGAAAAGTTTCAGTTTTAGACTTAACCCGATGGGAATGTCCTTTTACGAAGGAAAAAAAAGAAAATCATGAGAATACATGACTAGACTATCAGGCATTTTATTTTGACTCAGAAAATGGTTGAGATATATTTTAAAATAAAAAATGATCTGATCATACAGTCTTTACAATTTAAAAGCCATCCTGGAGAAATTTTCAATATAGAATGTCATTCTCCTAGATGCTTGTGATAAGAAATTTAATAGATGCATATTGATTGACAAAGGAAATAAGAAAAAAGAAGCTGAAATTACCTAACGCATTGCTAAGCGCGGCAACAGTGAGCAATAAAACACTGGTGAGCCACTTTTTAAGCTTCATCCCATCCAATATTGCTGCGAGGCAAAGCCTTAAGTATGAAAGATTCAGCAATCAACTAAAATTGCAAAGTAAATAACAGTTTAAATAGAGTGAAGAGAGTAATTTAATAAATAATTAAAATTGAAAAAATACAGATGAAAACAGGGAGAGAAAACTCAGATGCAAGATTTTTATGGTTGTATGTTAATATAGGAAGAAGCTAACCAAACAATGATTTACATACATGGTAAATAGTAGATAGCTGATCTAGCTAGCTAGCTTGCCAAAACCAGCACTAAGTGGTAGGAAGGAAAAAAAAACCAACCTCATTTCATATCATATGCAATGGCAGCTTCACTTATTCACTGTTAATCACAGTTTTTGAGTTGAGTTGAATTAAGTCGTCTGCCCTTTCCTTTCAAAACTTTATTTGAAAATTGAGACTAATGTCTTGCCTGCCTTTACCATTGATTTTCGCTCCTTTCTTTTCTTCTCCTATTACTAATCACAATGTCCCGTATACCAAAAAAACAGTACAAGAACCGAAAGGTCAATGACGCGTTACAACTTACAATATTATTACCACTCTTTACTCGTTTCGGTCTCTGTCTCTGCCTCTCCCTTTCCTTCCTAACCTATACAACTCAGTTGAATTATCGCAATTTTAAAAGCGTAAATTATTACCAAGGTTCACTTACATTAGTTTTAAAAAATTAAATATTATTACATTAATATAATTAAATAATTAAACTTTGAATTGCTGATGTATTAAATATTTTTTATACGTGTCTTTTAAGGTATTTACAAGCAAATATCTTTATTACTATGTAATAAATTGTCTACACTTATTATTAGATTATTCTTTTATACCATCCCCTAAGGCCTAAATCGTGTCCGTGTTCCTCGGAGCCAAAGCAAAAGAAGTGAAGCCGAGCCACATTCAAAATTCAATTAACCATTAAAATTCATTGCCAAGAGCTGTTGGATGCATGACTGCAAGAGATATTCACATTAATATTAATAAAGAATAGTATGAATATATTTTTATTATTGGCTGAAAAGTGCGAATAAGGTTAAGTAAAGGAAATTTTAGGGCCACAATGAGAACCGAAGAAACCCTCCTTAGTTGTAAAGCGCATAAAGCACCGCACTGCGCACTGATCCCTATCAAAGTATCGAGCGTCAAAAAGTGCTTTTTATTCTTCTTTACTTTTTCTCCACTTTACTCGTCAGTAGCATCATGCCCCTCAATTAAGTCTACTCAAATTACAAATAAATAATGCTGCTTGCATTCGCAATATGTGGCCGCAAAGGAAGTAAAATGACAGTGTTTTCTACTCTTTATTTTTTTTTTAAAAAAATAAGAAAAAAAGAAAGTGTTTTCTTATTTTTTTAATGGAAAATAAGAAATGCCGGAGTATTTTGGAAACAAAGAATGCTGTTGCTTCCAATTTAAACAAAGACGACTAAAATTTATAAAAAAAACTGTAGACACCTCATTTATTTTAAATTTGAGAGTCTAACTATGTTTAAGAAATTGTAGAACCTAAATTTCATTACAGATTTAACTCCCGAGTCCTGACCGCCTAACAAAACAACATCTACCCTTTTTTAAATCGAGGAGAAAAAAATAAATCTGGTATCACCTGCATTGTGAGCGGCTTCAACTCCTCTTGTCTACTTACACTTCACTAAATACCCTCTCGTGGTCTCTGGTTGAAGGTTTAACTCAATGACCAAATCATTCAACACGAAAATTATGAGATGACCTCAAATCTACTACGACGATGACCATCATTTTAGGATTGTGCCTCATTACCCCATAACTTCAGGGACATTGTTTCGTTAACCCCAGTCCCCTGCCAAGCCACTCGTTCAATTGTAATGCAATGGTGTCTTCTTCTGTCCTTTCTTTTCCACTTGGTAAGGACTTCCCAACCCTTGGTCTCGGGTTCCAACCCTTTATCCTCTCGTAGAGAGCCTCTTGCAATTGGGTCCAACATGACCGATCCATTACCTGATTCCTATCTTTTATCTTTTGTGCCATTTTCATCGACATATTCAAGTTCTACAAACCCAACCACCGAACTTCAGCCTTAAACTTCGCTCCTCAACCGATTTATGAATGTTCCCTAAATAAACTCTTCAATTGAAATTTTTAATATTTTTAATATTTAGCGTAAAGTAAATTAACTAAGTTTTTTTATTAAAATAAACTCGCGTTTATATCCAACTATATGCATTGTCGGTAAAAATCATCATTGGCAAATTCGCACCATAGAGCAATAGTATCCTACATAAACAAAGTATGACTCCGCGACTTTTTGAAACAAACGATCGTGAGAAAAAATAACTTTGACGACCCAAAACACCACAACGAGCACATTTACAGACAACACCAAAGCATATACATGGAAAAATACTAACAAATTCCATATCAATATCCAACTAAAACCAGATGGAAATAGTAACATTTCAAAACAATATCCAACTAAAACTAAACTTTTCGTACGATGTTTAATTCAAGAAACAACTCTGATATATGAAACCACAAATTAAAATCCAACTCCATTGTATCAGAGTGGAGCGAACAACAGAAGTAATTTGCTGAATATTCAAACAAAATCCAGATCTAATAGTCCAACGCAAGTCTCCTCTCATTCTCACTGACTGGGGGACCTACCACGGGCTGATTCCCTAACATCAAGGTTTGGACTTGGACTTCTGCTCCGACCTGGGCCCTTCCCTGGACTCAGACTACGACTTCTTGGGCCCCCATTATAGGGTGGAGAGCGTGAGTATGACCTCTCTCTACTATGCTGTGAATATGATCTTTCTCGACTGTATCTTCTGTCCTGAGGTGACACAGACCTAAAAAACAGGCAACGATTCAAACAAGGGCAAGGAAACTGACTTATTTGTCCTGCCGCCCAGAATAGCTGGTTATTGCAACCAAGGCCTTATCAAAAGGACCAAAGCAAACCTCAACCGCGTTTTTTGGCCAGAATAAACCGTAATTCAAGAAACAACACAAATACTGCACAACATTTTACTTTGGCCGAAATTACAACCAGCATTAAATAAGAACCGAATAAAAAAATGACATCATTTGACACAACCACATGCAAAAAAAAAAGGTGATTAATTATTACTGGCCAGATACCTTGAATATTCCCTTCGTTTGGGAGGAGGGGAATAATAGTCACGACTGCGAGAGCGAGATCTATGACGTGGTGGTGGGGATCGGGAGTAGCGGGGCGAACGAGACCTTCTTCGATCAGAAAAGCGACCCCTATGAAGGCATTTACATTAAAAAATAGACAATCAGAACTCCACCTAACCTCTTTAGCTGCAATGAGCAGAAACTTAAAAAGGCTGCAGCATAGACCAATTTTAGGACATTATAAATTTGACTAGTAGTACAGTATAGTTGTAGCTATTGATGGTTGGACTTCTTGTAAAAGAGAAAGGGTAGCAGCATCAACAATATCTGCAATACTTTTCAAACAACAAACACCAGCGGAGCATTTCATTTATACCTCATTGTGTGAGAAAAATAAAATGCCCTCGTGAAATGTGACCATAAATACCAACATTTAAGATCAGAGAGCAAAAGAGCCTAATGAGAGCTCAGCTTATCTCTGTTTATGCGTGAATAGATCATAAGTTCATGTGTCCTGAAGAAATTCATTCAAAATCAAATCAATAATTGGTAACGTAACCAAATAAATAGGTAAAACGTACCTTCTCTCTCTTGTCCTCATCTCAGTTGGCTTCTTTCTATTCTCCTCAGCAAATACCACAGTTAACTCCCGACCAAGAAGAATTTGGCCATCCATGTGATATTTAGCATCAGCCGCATCAGCAGGATCCACATATTGGACAAAACCAAAACCACGGGGTTCTCTGCAAAAACAGAAAAATGGGCAAACACAAGGAAAATCCAGCATACGATCAAAAAAGGGAGCAGGCTCAATTAGATACCAAATAGCGATGAGAGCTGTATGAGGGAGTAAAATTTTACTAACAAAAAGTTGCCGAAATAGCCCCCAATCACATGGAAGGATAGGATAATAAAGCAAGCACTAGGCTGCTGACCTTTGTGTCAGTTTAAAGATCAGTTGAAAATCTTCAAGACTTGGAACATCTTCATAATGTAATCAAAGTCAAGTTGCTTGAAATCTTCACTACCAATAACATCTTCTACTTACTTGATTGATGTCTTCAAAACTCTTAAATCACTGCTAAACCTAAGAAACTGACTATTACAATAGTAGCAGTCTCAAATAAACAGCCCCGAGATAAAAACAAGAATGGAGAGCAAGGAGCTTAGAAGCCCTAATTCAAATGTTGTATGTTTAAAAAAGTTGAAAAGGAATGAAAAGGAAAACTTAGCGCACACAGGAGAGCAAGATGAATGAAAAGATAAAATAATAATAATAATAATAATAATAATAAGAAATAAGATTGGTAATGGTAATGGTCACACACCCAGTATAATAATCCTTAGGCAGGTAAATGTCCTTAAGAGCACCAAATTGACCAAAAGGTCTGCGAAGATCCTCGGGCCTACAATATAAGATAATATGTAGCAGAGAATCATTGAATTTCATTTTTCATAGATATAACCTAAAACAATGAAGAAAAAGAAACATGCCTACAGTCATGGCGAAGGTTACGAACAAGAAGGCTGGTAGGGAGATCTCTAGGACGGCCAGCATAACGGCCCCTAGGGCTTGGACTCCTCCCTCTTCTGCTATAACCCCTCGCTGGTGGAGGCGATGGACTATAACTCCTTCCTCTCATCTCTCCTATCTGCAATCACCATCACATCACATCACATACATAGATCTCATCTCTTGTGTTGTGTTGTGGTGTGTTGTATCGTGGTGTATGCGTAACATAAAAAGAATAGGAGAACGAACATACCTTAACTCAATAACAGCGGTACGGAACCGTGCGGTGCGGTGCGGTGCGGTAAAGCCAAGTTTAAGTTTAACAGGATGATCGGTCGTCGTCGCCGCCGCCGCCTGATATATCACATAAAGGTTTCCTTCCGATTCCTATTCCTAGGGTTACCATTTATCAATCAACTCTGTTAGTCTGGCCCACTCACTCTCCACTACCATTTTCCCCAAACCCACAATCCAACCATTTCGCATTATGGCCCATTTCACTATGTTATGTTCATGGACCAACTCAATACTCTTACTATTTTTATTTTTTTTTATGCCCACTAACCATGGCAATCATATTACATGTGGTAGCGATACGATACCATTACCCTTTCTTTCCTACCAAAAATTAAATTAATTAATTGTATTTCCGTCGCTTTCTTTTTTTTAGTCTATCTCCATAAACGAAAAGGGTTCAAAAACTCTCCTATAATTTTGTTTTAAGGGGAGGTTTATATTTACAAACTTTTTTTGTTTATAGACTCTTACAAATTATACTATTTTCTCCTTCTCTTGGAAGAACAGTAGGTCACATTATCTTCTCCCGGGAGAAGACTATGTTCTCCCGGAAGAACTTAAGGAGCATTTGGTTCGCAAGTTTTAATTTGAAAGCTGAGAAAGTAAAGTTATGAAAGATTGTATACCACGTTTGGTAGCCAAAAAAACACAAGTTTTCTGAGTTAAAATGTTGCCAGATTTTTTCTTCTATTTGTAAAAATCTGTACTTGGGCTCCATATTACAAAAAGGTGGAGAGATTGATGAGGATGTAAATCACAGAATCAGAGCATGGTGGATGAAATGGCGCAGTGCATCTGGATTTTTGTGTGACTGCAAAATCCCTCTTAAGTTAAAAGGAAAATTCTATAAAACGGCAGTAAGACTGACAATGCTATATGGCGCGAAATGCTGGCCAGCACATAGGCAACATGAGCATAAGATGGGAGTCGCAGAGATGAGGATGTTAAGGTGGATGTGTGGTTACACAAGGATGAATAAGATAAGAAATGAAGATATTCGACGAAAGGTCGGAGTAGTACCAGTAGCCGAGAATATGAGAGAACATAGATTGAGGTGGTTTGGGCACGTGATGAGAAGGCCCCTGGATGATCCTGTAAGAACAGAAGTTTGTTACCAAGAGCTCAACACAAAAAGAGGCAGAGGTAGGCCGAAACTTATTTGGGGGAAGGTGGTAAAACAAGATTTAATGGAGTGGGATATTGATTGGCGGACGGTTTGTCTTAGAACGGAATGGAGAAAAGCTATAAATATGGTGGAGTGTTAGACCCGTTGTTATTCCTATGTTCCAGATGGTCATTTTTTAGTCTTTTTCCCCTTCATCTCCCTCACTTCTTCTTGTCCTTTTTTTTATATATCTATATATACATATATATTTTATTTTATTTTATTTTATTTTTATTTTTATTTTTATTTTTATTTTTATTTTTATTTTTCAACTGTTTTGTATCTTTCATGTGGGTTCATCTACCACCGACCCCAATTAATTTGGGATAAAGGTGATGTTGATGTTGTAAAAATCTGTACGGCTCTTCTGGAATGCTGATGACTATCGAAGATATGGAATACATATTTGGCCGAGCTTGTGAAAATAGAACCGCGAATAAAAAGACCAATATAACCTTGTTTGTGATTGTACGTTTTCATGAATTATGGAGCAACAGTGGGTACCAAATCTGGAACGGTAAAAGTAAGGGTAATTTTGACATTCACTTTAACATTTTCATCAATATTTTACAATTTACCAAACATAGAATTTATAAAATTAACTCAATTATCCCGGCAAATTTTTTTCCAATCAAACACATTTTCGCAACTTATCCGGCAAAAAGTCTTTTCCACTATATTTCAGTAATAATTATTTTCTGGATTAAAAAAAATTTCTCCTGTACCAAACGCTCCCTTAGTGTATTTGTAAAAAAAATTTGTAAATGGATCATTCCTCTTGTTTTAAATTATTTATCTTCCTATGTTTTTCAAAAAGTTCAATTTTTTTACCAATGAATCATTTTTTTATTTTATCATTCTTATAAAAAGACAATAAACTGAGAAAAAAATAAAAGACAAAATATATTACAAACTTACAACACTTATATAAAAGATTAAAAGAAAAAATGAAACAGAAAAAAAAAATTAGTATGTCCGAATAAAAAAATGTTGTGGAAAAAATAAAAGAAAAAATAAGACCAAATATATTGGAGACTTATAATAATAACAAAAAAAAAAGAAAAAAAAAAGTCTAAATCAAAAAGAAAAAAACACACTTAAGAAAAAAAAATGGAAAAGAAGATAAAATTAACGGTAAAGAATTTCTCCAGTCAATGGAGATAAGTTATCTCCGGTCGTTTTGGGTGAAAATGGTATTTTTATAATTTTAATATATTACAAAGTTATATTAGTCTTTATCATTATAATTTTTTAATCTTATAGCCCCAAAACGGCGTCATTTTGAGTTCATTAGAGATAACTTTTTCTCTGCAGAAATATTTTTTCCTAAAATTAAATATGTCTAAATCAAAAAATAAGAAAATAAATTGAGCACAAAAAATGATAAAAGAAAATATAAGACCAAATATGTTGAAATCTTACAAAATTAATTTTTTTTAATTTCTTGTGTGTCTTATTTTTTTCTTATGACTTCTAAACATGATAGGAAAAATTAAAAGTGAAAAAAATAAAAATAGAAATATAAGAACAAATATATCTAAGTAAAAAAAAATAAACTGAGGAGAAAAAAGAAAAAAATATAAGAAAAATTAAGACCAAATATTTTAAAACTTACAATACTAATAATGCTGAAAGTTAAGGGTGATAAACGAACCAGGGGTGTAACACCCCGTATATATCTGGTAATGTTATCATACTATTGTATTAAGCTGCGCTTAATTAAAAAATGCGGAATATCTTTTTCTTTCCAATTATGATGTCATTATCATTACCAACTTGCTTATTAATCAATTAATAAAACATCGCCTGTATGTAATTGCAATAAAACAGCTAACTGAAATACCTCATAACATAGATAATAAAAGTGTGTCTCTAGAAATCACGGGACTACCACAAGTAGGCCGGACCAACTAGCAGGTTATACAACTCCAATCTAAAAGTATTAACAGAAAGTGTCATGGACAATCCCCATGCTCACTCAAATAAGACAACAAGCCCAACATCAGTCTCAACAACAACATAATCACAAATAGCGGAAAACATAAACAGCATCCAAATCCAGTCATGTCAGCAATACATCATAAATATCATAATCAGCTAAGCTCTGGCCTCCTGCCGCCAGAGGCATTAGTCCCCATACTACCTGAACCTGAAATAAGCATTCCCCAAACGTGGGGTGAGATCTCTAAACAAGAAATCTCAGTAAGACAAGGGGTCCTCAAGGATCTTCCACCCCAAGCTCACTTACATGTGCAATATAAGTTTAAAAGCAGTTCATCAATATCATTTCTAAAACAGTGCAATGCAGCAGATAATCATGCCATGTGTGTCAATTCTATTCTACTGGCCAGAGAAATGTAGGATTTATATACGTCTAATACCCAAAAATAGTGCAAGATACTACTTGCATCCATCCCGGATCACCGTCTTGTATGACGCTACATACTCAGGCTTACCGTCAAGATGGAACAACATATGCATATTAAAAGCCATTACACATAAAGCTCAACAGCATTTCAAATATTCAAAGCATGTAACACAACATGCATATAACCATACCCCCATGGGACATGGTGGAACCACAACATGGCTAAACCGAGGATACGAAAGCTTACCTTGTAAGCTAGCTATCCAAACCAAGAGTCCACACAGCTCAAGGCCCACAAACAACACAATCACAATCTGCCCATACCATAATTACTCATCAATAATCACAGCTCAGATTACATTAAGTGATTAAGTCTTTCCTACTCATTTTAACTCATTACATGTTGTTTCTGCAGGAAGTATTCGAATACTTCACGAGTAGTATTCGAATACTCCAGCTCTCCAGAAAGTATTCGATTACTTTCGTTAAAGTATTCGAATACTACCAAGTATCCGAATACTTCTCCCCCAGTATCCGAATACTAAACCTTACTGTATTCGAATACTCTCTAGTATTCGAATACTTCTTCAAAGGTATCCAAATACTTTTCTTCCCAGAAAAGTATTTCAATACTCCTACCATGAGTATTCGACTACCAGATAGAAACTACCATTGCAAATCTTTACCAAATACTCTAAGATTTTACTATGTTAAACTAGACATCTCAATATTTCCAACGACATATCTTATGCCTCAATCGGAGTTGTATAACTCCGGTTATGAATTTTGCAAAGTTCCTACAACAAGCTGAATTTCCAGCAATAGGGTATCGACTTCAAACATACACTGAGAGAAATCCACTTATCCAATGGATCTGAAAATTTACAGCGTTTCATCCCTATGTGTTAGCTTCACATAGGTCCAAACTTCACTCAATTTAGAGCTCTGTAGCTCAAGATATCGTAATTTTACTAAACTAGGTCGCTGCTGTCTCGCGAAGTATTCGATTACTGCATTTCCCAGAAAAGTATTCGAGTACTTCTTCGACAGAATGCACAAAACTGAGTTTTAAAGGTAAAATCGACCTTCAATGATCCAAACTCGATCTGGAGTCCAAAAACTCCTTAAACAGATGTTTATTAACATGTTATGAACCCAGAAACACATTCCTTTATTCAAATGTTTCAAGTTATGATTTTTAATTGCTTAAACAAACTTAAAACATCAAAATACACAAGGGTGATCATGGTATACCTTCCAAGCTCCAAAAATCCGAAAATGAGGCACACAAGGGGTCCTCTACACAGCACAAAGGTTCTAACTTCACAAGGCTACGAAAATACACTTCAAGCTTGACCCTTTAAGCCAAAAGGTGGCTTCTTGAAGCTCAAGAAGCCAAGAACAAGGTCACACAACCCCAAACCCAAGAAGACAGCCCCAAATTCAGCAACTTCACCTCACCACAGAGGCCACAAACTCAGAATGACACACTCCACACCCTCCCAAGGCCAACACTCACATGCTACAAGTGTTCAAGGTGTAAAGTCTCTCATAAAAATGGTGTCTTGAAGGATTTTTGTGAAGAAAACTCAATGGAACAGTGAAAAGGGAGAGGAGGCAGTAGCCACACACACAACCCACGCATAGAATGGCTGAGTATCAGCCTAGGGTTGTGTGCAAGTGATTATATATAGTCCACTTAACACTAACCACACAGTATTAACATAAATAGCTACGCTTAGCATTTTAATCCCAAAATTAGGATTCTTAACCTACTCAATTTTACAAGAATTATCATATTTTTACATTATTTTTCGGAGCACCTTTTCGGTACGCGCTTTTCATAGCCAGTATCAGTTTATGGCACCAGTTCTCATTATTTTAACTTGAAACTCGTTTTACAAGTCCTACATACTATCTAGTAATATTCATGCACTTATTATAATTTTCCGGGATACTTTTTTGGTACGCATTTATACCAACTAGCAGAACCGGTATCTGCACTTTTCGTCAAAAAAATGACTTTCAGCATTATTACTCACTTACTATAATTATTAGAGCCTCATAATAATTATTAGGGTCAATTATGAAATTATCTCATAATTATCTAATTAATTTCCTTAATTAGCGGTGCCGGTTCTTACAAGGGGCCTTTGGCTAAGCTCGTGAAGACCTGAGCTTATATACCTAAAATTGATTGTTTGAACCAGGCTGGCTTAATATATTATTATTATTTTATTTTATATTTTTTATAGTACTTGTAATAGCCCCCCCTCTCTTCCCAATCCATTCACTTCATTTTATTGGTTAAACAGACTTTTTGAATGATTTTGTTCTATATTATGTCGTTTGCATATACATAATATTTATGGAATTATTAATGTTATTGATTATATATTCAATTTAGATAAATTTTTGTTGTCTTATTTTTTTTAAACAGGCTAACATGTTAAACCAGAATTTTATTTTTTGTAAATAAGTCAGGCCACATGCCGATAATTATATTATAACAGGTAACAGACTTATTCAGACTGAGGCTTTACCTTTTAAGACCAAAGTTTGACTCGGCCCGTTAACACCCCTACTGAAAGCGCATAGAAAATATGGCTAAATAAAAAGTTAAGATTTTATAAAAGAATAACCCTTAAGTTCTCAATTGTAATTATAAAAAAAAAGTTCAACTCATCGAACAAGGTTCCTAGCCTCCAGTGACTCTTTTATAAACTAATTATAAATCAATTAAAAATCTAAAAATAAGAAAAATTCCTAAAAATAATTATGACGGTATTTACCATCTAAAAAAAAGCAAGCAAACAAATAATTACAATTAAATCATTCACAATACATCTCAAATCTTAGATCTCAAATCATGTCAAATTTCTTTTTTGGCCAAATAAATCACAATCATATATGCTATTTTATTTGTACTTAGATTTAATCGTAATTTGTTATATTTCAGATTCCTATTTTTGAACATGCAGGCCATACTTATTGGGCTATAATTCTGTTTGACTCCAAACGTCTTCAATCAATGGTTGTGCCATGTGCAATTGTAAATGCATTAATTATTTTTTTTTTTGTATTATTTTTTCTTCTTAGTGTTTTAAAACTCAGCTCCGTCATCGACTTAGTTGAGGTACTAGGTCACTAAGTTATTTGTTCAACTGGTGGGTCACTGATTCATCGATTTAATTAAATTTATATTAAATTGTATAATAAATATAGGGTTATGTTTATCTCATTTTACATGAGATAAACAACTCTCCTACACACAAAAAAAAGGTTGGGTCCCACCACTCTTTTTTCTCTCTCCTCTTACATGTGGGTCCCACTTATACTTTTATTTCTACAACATGAGGTAATTTTTTCCTACAACATTAGAAAAATATATCCCATAAATATATTATAAGGTGCATTTTGACCAATAATTGATGGTAACCTAATGATAATTGTAACACTACTTACACTCATAGGCTGGGTTCGATTCTCAACCACTGTAAAAAATGCAATATTTTGTCCAATTCTAAAAGGAAGAAACTCGAACTGGTGCCCTCACCGGGTTATCCAAACCTGTGTCGACCCGGTTCGGTCTGGATTTTAAAACACTACTATTTCTTTTTTATCTTCAGTCTATTTTCTTTTTTTGGAATAAGATTATTTTAAATTTTTTACTTTTAGTCTTTTATTCCATTATTGTAAGTTTTTAACATATTTTGTCTTATTTTTCTTTTATGTTTTTGTCCTCGATCTATTTGCTTCTTATTGATTTAGACATATTTGATCATTTTATTTTATTTTACTTTTAATTTTTTGTGTAAGTGTTATAAGTTAAAAACTTATTTGATCTTATTTTTTCTTCTATTTTTTTTGGTCATCATCCTGTAAAAGAAGGGTAAAATAAGTAGACTAGTGAAATTTATAACGGTGTTACAAATATGTTTGGATGAAAAAAAAACCATGAAAGGTAAGTGATTAAAAAAACATAAAGAGCAAGTGATACGGATTTTTGAACTTTTCCCTATATTTAAAAAGTAGATGGCCAACTAACCCACCAAACCCATAATCCATGTTGGGTTGCCGGTTGCCAACAAATAACTGCTTAAGCTCCAAGTTAATCCAGCTCACGCTACCTTAACTTGAATGACTAAATTAGTTCGAATAAATATTTATAATAATTATTGTTTAATGTTATCGTTCATATGTCAACATATTGTTCGAACGCATAGCATTCCCTTTCTGTTGATTTTTTTTTTTTAATTTGCTTGTATTTGTTATTAGACATATTAAATGCACTAAATTCTAAATTACCTTGAAAGTTGATGATTCATATTCAATCGCTAATAAGTTGCTTTTATTCTAAATTTTAACACATAGAGAAATGATGATTCATTTTTTAATTTTGTAATAAATTTTTTTAAATTTACAAAAATATAAAGCATTATGGGCAAAGCGTTGCCCATACTGTCTTTCAGCAAAAAAAACTTTGCCATCCATTTGAAGAGTTTTCAAACCAGCGAGGTTCCCAATCGGTATCTTCAGTACGAGTAGCTATTCAATCATCTACTTTGTTTCCTTCTATGTGGGTATGAGACGTTTCCATCCTCTAAGGCTGCGCCACAAGTCACTAATTCTGTTAATAAGTGTATAAAACATACGGTAGGTAGATGACTGAGTCTCTTAAGTATTCTGATAGGGATTCGATTTTTGACTGTGTGTATGAAAAAAACTCTATTAGTAGATGCAAAACTCATTTCAATAATCTCCACATCTCGAAATGATTAATCTTCGACTGTCAGTCAAGGGATACCTCGAGGAAAGTGACTATCACACCCATTTTTTCTATCCAATTGATGATGACCCAAAAATAAATAAATACAAAAACAAAATGGCCATATATTCTAGATTGAGAACAATGATTAGTTTCCGGACAATTACAAAATTATATGTGGTACTAAGGCTGGCATTTATGTTGGATAAATTGACTCACATTTATCAACCACTTATAATTTGTAACCTAAGAGGACAAATTGCTTATACAGAACAAAAAATGAAATTCGATTTTAATGGAAGCAAATGGAGAAATGTATACACGATTTCAATGTAGCGAGCATCAACAAACTGACTTACAGGGAATCAGTTTACTGCTGAGATACTAGATGAGGATTTAGCATGGCGTGCCACAAATGACTCAACAAGTGGGTTCACAAGATGTGGTGCTTCATCCTTCATGAAGTGAACAATTAATAAAGTGAGAAGATGGTCGAAAACATGACAAAGACTTACGCATTTAATCATGGGTTTAGTGTTTTTCTAGCCATATGAGATAACTGCAACCCAAAATAAAGTCGTTTTGGGATTATAACTATGGTATTAGGATAATATCATTGACCCAAGCAAATAAATTAAGTCGAATGACAACATCATAAATTAGAGCTTCAAAATTCCAGGACAAATGCAGGTGCTTTTGGCAAGGCTTTCCAGGAGATAGTGAGAGCCCACCACATGAAACTGGTTAATCAGGTAGTAAAGGAACCTTAACTTAAAAATCATATCAATACTATCGGATATCTTCCAATAGGATTAAGTTCTTGTTAACATTCATAACTTAATGTTCATTGTTGAACTTAAGGGTCATTGAGGTGTGATTGCTGAATGCTGGAATTAAGGTTGATTACAGATAAATTGATGTATAATGTACAAATGTAATTTAAACATCTTGTACTATAAATAGATGTGTAGACCAAACGCAAAATAAAATTCTACAATCAGCATTCTCTCTCTCCCTATCCATTTTTCTCTTGCTACGGTTTCTCTGTTTTCTATTCTTAACATGGTGGTAAAAGCTTAATGTTAGCAATATATATTTCCCAACTCAACTCAACTCAAAGTCAATAATACTAGCTTTGAAAAGGAAGGAAGGAAAAGGAAAATAATCATCATTTAAAAAATGCTAACTCAACTTTTCTACATGTATATAGAGAGCAAGCAAGGGCATGAGCATGACACACATGAGAGAGAGAGAGAGAGAGAGAGAGAACCTGAGGGCAATGTCCCACATTTGGAAGGACAATGAAGTCTTCTACAGAATCAAATTTTCTGTAATTTCTTCCAATCTCAATTGGTTCCCAAGGATCCTTGTCACCCCATGCTATCAGAACCGGGCACTGAAAAAGAGAAATTACACATGCTATTGATGTTAGTTGGATTTCAGTTTGTCAAACTTACATTCACTTGCATTACTCCCACTTCCTCACCTGGGGGTGGGAGGAGGCTTACCTTTACTTGGGGTAGCAATTCCTCGGGAAGAGGGCCACCTGAGTAACAAATGAACTCAAGAAAGACCTCTGCCGCTCCAGGTTCCAGTCCTGGACTAAGGATGATCTGCACTAGCTCATCCGTCACCTTGGATGTGTCATGATAGCACTGTCAAAAGTAATTCATACACAACCATTACAGCTGCAGGTAAGAGAATCCTCATTTGTCAACAACTTACAAAGCATGATACACCTTGGAGCTGGCCGCTTACAACATCAATGATGGATATCCACCCATCACATGGGTGTACATTAAAAGAGCAAGGAGAGAAGTAGGGGATTGGAGGCTGTGGAAGTTAGTGTGCAAGGAAAGTGTAATCAGCACATGGTGAGTGTACATCATAACAACCTGTACACAAGGTAGGTAGGGGCAGAAAACAGGTTTGGGTAGTGAGAATGGGATAAAAGGAGAAGAGAGGAGAAGGGAAAAGTAGACAAATTGTGAGTGAGGTTTGGGAAGGTAGAAGGCCAGCCCCTCAAAGTGTTTGCAGTGTTTAACTGTATATCTTTGTTTTCTGTTTCAGTTTTATGAGTGTAAGAGTTTGTTTCCGTGAATCTCTTTCTGTGCTTGGAAATTATTCCCATTTTCTGTAATCAAAAACTTGAGTTCTTAACAATCAGATTCATTCAGATTTATTCCAATCCAATAACAGTCTCATCCTCCCACATTTCCTTCTGTTTGTCTATCCAGCATGCTTTAAAGCATAAGTTTTTGAAGAGAAGAAACTGACTATTAAGCTAGAGGAGTACCTGACAAAGAATGTTCCTTACAGATTCTTTTGTTGCAATAGTTTTAAAGAAGAATTTGCCTACAGCAGTATCCCTACAACATAGAACATGATAATGGTAAATCCTCTCCTTGAGGCTTGAAATCCGCAAAGTCCGCATAAAGAAACTTCTGTTTCATTTGTACCTAAGCAATCTCTGGAATGATCTGATGAAAGGTTTTCCATACCATGGTTGCTTCTTTATATGAAGCATACGCAGAGATATATTGAGAAGGAAAATGCCCCGGCAGATCGGTGGAGCTACTGCAGCTGCCTGAAGACCAACAACTCCTGCAGAAAAAGTAAAGAACAAATTCTTCGTAATAGCATTATATCTAGAATATCAGAATAATGGACAGCTCAGCTCGCAACAATAAATAAATAAAAATAACTAAATTAAAATACAGTGATTAATTATCAAGGCACTTGAAAAAAAATTCACCTCCAATAGAATTGCATATAAAGAATGCTTCATCCTTAATGACATCAAGACAAAACTCATTTAATTGGGTGGCCCATGTCTCGAAAGTGTAAAAGGAATCATCTTCCATTTGACGAGGATTTGGTTTATCTGAATATCCATATCCAATAAGATCAATAGAGTATACCCGGTGGGATTTTGCAAGAACTGAAATATTTTTCCTCCAGTGGTCACTGCAATGAAGTGCACTCTCAATTACGTTGTGGCACAAAGTCAGGATAACTGCAGTACAAAAACAGACTAACTATAGAACTTATATACAGTAAACATTTTATATAACATGTGACAGGCATATGCTTATAGACAAGTTTCTAAAACAAATGTCTGGTAGATATCTAGACAGCAAATGATTCAGGAACAGAGGACAGGCCTCCTCATTGTTCCTTGTGCAAAGGAAACAAGTTTCAGCTTTCAACCACCGGAGATCCTTATAATTCTTAGACTCATGGAAACGATAGTGTTGTTTTACCTAAATTTTGTCTAGTTTAATACTCAATGCAGAATTCTGAAATACCTGATTATATATGCAGATTAACTGAACAAAACAAAGAGCCCATATAGGAAGTTATTAGTCTTCATTTAAGAGCAGAAGTCAATTATCTATTAGCTCTTACTGACTCAGATGCACTTTCCGATAAGAAAACGAAAAAAAAAATGGAAATAAAATTTGATCAATGAGTCATGAGCGTAGATGCTTTTTTTTTTTTTTAGGAGGAATAGCTAGTGACGTAATTTCAGAATTAAGGAAACCATGTCCAGGTCCAGGTGCAGGGGGTTTCAGAGTCGTACATTTTACAGCAACTTGTGTAGTAATTTGCTAGCATTCCAGTAGAAATGTAAATTTTACATGAATATAACTAATTTTAAATTTAATGTTGTTACGTGCTAGTAGCAGTTTAGACGAGTTGGATTTCAAAGCATAATAAACATTGAACATTTTCAAAGATGAAGCAATTTGTGCATTTAACAAATACCTATGGCGCATGTGATAATGAGAAGGAAAATATGAAAAACGTAGACCTGTTCGCTCCAAAACCGTGCACTAAAAGTAGTGCAGGGCCATTGTTCCCAGAATATTGATAGCGAATAGAGTAACCCCTCCAATTCCACATGCTACAAGTACATGGCAGAAGAAGAAAACGAAAGGTATGAGAATTTAGTGTTAAACAAAGAAAAACAAGAGTAAAACCTGAAATCTTTGGAAACAAACGTACATCGCGATATCAAAAGAAAATGAAGATGACGATGGAGCAAAATATATAAGAATTACCTGGTTTGAACGTGGATCTCTGTATTTTGGTTGTTTAAATTGGAAACAATTTGATGATTAAAGGTGGAAAATCTGACAACCCCATTCGGTTGGGGAAAATGGATTTTGGGATACGACAAAGCTTTTGGTTTTGGTTTTGGGTAGCGAGAGCATAAACTGAGACTAAGACTCAGAGTGGTGCTGGTGGATGCGAATGCCATATTACATTATCTGATTCCACTTCCACTCATTCTTCACTTTTCTTCTCTTCTTTCTATCTCATCATCACTCCATTTCTGTGCTCCACCACACACCACGTTGCTTAACATAACTCACAATTCAAAACCCTACAAATATAAATAATGGGATAGAAAGAAGAAAATAAATAAATATGATATTCTGTTAAGAAAAAATTGCCTTATGATCTCAAGTGTTAAGAAACAGCTTCTATATTTTCGGCTTCTATTTTTTTTTATCCTAAATCAATTCCCTCTCACTTTAAATTTTTAGTTTTTACATATTTTTAATAAACGCTTATATACCAATATATTATTCCATTTTCACTTTTTTTTTTTAAAAAAAAAATAAGTTAGTTGAGTTCAACATTGCTTTAATCAAATATTAATATAATGGATATGACACTTGGTGTGTTAGAACCTTAGATGGCGTGTATTGTGCGTGAGTTGTTATGGTGCTGCTCATGGACTCTGCCACTGCGAACAATGCCGAAAGGAAAGTTGGTTTGGCTGTTCGGCTGGTCCTAAGAACGTTTGGTTGGTCTTCGTCACTGATTTGGTCAATGAATCTTACCTTCTTAGTTTAGGACCAGGACCCCCCCACCCCAATCTAACGGTCAAATCTAAATCATAGATATTCTGCTGCTCCTATGATAAACATACATACATGCCTGCATGTCACCAAACAGACTATCAGAAAAAAATAAATTCATCACTCCTCAACTTTCCCTTCTCCACATTATATACAACGCCACTGAACGATCCAATATTTTGTTTTTAAAAGGAGAGTCCAAATTGAGCTGGTATTGGTTGGGAGAGTATATGAAGATGGGAGGACTCTCAAAAGAAAATGCGTGAATTCCAACCATGAGATGAATATCGCCCAACTTTGATTTTTCCGACCCCCGTTACATGTTTTCCGGTGAGTCTCCGTCATTCAATTATATTATCTATTATGCATTACGCATTAATTAATTAAACGCATACTTTCGTTAATACTTGTGTTTGTGTTTTAATTTTCCAACTCTACGCATATATGAGCTATTCCTATCTTTTCGTTTGGGCAATAATTACTATTTACCTTGATCGTTATTTGTTTCTGCTTCTCCTCCTGCATGAATATAACAAGATATGCAATGTGAATAAACTAATTCAGATATATTAGAATCCGTTTGTAGGATAAAATTGGAATTATAATTTAAAATTTCAATTTCATTTTTAATTTTGTCAGAATTCTAATTAATTAAGAATAATCTTTGTTGTGGTTTGGACTAATAAAAATTAAGATATAAAATTATAATTCTAAACTAAATTAGAATTGTGTTGGAAAAGTCAATAGCGATAGTAATCAAATGAGACTAACGCTGACAGTAAGGCAAGGCAAAGTTGTAGTTTGAGAACACCAACGACTACAGTAGTTAGGGGTATAATGGTCAATTTCAAGACAAGTCAAGCACTTCAAAGATAAAACTCAATTCTGACTTAAAAAAAAAAACAGTGATGCTTAGTTTTTGTTCATTTATTTGAAGGAGCCAAATTTAAAACTTGGAATTAACTTCTTAATAATATGAAAACTTGTTTATTTTGGTTGGAACTTAATTATTTCCTTTTTTATCAATTTTTTTATTGAAATATTTTCAAGTTTATTAGTTTATTACTTATTAAATATTTTTATATTAGAAGAGGAAATAAAGATTAGAAGAGAATGAAAGTAAAATAATATTTGAATATGAAAAATTAGGTAATTATGATTCTCTATATAAATTATAATTTATTAAGTAATAAGAATATAAAAATATTGTTATTTTTTATATTATTTTATTTAAATGAAATTATCATTTTTTGTCATTTTATATATGTGCATGAGACAAATTGTCTCATACACACACATAAAAGTAGGGGAGATCCAATGAGAAGAAGATAAAAAAAATAAAAATAAATGAGTCACACTTAATTATTATTATTATTATTTTTTTTAGTTACCCAACCCTAATTATCTCTTTGAGACGAGTTGACTCCCTCCGGTATCCCCACGAGCTTCGACTCTTTGAGCCGGCTATGGGACTAATCCGGAGTGCGGGGGAACAGTGATGGCTAAAGATTCAGCCCCCTCCCCAAGAATGCATTCAGCGGGAATCGAACACATATCCAACCCCACTAATTATTTTTTTATGTGTGCGTATAATTTTGTCTCATAAGAAATTATATTCCTTTTATATATACACACTTACACGAATTATTAATATCAAACTTATGAAACTTAGCTTGATTCATTTATATAATTGACTCTAAGGTTCGAAGTTTAATCAAACATTTGAGAACTCAAACTTAAATAGTTTACGAATAACCTAACTAATTTACATTCATACATAGCATCAGTTATCGTCCACTATGAAGGTTAAGAGGCTGTCGATGGTTATATATTGAGTGCAAACATAAAGGTGAATTGACTGGTCTATCAAAAATATATAGCAACCGTTTTGTTTTGTTTTTCTTAATTACAAAAATTGATTGATCTATCATGGGAATAGTTCAACAATATAGAATATTCCGTGCATTAAATGTATATATGAAATACAGGTTAAACATAAAAAATAAAAAATAAATAAAAAGTATTTATAAGGGGTTAGTTTAATTGATAAAAATATATTTTGCTGATGATAAAAAATTAATTTTAAAAATCTCAAAAATTAATGTAACTGATAGAAGATTAATTTGTTTGTGATTTATAAATATCTCATTGTGTTAGCGTTGATTGAAGAAATTTGAGCATTGATTAAATAGACTAAAAAAAATTAAAATTCTTGGTTGAATAAATAACTAATTAAAGAAGGAAATAATAATTTAATTTTATACATAAAATCAATAAATATATAACAAAATAGAAATAAATACATGATTACCTAAAAAAAGGTCAATAGAAGTTATCCTAATTTTTTTTTATATAAAAAATCAAATTTGTTATAGCACTGCAGAGTGTAAATGGTTGTACAATTTGAACAGAAAAAAACAAAATGTAATTATTAAGACTGTACAACCATTGTAGAATTTTGGTGTGTGTATATATATATATATTTTAACTCTCTTGACATATATTTATTTTTTATCATCTTAAATTATGTTGTTTTATTTATTTATTTTATTATATTAATTTATTCATCTTTAAATAATTATGATTTTATTTTTTTTATTTTTTTATCACCATTAATTTATTTTTGTATGACTATGATTTAGTAGCTGGAGATAAAAGTATCTCAAATAACTTGATACGACAAGTCCATATATATACGGGAAAATATAATCTTATGTTGTAGGAGAATGTTTTTTTCTCCTACACATATATCGATTTCCGTGTTTTTATTTATTTTTTATTTTTCTATAATGGGTGGATTTCACACATGATTGTCTCTATAGCATAAACAAGTTTCTCTCGTATTGCATGAGATTAATAAAGCTATATATATATTTATTTAATTGGCTGTATTAAATTAATAATAGATACAATATTATTTTAAAACAGAAAAATAAAGTCTTGTTTTTGGGTCACAAAGTAGGGAACTAACTTCTGTCAAACATAAATTGTACTGTAAAATCAAATAGACATAGTACCATTTCCGTATGTAGAATAAAAAAATCAACTAGACGGTCAAAACAGTTTCCAAATTTGAAGCAAATCATCTACCAATCAAATATTTCTGTTGGTGGCAAAGACTAGTAGTTTGAGACTTTTAGTTGAAGACATTTTTGTTAGATCAGTTGTCAGTTGTCACCTCCCATCAATTGAGAATAGTCAGATTTTATAACTGCTCCGAAGGATGTAATTGATAATTTTCTTTATGAAATAATGTCTATACAGACATTTAACATTTATCAAAGTGTCTATATAGATATGTACATGCTTTCCTAATTTAGGCACTAATGAATAATAGATTTTGATATTTTTTTTTTTTTGGTAAATAGATTTTGATATTTTATGTGAACTCAACATGAATCTGACTAACTCACAAAAAAAAAAAAAAAATTCCAACAGCAGACCTAAAGACTATAGGGTGTCTGAAATTTATTCGTCTATTTAGTATAATCAAGTTAAATTTCAATCTAACAAATTTATTGTCGAATTGTTCCTGCTGATGTAATATCAGTAATATATGTATGTAAGTTCTGATATATATATATATATATATATATATATATATATATATAGAGAGAGAGAGAGAGAGAGAGAGAGAGTGTGTTTGATGTTTGTCATTTTAAATGACTTAAGTTATGTCATTTTAGGAAAGAGATAGATACAAGAAATGAAAATCATGGAAGAGAGAAAGTGGGTGTTTTTTTAATTTAAATTTTAAATAAATTTTTTTATTTTGTGTCTATCTCTCTCCTAAAATGACATAACTTTATGTCATTTAAAATGACAAACATTTTTCTCATATATATATATATATATATATATAGTTCCTGATATATAGTTTATGGGAAAAGTATTTTTCTTTTTAAATGATACAACTTGCGTCATTTCACTCTCACAAAGAGGTGAGACCCACATTTTTTTTGTCCACTCTCTCTTCCCTTTTATCTATCTCTTTCTCTCACTTAAAATAACACAATTTTACATCCTTTGAAATGATACACACTTTTTCATAGTTCATTTAAACAATTTATGGTTGTCGATCCTCTGTTTCCCTTTGTTTGGTAAGTTTAGCCATCCTAGGCTAGCTCCTAGCTGACTGGCTCTGGCGAGAGACAACTATTCTGGGACCTCAAACGTGGCATGTGCACACACTTCCAAGTTCTAACTACCGTCTCTCTCTCCCTTTCTATCTCTGTGTGTATTTTTTTCTCTTTTTTTTTTGTACATCAAAAGGGCAAACCAAAAGAAAGAAACTACATTGGAGAGGAGACAGAGTCCAAAAACGGGCTCATCTCAGCAGGACACTCAGGAAGCATTAGGAAAGACTCACTGCCAGAGTTGGCAAGCTTAGCAAGATGGTCTGCACCCAAGTTACAATCCCTTCCCACATGATTGAATTTGAGATGCCAATCCAGAGTTCACAACCTCTTAATGCTGTTAACAAGTTGATGCTTGCAGCAATCTTCCTTATCAAACTTTATAGGTTGAACAACAAAGAGGTAGTCGCTTTCAACCATAAGGCATTGAGCCTTTTTATCCAAAGCAACACAAAGACCTATGTAGATGGCCCATAACTCAGGAATGAGGGGAGAACAAATCCCAATTTTATACAAAAAATTGGTTATCCAAGAGCCAAAAGCATCTCTTATAAGGCCACTATATGCGGCTACCTCAGGGTTTTTCTTGACAGAGGCATCCACATTTAACTTCCACCAACCTTGAGGGGGAGCAGACCAGGTAACTCTCGGCAAAGCAGCAGGAGGGAGTTATGGGTCAAGGGCCTGTTAATATGACAGCTATAGATATCTCCAATGAAGGAAGAAATTATAATAATGGGATTATTTGGTTTGGGAACAATGGGTCATGTGTCTCATTATTACGCCATTTCCACAAGAACCAAATGGATGACACAAAGATGTCCTTCTAGTTAAGGAGTTGGTTATGAGGCCAATCATTACTCAAATTTTTCTTTATCCAATCCCCAATAGATAAGGATAAGAAATCGGAAGGGATATTACCTGAGAACCAAGCAGACCAGAGAGGGACAACCTTACTACAGTCACGAAGCACGTGAGAGATGTTTTCCTCTTGATTGGCACAAACATGGCAGAATGAGGATCCTCCCCACTTGCCCATGTGATTTTTTGTGATTATGCGACCATGATACACCATCCAAACAAAAGAACGCAGCCTTTGAGGGCCTTTCCAATTCCAAATATGGTTCCAGGTTGGGTCAAGATCAAGCTTATCAAAATCCATCAAATTATTGTAAACTAATTTGACCATATTCTTTTGAGGCACATGGCTTTTCCAAGTCAAACTGTCTTCACCCCTTCCCTCGAAGGAGGGAGGATGGCACGAATGGACTGCATCACCTCCGTGGGAAGGTTTCTGTTAAGTTCCTCAAATCTCTAGTCCCCAATTATATGATCCACCATGTCAGCTACTTTGGTTTCTACATCAAAAGGGAGTTAGGTATCTGAAACAAAATCGAGAAGAGGTCTATTAAAGTGTGTCCACATGTCTTGCCAGAAAAGGATATCTTCCTCACAACCAACATCCCACTGGAGGTTGGTGAGGAAATCGTTCCACACACGACCCACTCCCTTCCAAAGGTTGGAGTCGTAGGGTTGCACCTTGATTTGTCTTCTAAGATCAAGGTTCCTCTCATATTTGCCAAAAAGAAACCTGCACCCATAAAGCTTCTTTGTTGTTGATCATTCTCCATGCCACTTTGTGTAAGAAGCCTGAATTATGGGCCCTGAGATTATGGATGCCCAACCCACCAACTTTCTTAGGCTTGCACAACGTTTCCCAAGCCACAAGATGCATTTTTTTCTTCTCAAGAGTGTCTCCCCATATAAAATGACGTTGGATTTGCTCAAACTCACTACAAACCGATAAGGGGAGGGAACCATATTGCATATGATAAACTGGGATTGTGCTTAGAACAAAATTTACCAGGGTTACTCGACCAACAAAAGAAAGGAGTTGGCTTTTCCAGCTAGATAGTTGAGACTTAACCCGATTGAGAACACTGGAATAATCCCTCCTCTTCCCTTTACCATGTTAAAGCATAGCCCCTAGGTACTTTCCTAATGAGTTAGCAGCCTTGAAGCCACTTGCTTGGGTAATTGCTTCCTTAACATAGGGATTAGTATTACGAGAGAAATAGATCAATGTCTTTTCTATGTTGACCAATTGACCAGACATATCACAAAACTCTTTCAGGCAGCCCATCATCACTTCTAATTGGCCTATGCTAGCTTCGTCAAAAAGAACTAAATCATCTGCAAACATAAGAATAGATATAGACAGACCTTTCCTCCCAGCCTTCATGGGAATCCACTAGTTATTTCTGGCAGATTCAGTAATCAAATGGGAGAGTTTATCTATACAGAGAACAAATAAGTAGGGAGAGAATAGGTCCCCCTGATGAATACCCCTAGTAGGCAAAAATTGCCCAAAAGAACTACCGTTCCACATTACCTTGAACTTGGAAGAGGTGCTAATGCACTAACAAAATGAGATGGAATTCCTGCTTCAATCAGAATATTATTGACAAACCCCCAATTTAAGTGGTCATAAGATTTAGCAAGGTTTATCTTAATAGAGATGTAAGTCTTCTTACCTGTGAGCCTATTCATTAAGTGAGTCATCTCTTGAGCTATGATCATATTGTCATGAATGATGCGCCTATGAATGAAGCTTGATTGAAATGGAGATATAAGCTTTTTCACCACCGATTTCAGACGGTTGACAAGGATTTTGGTGAGAGCCTTGTAGTTGTGCAGCACAATGCACAAAGCTATAGGTCTGAGTTGATCCACTCTTTCTGGTTTCTCAATTTTAGGGTTAAGGACAAGCAAGGTCTCATTGAACCTGTGAATTTCATTCGGATTGTCGAGGAGAAACCAGATATCATGATGCACTTTACCAGACAGAAACCCCAGTTGCTCTGAAAGAAGGCCGCAAGGAACCCATCTGGTCCAAGGGCCTTATTAGGTCCTATTTGGAAGATAAAAGACTTAATTTCTTCATCAAGGACCTGTTTGCAAAGATCCTGCATCTCATGCAACTCAATTTGGGGCTAGTTCACAACTGTAGTCCTCCAACTTCTAGTGGGTTGGTCTTCAGAGAAAAGTTTAATGTAGAAGTTGGTGGTCATCCTCTTGAGAGCTGACTCGCTTTTGATCCAAATTCCTGCTTCATTTTTTAGAGCCGAAATTTTATTCCTTCTTTTCCTCGAAATGGCAGAGGTATGGTAGAATTTTTTGTTGCGGTCCCCGTCCCTAATCTAGGTATATCTGGAGTTTTGGTACCACAGTTGCTTTTCAAGATCCGGAATCTCCTCAAGTTCAGATCTAAGCTCTATATCCAGGTTCTCCAAAAAGATGTTGCTTTCATTCTCCAGGCTTATTTGTATGCCATCCAGTCTACGAAGGATAGATGCTTTCTTTTTGGTGATTACGCCAAACGTATTGTTGTTCCAGTTCTGAATTCGAAGAATGGGAACAAGCTCAATCAGGTTATCAGCTGTGTCATCTTCTTTTTTCCAATTTTCATCCAGCACCTGTTTGAAATTGGGATGCTCCAGCCAGAGAGGGAAGAAACGGAAGGTTTATTTTCCCAAGAATTTGAATCTTTAAATAGAGAAATGAGAATAGGGTTATGATCAGAGGAAATTCAAGAGATTACCTGAAAGATAGCTTCCTCAAATGCAAGCCTCCATTGACCATTAGCCACTGCTCTGTATAACCGTTGGATGGACAGAAATCAATGGTTAAGATGGAGAGTAAGAGTCAAATGATCTCTCCCCTATATATATATATATATATATATATATATATATATATATGGACAAGAACATTTTACTCCAGTGTAAGTTACACTCTCAATCTTATCCATTGATCTCACTTATATCTAAGAGCTCTAATTTTTTAATAATATGAGTCATTGGATACAAGTGGATCAATGGTCAAGATTGAGTGTAAGACTTCTAACTCTTACACCGGTGTAAGAATATCATGTTCTATATATATATATATATATAGAGAGAGAGAGAGAGAACTTACATAAATGGGTAGTGAGTAACATAGGGATGAACCTTGGTTCAGGACATCCTATTTCTTCCTATGGATATTTTGGTGCTATTTCTTAGTATGGATTTGAATGCATCCAAACATGCTTACATTTATCATAGTTGAGTTCTATCTCTTTATGAGTGATCATTAATTTTTTTATCATGAACTTCAAAAATACATTTGATTAGCTTAACATTCAAACCCATTATTGGATTAGACAGATTTATTAAAATTTTGAACACCGATTGACATCTATTAAAAAAACAATTTTTTGTTTTTTTAATAAAATAAAGATAACAATAATTTTAATTAATAAATAATATCTTACCACGTATATTGAATTTTATATTTTAAATGAGTGTGTCATATGGATAATATTAACCACTTATTATTAAAGAAAATTACAGTACTCATACAAAACAGAAGGGCGCTAATAAGCGAGCTAGATTGGATTCAAAGAAGCTTCCATACTAAAATTAACATTATAAAATAATATTGACTGTTTTATTGCTTTCTGGATCTATACTTCAAAACCTACTTAGTAAAAATTTTCATCAGTTCTTAACATTTATGAGCAAAATATATATAAATATATATATATATATAACACTAATGTGCATACTTTTGTGGATAATACAAATAGATACATGAGAAGCAATCATAGTGAGTGGCAATGCACGAGATATAGCGAAAACCTTGTGACTGTTCAAATATCAATGCTTCTATCCGTGAGGTATGTCTGAAATCTCTTCTTAAAAAGGCTGATATATATTATTTTTTAATACTTCACTTTATTGTTTGGAAAAGTATTTTTCTATTTATTAGAGATAAAGTTATCGAGCTCAAAATGACATCGTTTCGAAGTTATAAGATTAAAAAATTATAAAGATAAAGACTAATATAATCCTGTAATATATTAAAATTACAAAAATATCTTGATTTTCGTTTCAAAATAATGTCCTTTTGAGCTCACTGGATCTCCATTGACCAGAGAGATCATTTGCCCTTATTACTTAGTTACAGAATACTTAAAAAAAAAAAAAAAACTACATAAAGTAGAAATATTTTCTTAACACAAAAACTAGGAACTATTGACTCGACGCTGGTTTCATTGCTTCGTATATATTGATTTGAGTCTTCTAGCTAGGTATAAGATTTGGAGTAATCGCGAGTCTAAATAGTTTATTAGAAATATAAAAAAAAGAGAGAGAGAAAGACTTAGCTTAAGCTATGCTGCCATACGCAAATAACAGAAAAGTTAAATATAAAAAGTAGAAATACAGAATACTTCTTTCCGATGTATATATGGTGCTTAAAACATGTTCCAGTATATGACATTAGTTATTGCTTCACATTATATCTCAAAACACTGCACCTCTAATTATGCTAAAAAGGCAGAAAAACTTCAGACATGGTGTGTTTATTAGAGCATGCAGAAGTGTACGTACTATCACGACAGGCATATTCAATATCTTGAATGAAATTATCTTGAATGTATAACAAATAGGACCAAATAATGGTAGCTTGACGCCAAAAAACTGATTAGGTGGGAGTGAGACCATGTGTTTGATCCTCCCTAATACCATCGGTTTAAAATTTTAATCTCGAGACCCGAAGACTAGTCTCTAAGCAATGAAATGATTGAAATATTTCAAAAAAAAAAAAAAAAACAAGTAGGATCTATCTCTTTATGTATACATACAAACCAATTTTTGGCTTTCTTATTTGGAGTAACTTTTTTTTTTTCCAGGTTACTTATTACAAATATGCTCATGAGAAACAGACACCTTGTCAACTTCCATTTATACGTGTTTCTATTTTTCTCACAAACTCAGCACCCTCACTTCTACCAATTACCTCATGCTATATGTAGACATTTATAAGAAAAAAACAACACTGACCAGATAATTTAGAACTCTATAAAAAAAGAGAATCGTCTTAGGTATTCAAGCCTTGCAAAACCTTTTTTATTCTTTAAAAACTTTACTCGATATTGTAGATGCCTTGCTTCTTTATAATTGAGGTTTTAACTTTAACTTCGGAAATTGTCTTTTTAAAACCGATTTGTCTTCTGCTTTTCCAAGAGCATATAATCCACTCATGAGATTAATGTGGATCTTGATTTGTACTTACGCTTGACAATGTAAAGAATGATTTGTGTTAAATAAGGAAGAAGAAGAATGATTTGTGTCTCTTCAACTTTGTTCAGCTAGAAGAGCTGTTTCCACCGAGCTAACCTCTTCACAAAGGCAATATAAGGGAATGCAAACTTCAAGAAACTACACAGATCATCAACATTCATATTCTAGTGTTTAGCAAATAATGGCGATAACGACATCAAAACAGACCAGATAACGAGGTGGAATCCTTTGAGAAAAAGACTGAAGATCACGAATGCAAATATGTGCTTTCAAATGTGAAGATGAAGGTAAATTGATACTTTCAGTCTTGACGAAATTGTTAAAAGTAATAATTAGAAATTGAAGAGTTGTGTGGATAGTCATGCATGTATATGCATTTTGTATTTATTTCAAAGAAATAAAGCATTATATAATTAAGGCTATGGTGTAGTAATTAATTATAGATGAAATCTCAGACTGTTTATAGCTTTAGTATGAATGGAACTTTTTTATATATACATATTAAAAATAGGAGACTTTAGCCTTGTATCAAGTGTGTCAAGAAATATAATAATGTCATATTTATTTATAGATTTTCTCTACCTCCAACACAAATATACATCACATGCATTGGTTATATTATACATATGATTATCAAATAAATCCGTCACATTTGAACTAATGAGGTACAACTCTACATTCTTCATACTTTTCGTTTCCCATTATTCTACATCTTTAAAAAAAGATTTTATATACTTTTTATATTGAGTGAAGCCTTGAAGATTCTTATATACTATTATGTAATAAAGTATTATCACATCTTGTAATGAATTTAACATCTTACATATATTACCAAATTCATTAAATGTTATACCAATATATCGTTAGATAACAATGTAAATTAAGCTTTTTTTTTGTTTTTTCTGCAGTTAATGCAGATAATTAAGTTATCTGGATTAAGCCCAAAACGATGTCATTTGAGGGCAGAAATCAAGGTGTTTTTGTAATATTAATTTATTTCAGAGTTATAATATTCTTTATAATTATAATTTTTTAATATTTCAACACCAAAACTATGTCATTTTGTAAGTAAAATGCAGATAACTTATATGGAGAAACATTTTTCTGTTTATATTAATAGTCAAAATTAAACTATTAAGAAGTTTGTCTTTTAAACGATAAAGAAGTAAGTTTGATTGTAAGAGACTAGTAGTATCAAAAGATTTCGATCCACTCCAGCTTACATAAATAAATTAAGCAAACACTATAATTAAAGCACAAATCTTAATGTCCACAAAAAAAAAAAGCACAAATCTTAATACATTAATAAAACTGTATACAGCAAGACCAACAAGAGGCAAACATGCATGATATGGAACACCAAATCCAACACACATCCACAGCTAAAGTACAACATATAATAATATAGGAATACATGACAAAATTAATACATATATATATATATATATATATAAATCCCAGTAGTTGAACTCTTGGTAGCTATTAAATTTGATGAAGTAATCAACATGCACTACATATTTGAGAAATGCTTTTGATCGTGATCAAGAACCCTCTTGGGGTTAGGGTCACTTTGGCTGAAAGTAGCAGACATGAGTGGCGATTCCCAGACAACACCAAGGCCGGCATAGGGTGGCGTCGCAGATGCAGTTGTAATTGAAATCAAAGGATCATGATCATGATCATCAGAAGGCAGTGCTGATTGCAGGTGTTGCTGGGCAGCAAAAGCATCCTCATTGATCAATGAATTGAGGAAGGAAGAAAAGACATCGTCAGAACAATAATTTATATCATCATAATCCTCATTGTTTGGGGTAAGTAGTTGATCATTGGTTCTAATTAAGCCCATTGTAGAGACATCATCGGCTGGATTAAGATTGTTGTTAGTTACGATATTCCCAGCTGTCGGAGCTTGTTGTTCATGATCATGATGATGATGATGATGGAGAGAAGTAATGAGATGATTATGATGGAGAGCAGAAGGGGTTTGGTGAACCTTGGCGGTTGGGGGTTTGGGTACTTTGGATGAATGATTAGAAGGTGAAGGAATAGATGGTGGGTTGAGAGGCTTGTGGGTTCTTGGATCAATCCCTTGGTTTATGAGCTTCTTGCTGAGATGTGTGTTCCAGTAGTTCTTTATCTCATTATCTGTTCTTCCCGGTATTCTACCAGCTATCAAAGACCATCTGTTATGTTACATTAATTGGAATATACAATTATTAGTAATATTCGATCTGATTAATTGTTAGAATAGAATATCAATTATTAATTAAGGAAAACGAAGCCATATATATATATAGAGAGAGAGAGAGAGAAAAAATGGGGTAAGTACAGTAAACCCTAGCTAGTTAATAGATAGATAGATATATATGACTATAACCTAACCCTAACTAAGAAATGGTACTTGCGATCGATGGGAAATTGTTGATGAGAGAGAAACCCTAGCTAGCAGAAGAAGATAGATAGATAGATAGATAGATATACCGGTTGCCGAGGAGGCGGTGGAGGCGGAGGATGAGATCTTCCTCGTCGGGGGCGATCTGGCCGCGCTTGACAGAAGGGCGGAGATAGTTCATCCAGCGGAGGCGACAGCTCTTGCCGCAGCGGAGGAGGCCAGCTCTCTTGGGAAGTGTTCTCCAACGACCTTCTCCTTCTTTCCTTATATAATCGGCTAACACCTCGTCTTCCTCAGGAGTCCATGGCCCTCTCTTCAAACCCACCTTAATGCAGCATGGAGTTATAGTACTACTGCTGCTGCCACCACCACCATTACTATTCTTCTTCTTATTTGTTGAACCCGGGTTCCTCATCTCAATTCCAATTTCTCAATTAATCCTTTATAACAACAACTATTATATATACTCAGTTTGAGAGTGCGTCTGTGTTCGAGAGATAGAGATGGTCTGTTATAAATTCATATGTTTCTCTTATATCCCTCATTTCATTGCTTCACAATCCAAATTCACTAACACGCGCTCAGGGTCAGCCCTGAGATCCACGTCTGGCTATGTCACTGCCAACCAAACCTTTTTTGTCTTTTCCTTTTTCCTTTAATAATCTCTCTACTCTTTACTCTTTTTTCTTTTTTCTTTTTTGAAAAAAAAAAAAAAAAAATAATTAAATCTCTCTACTACAAACACTAATCAATGGTTAACTGACCAAAATTTCATTTTTGAATGATTATGATCTTAATTTTATTAATTGTTCAATTAAAAAAAATGTTACATGAGCACGTTTATCCCTCCGTATTATTAATTGCTGTTTTTTTTTTTTTTTTTGACAGGGAATAACTTATGCTATCCTATCGAATCAACTCCATTACATCATGGTTCAAGGATACATATGTCAACCGACCAAACGAATCATGAAGTTTCTTAACAACGAAGGATATATATTGAAAATGACAACTTGGTAAAGGTGTACTAATTAAAAGGGCTGGTTTTGGATTTGGTGACTCTTTTTATCCTCCTGTACAGAGGTAGCTTGGAATTTGGGCCGCGTCGGAAAATACATATGAGAGCTCTAATAAATCTTCTGGACTATTATATTTTCATTTCTTACGGGCCAGGGAGAAAATTGCAACCCAATTCAAATTTTTATTGCAACATAAAAAGGAGAGAGTTCTTTCCAACCTTCTATCCCTTGATGGAAATAAACTCTGCTAAATGGAGTGCGGTTTAATTTAGATCCAATTTCAAAAGAATACTTGCATGATTTTGATTTATGAGCTGTTTAAAATTAATGACTTAAGTTTTAATTTTATACTCATTTAACCACCCAAAAAAAAATTATAGTAAATTATTTTTTATATATTTGATTAAAAATGTATATTGTATGAAAATTGAATAAATAAATATGTATAGAGAGAATCAACTACCAACTAATAAACAAAACATATATGCTATTTAAAATAACTTATTTAGTTATTAAAAAATTGATTTATAATTTATTAGATTACTTGACTTACTTTAAAGTTTATTTCTGTTATGAGGTGCATTTAATTTGTTTTAGTACCATAACGTAGAGCATAAGATACATTGTATGGAGAAAAAATAATTTTTGCATTCGAAGGTCACATTAAATTTCAATTAATTTGAGTTGAGCTTTATGAATTTATTTAAGGAGATAAAAACTCTCCGGCTATTTGCAGCTTATAAAAAAAAGGACGATTATATTGACCAACATTTTTTTTATATAAAATTTATAAATTACACTATTTATTACCGATAAGACACAATATAATTTGTAAGAGTTTGTAAACAAAAAGTGTGTAAATATAACTTTTCCTTATAAAAAAAATTGAAATCTTTTATCGCTTGAACCAAAAAAATAGTTTAATTATACGTATACAACGAGTCGAACATAAATCACGAAGCCCTACTCCACCGTCATGATGGGCAGACATCAATGGCGGAGCCAGGATTGGGGGAAGGGGGCGAATTTTTTTTTTTGGGGCTGAGAAGCATCATATCAGGAAATTTATTTTCTCTGTTTACTCTATGTTTTTCTTCCCACATGCATCTCTTTGTGTTTTTCTCTGTTTTGAAACCGACTCATATCAGAAAAACCTTTCATCGTTCAAAGCCAACGCATTTTCTTGGGTTGAGCAAATTTCTGCACCCAAAGAAACCCCAACAATCACTTTCACAGATGACCTAATTAGAAAAAGAGCCTCTGCTCCCATATTTAAGTCCTGTAACACCCCATATATATCCAGTAATGTTAACATACTATCGTATTAAGCTGCGCTTAATTAAAAATGCGGAATATCTTTTTCTTCTCAATTATGACGTCATTAATCATTACCAACTTGATTACTTACACATTTTCAAAACATCGCCTGTATATACATTGCAATAAACAGCTAACTGAAAAACCTCATTAATTAAAAAACATAAGTATGAGTCTCTAGTCACGGAACTACAATACGTAGACTGGACCATCTAATAGTTTATACAACTCAACTCAAAAGTACTAACAACATAGTGGCATGGACAACTCCCATGCTCACCCAAATAAGGCAACAAAGCCCAACATCAGTCTCAACAACAACAACAACAACAACATAAGCATAAATGACGGAAAACATAAACAGCATCCAATCCAGTCATGGCAGCATAATATGAACAGCACTAAACATCAACTAAGCTCTGGCCTCCTGCCGCCAGAGGCATCAGTCCTCATACTACCTGAACCTGAAATAAGCATTCCCCAAACGTGGGGTGAGATCTCTAAACCAGAAATCTCAGTAAGACAAGGGGTCCTCAAGGATCTTCCACCCCAAGCTCACTTACATGTGCAATATAAGTTCAAAAGCAGTTTATCATCATCAGTTCTAAAATAGTTCAATGCAGCAGATAATCATGTCATGTGTGTCAATTCTATTCTACTAGCCAGAGAAATGCAGGATTTATATACGTCTAATACCCACACATAGTGCAAGACGCCACTTGCATCCACCCCGAATCACTGTCTTGTATGACGCCACATACTTATGCTTACCGTCAAGATGGAACAACACAGGCATATTAAAAGCCATTACACATAAAGCTCAACAACATTTCAAATATTCAAAGCATGTAACCATACCCCCACAGGACATGGTGGAACCACAACATGGCTAAACCGAGGACACGAAAGCTTACCTTGCAAGCTAACACTCCAAGCCAAGAGTCCAACCAATCCTCAAATTCCAAACACAGCAGAATCACAATCTGATATAGACCAATAATGAATCAATAAACATGCACTACAAGCATACAATACAAAGACAATGCCTTTCTTACGTTTTACGTCTTAAGGCTTCTCACCGAGCCATAAACCCTTGATCCATTTATTCTGACTTAGTTAAGTATTTACAGAAGTTCAACTCTATCAAAATAGGGTCCACAAACCCATAGCTCAGTTCTGTATGAACAGTACCTTACTGTTCCTCGAAATCCCAGAATATCCGGATATTTGTCGGGGGCATATCCGGATATCACTCTGCCAATATCCGGATATCCATATCCGGATATTCAGATCCCCATATCTGGATATGCATATCCGAATATTTCGTGACAGAATGCAGTTCTGCATTTCGCGAGATATTCTTCCCAAAGATGGCTCATTTCATGCATCCAGAAGCTTAAACATGCGATTTAAGGTGTGTTTAACAATACCCAACGTTAAGTTATCAACTTTAATCCATTACATGCATCAAGGTTCCATCTTTAAGCATTAAACTCGAGAACAAAGGTTGAGCAACTCACCAAAGCTTCAAACTCAGAAATGGAAGGCTCTTGGAGCTCACAACCAACTCCAAAGGTTCTGACTTGGTCCCAAAACGAAAATGCTAACACAAGCTTAGACCTTTCTACAAAAAGGAAGCTTCTTGAAGCTTCACAAGCCAAGAACAAGAGCTCTCACCAAAGGGACACCAACTCAGCCCCTCAACACCTCACCAACAACATCTACAACTCAGAAACAATCCTCTCAACACCCTCCCAATGCTACACACAAGTGTTTACAAGGAAAAGGAGAAGGAAAATCAAGAGAAAAGTGGTAGCTTGGTCCCAAAATGATGAAGAATGGCAATGAAACAGTGCCAAGCACTCAGCCACCCAAGGAGTCACGTAGGAAAACTAATTTGCCTAGGGTTTTGGGCCAAGCAAGGGTATTTATAGCGGTTTACAACTTAAACACACAGTATTAACTTTAATTGCTATGCTTAGCATTTTAATCCCAAACTCAGGATTCTTAACCTACTCAATTTTACAAGAATTATCATATTTTTCTTATATTTTTCGGAGCACCTTTTCGGTACGCGCTTTTCATAGCCAGTATCAGTTTTTGGCACCAGTTCTCATTATTTTAACTTCAAACTCGTTTTACAAGTCCTATATATTATTCTAGGAATTATCATGAACTTATTATAATTTTTCGGGATACTTTTTCGATACGCATTTATACCGACTAGCAGAACCGGTATCTGCACTTTTCTTCCGAAAAGCGACTTTCATCATTCTTAACCACTTTCTATAATTATTTAAGCCTCATAATAATTATTAGGGTCAATTATGGAATTATTTCCTAATTTCACATATTTAATTAATTAATTTTCTTAATTAACAGTGAGGTTTTTACACCCAAAAAAACCCCAACAATCACTTTCATAGATGACCTAATCAGAAAATGAGCCTCTGCTCCCATATTTAAGCCCCAAAAAGGTGCCTTCTCTGTCATTGCAATCTTGGCTTTGTCCATTGCCAGAGAATGATGAAATCTACTTTGCGGAGCTTGGGGTAAGGGGGGAACCCTAGCTCCCTGGCTCTGTCACTATCTGCATTCATCATCAATGAAAAAAAAATTAAAATTCTTTTTTGGGAGGGGGGACACCCTAGCCCTTCCCTGGCAGACGTGTAAATGGGTCATCTGGTCTAACCGGGACCTACTGCATCAGGTCAAGTTCAACCTATTATATATAGTTAGATAGATCTATGTAGCACCGATATCGACACGGGACACGATACACCACTACACTCCGACACGTTAATTCTAAAAAAATGTTAGATTTTGACACGTTAGGATACATTTTGATATTGAATAATATTTTTAATTTATGTTACATATATTATATTTAATATTCAACAATTTAACAAAAAAAAAAGTTAAACTTATAATACCCATTAATTTTGCAAAGAAACATAAGATATCACAAATATTTATATTAAATTCAATAAAATGGTAATAGTAATCCAACAAATCTAATAGTTAGAACTAAAAACGTAATTCAACCTTTGAACCTTTTTCTGAGTTTCTACAACGCGCGTTGAAGTGTCAGAAAGTGTCGAACACCGGACGTCGGATTTTTTGAAGTGTTAGTGCTTCATAGAGATAGAACATGCTCAGGCCTCAAAAAAAGCATATTTTATGCTAGGTCTATAAACTTACACGTATGCTTATATCATATTATTTATTTTAAATAAAATAAGTAAATTATTATTTAATAATTTTGAATAATAAAGTAAAATTATTTTAATTATTGAATGCCTAATAAACTTAAACACGCTAATAGGCCTAGGTCAAGATGTTTTATTTTGAAATATAGACTATGACAAACTTATAATTTGAGTATATACAAGACCAACAGACTAGGTAAGACTTAAAGTAATTTACACAGACTTTATCTCTTTAAATCAAAGTCTAGCTCAACCCAATCTAATTATACCCCTAGTGATGGGCACTTTTTTTTAAAATAATAATAATAAATTTTGGGTTCATTTTTTCACCTGTAAGTCTCACTAAAAAAAGCCAATATCCGTTGACATATCCGGGTAAAAAAGCCAAATCAATTGACGTGTACTGTTACAGCAGTGAATAATACCATTCATGCAACCTAAGAAACTGATTTCACACATATAAATTTTTCTTAACACTTTTCCTTTCCCATTTCCATTTACATTTTTTATCAAGGAAACAAGTTGCAAGCTCGTTTACATGACACGCGCATATAAAACACCCGCAACTATAAACGGGAATCTGATCAATCCTCGTGTTATCTCTGATCAACCCGCAACATGAGATACGGTATGATACGATTTTTCGACATGTTAATTCGATAAAATGTTATATTTTGACACGTTAAAACACATTTTGATATATTAAATAATATTTTTAATTTATATAGTGTATATTATATTTATTTATTTATTTCCTAAAATAATATGTAGGACTAATGTTTCAAGTTTCAAGTTAAAATAATGAGAACTGGTGCCAGAACTAATACTGGCTATGGAAAAGAGCGTACCGGAAAGGTGCTGCAAAAAATAAAATAAAAATATGATAAATCTTAGAAAAATAAGTAGGTTCAGAATCTCAAGTTTGGGATTAAAATGCTAAGCGTAGCTATTATTGTTAATACTGTGTGTTAATTTAAGTGGACCTATTTATACTTAAGGGCACAATGCCCTAGGTCAGAATTATAACAATCCTACGTGAAGTTTCTGGACCTCTTGGCTGCTGGTCATTCCCTCCTCTTTCCACCTTCACCTCTCTTCCCTTTTGTGATCCAAAGGTGTCACATTTCTCCTTGTTCTCTCCACTTAAACACTTGTGTGAGTGAGGGCTTGCCTTGAGAGTGTGTAGGGGATCTTTTCTGAGTTTAGTTTCAGATTTTGTGAGTTTTGGTTGAATTTCTGAGTTGAGTGAGTTTAGCCATTGTCATGGCATTTTGAGCTCCAAGTTGTGTGCTTTGTGGAGAAAGACACTATCTTGAAGTGTCAAATTCGTGGACCTTAGAAGTCAGTGCTGTGAGACTGTGTTGGAAGCTCCAAGGAGGAGTATTTTTGAGAGATTGTGAAGCCTAAGGTATACCATGATCATAGTTTTGGTGTTTTGATGAGTTTAACTTGTTTAATCCATTAAAAAGAGAAACTTTAACCATTTGAGTAAAAAAATGTGTTTCTGAGTTCATAACATGATAATGAATATCTATTTAGGGAGTCATTTGTAACGTCCGGCCGCTTCAAGAATTAACGACTATCCCCACATACTAACACGAGAATTTTCAGTGTGCTTTTTCCTCACTCGCACACTTCTCGGGAAAACTTCCCATGAGGTCACGCATCCCAGAATTGCTCCAAGTCAAGCACACTTAACTGTGGAGTTCTTCCGATCCGGGCTACTGAAAAGTAAATGCATCTTGTTAGTATAGGTAGTACCAATTAATTCTTATAAGCTATCCCAAACTGTACAGTCTCATACCTGCACAGCCTTTGGAATCCCTCTCTTTCAGGTGTCGATTCGATTCATTCATGCATGTAACCCCCACTGGAAGCCTGTCAGGAGCAGCTCCTTGTTCATGCCATTTCGCACCGGCGATCACTCCCCGCCCTCGTCAGCGCTTGGGATGTTACATGCCCACCAGCTTCCGCCTGGTTCATCCTCGAACCACACCGTACTGGAAGAGAGGCCCTGCTCTGATACCACTTGTAACGCCCGACCGCTTCAAGAATTAACGATTATCCCTACATACTAACACGAGACTTTTCAGTGTGCTTTTTCTTCACTCGCACACTTCCCGGGAAATCTTCCCAGGAGGTCACCCATCCTAGAATTGCTCCAAGTCAAGCACACTTAACTGTGGAGTTCTTCCGATCCGGGCTACCAAAAAGTAGATGCATCTTGTTAGTATAGGTAGTATTAATTAATTCTTATAAGTTATCACAAACTGTGCAGTCTCATACCTGCACAGCATTTGGAATCCTTCTCTTTCGGGTGTCGATTCGATTCATTCATGTATGTAACCCCCCGCTGGAAGCTTGTCAAGAGTCGCTCCTTGTCCATGCCCTTTCGCATCGGCGATCACTCCCCTCCCTCGTCAGCGCTTGGGATATTACATCATTGGACTCCCAATCGCGTTTGGACCCTTAAAATTGGACTTATGCAGAAGAATGCTCGAACTTCTGCATTCTGTCTGATAAGTATTCGAATACTTTTCGTGTAGTATTCGAATACTTATCCCTTGATAGTCGAATACTCCTTGTAATTCTGGAAAGAAAAGTATTCGGATACCTTGAAGAAGTAGTCGAATACTGGGTAGTATTCGAATACTGGGGTGTGGGTATTCGAATACCTTGTGGTATTCGAATACCATGTGGTATTCGAATACCATGTGGTATTCAAATACTTCAGTGAAAGTAGTCGAATACTTTCTGGAGAGCAGGAGTATTCAAATACTCATCGGGGAGTATTCGAATATCTCTTGCAGAAACTGCCTAAAATGACTTAAAATGATATGGAAAGCCTTAATCACTTAATGTAACCTGGAGTAATGGTTATTGATGATTATTTACTGAATAAAGAGATTGTGATTGTGTTGTTTGTGGGCTTCAGCTAGTGTAAGCTCTTGGTTTTGACGTATTGCTTAAGAGGAAAGCTTTCATGTCTTCGGTTTAGCCATTGTTTGTTCCACCATATCCCATGGGGGGATGGTTTACATGCATGATGTGTTTTCATGTACTGTTTTATTGAAATGTTATGGAGTTGTTAAGTGCAAAATGCTTATGATATGTATGTGGTGTTTCGCCTAGCCAGGAAGCCATGGGTGGTCCTGGGGGCGGGTACAGCATGAGCGTGTACTGTGTGGGTAATAGACGTATTCCTGCACTTCTCTGATCAGTAGAATTATTATAACACACACGACATGACTATCTACTGCATTGCACTATTTTGGAACTTATACTGTGTAACTGCTTTTGGAACTTATATTGCACATGTAAATGAGCTTAGGGTGGAAGATCCTTGAGGACCCCTTGTCTTACTGAGATTTCTTGTTTAGAGATTTCACCCCACGTTTGGGGACGCTTATTTCAGGTTCAGGTAACTTGGGGGCGGATGCCTTTAGCGGAAGAAGGCCGGAGTTTAGTTGACTGCTGACATGACTAGATATTGGATGGTGTTTATGTTTCTGTCATGCTTATGTTATTTGATTTGAGACTATTGTTGGGCGTGTTGCCTTATTTGGCGAGCATGAGGTTTGTCCATGCCGCTTTGATGTAGTACCTTTTAGCTTGAGTTGTATAAACTATCAGGGTTGTCCGCTCTACGTGTTGTAGTTCCGTGACTAGAGACACATTTATGCTATTTATATATTGAGGTATTTCGGTTAGCTGTCTTTTTCAATTTACATACAGGCGATGTTTTATGAAATGAATTAAGCAATTCAACTTGGCTAATGATAATGATGTCATAATTGAAAAGAAAAAGAAATTCTGCATTTTTAAATTAAGCGTGACTTAATACGATGATATGATAACAAACCGGATATATACGGAGTATTACAGCCTTCACCACCGGCATCACTCGACAACATCAGAAAACCCGCGAACCAACCCGCGAGCCAGCCCACAAGCATTTTTTGAGCTAACCCGTTATCCATTTTTTCGAACCAGCTCGCAAGTTTTTTTTTTTTTTTAGCCAACCCTAACCCGGCTCGTGTTGGGTTTTCTGGCTCATTTTTTTTCGAGCCAACCCTAACCTGGCTCATTTTTTCGAGCCAAATACGAGTTGGGCCGGGTTGGCCCGTTTTGCCAACCCTATTTGCATACCTCAAGAGACATTAACAGAGAAAAATCACGAGAGGAACGAACAATGTTAATGATGATTTCGTTTAAATGTTCTTTTGTGCAAACAACATCCCTTAAATTATATACAACAAAATCAAATTGTCTAACAAAGTTTTAATTGCCATGAATATGTACCAAATTATATTGATTGCATTTATATTTACCAGTTCACATAACTAATATTTCAAAATGTCTACCGAAAAAAGAAAAAGAAAACTAATACTTTAGAATCATTATATATAAATAAAATCAGCAACTAAGATTAAATATAACACTAAGACCGGTATAAATTAATCATGTCCTATATCTAATGTATTTTACAATACTAACCCATTAACTATTAAAAATGCTTATCATGTCTCGCAACAAAGTTTTGAGCTAAAAACTACGAGTAACGTATATGCAAGTGCTAAAAAGTAAGGTAAGATAATCCATATATTATACTTTTTATTCAAAAAGTAAAGATGTATCTATTCTTAATTTAATTTAAAGAATATCATAATCTTAACCCACTAAAATATATAAGTAAACACAACTATACCTATTCACTTAATTTACAAAGTCGTTTTCGAAAAAGAAAAAGAAACCTTTCCCAAAGTATGCAAATGGCAACAAAACATCTGCATTGCAATTAACAGGAACAATCTAAAAGAAACCAAGAGCAAATTTCTGGTCATGTCTTGCTGAACATAATCCGCCATAATCTCTAATGTCCCTTCATTTATGTGCCAACATAAATAAAAGATAATCAAAACAGGCCTTATTTTCAAGAGAAAGAGGGATGGAGGGTAAATAAAAAGGTCACATCTGATTTGCATCCCACAGGTCGCCGCTTAAATTCTGGCTGAAATCACACTATGCCTTGGCCCTGAGAACGAAAAGATAATACAACTTTCATTGGCAACATAAGCTATATAATATTAACAGTTAAGAGTTTATAAGATCTTTTTAATACATAAAAAAATGCACTAAACGTCACCTTTTTTACAAAGTAGACACTCTGAACTTTAGCTTCGTTCTAATCACTTCTTAAAGTCTACCTATTTTTACAATAAATTCTTCTGTTAACTAGGGGTTAACTCACTAACAGAGAGTAAATCCTAACCGTTGGTCATTATTAAATCTCAACCAATTTTTAATATTATTAATAAAAATTTCATATTATTTGATTATTTTAATTTTATAAAAGTCAGGGTGTCCCGGCTCTACAAGCCAAAGACTTTGCCTTGCCCTCCAAGGCACAGTTAATCATGCTTTTAGACTTTTAGGTTACGATGATGTACTTATAATGATGCAAGCTTAAAGATGTTTTTAGGAAAAAAAATGAAAATGAAAATGAAAACTCCCCAACCCAACACAAAAAAGAGAGAGGAAGAGACAGAATAAAAAAGGAGAAATAAAAGGAAAATATAATATTGGGAGATAAAACATTCTCTTCTTTTATTTCTAAAGTTTATCTTCAGATATTTTAGAAAGTTATGTTGGTGATGTTTTTATCTATGGTATTTTTAAGTTATTTCTTTAAAGTTGTGAAAGTGTTGTTAATCTGGCAAAATATTCCTTTTACTCTTTTAATTTATCTTTTATTTGTGGTATCAACGTCTCCCTGTATGTTTATCTTTTATTTGCATTTAATGAATATGTTTTTAATTATTATAATATGTTTTTAAGATCATAAAACTAAAGAATTCCTTTGGTACTAAGTGGATATTAACGGAATATGGAATCTGAATGATTCTGATGTGACTGACCCACAAGGGGATCAATGACGCCTTATCGTGGCTTGAGATTTGCCATACAGAACCTTTCACATTCAGAGACCCACAACAGTTTGGGAAGCTTCAGTTAAATATTACATAATTATTTACATGTTATTATTTCTATTATTTTTTTTAATATAACAGAAAGAATGATCTTTTCCGTTATTACGGTTGAAATGGTTATAGTTAGAAAACCTCAATATTACTGAGATTCCTCTCACTTGTTTTGTGCTAATCTTTCCAGAAAAATAAGCATGCCAGTACGGAGACTGGAGTTGTAGAATTTTTGTATGCCTGTGAAACATCTTTAGAGGAGAAACAATTTCTTTTAATTTAGAGGATGATGTAATTTAGTCTATCTTCAGTTTAGACAATTATGTAACCTAATTTATTCCAGATGTATTAGCACACGTAACTTATTGTCTATGTATAATTAAATTCTAAGAATACTTCTTTTATATCCGCTAATCTAGATTCTAACTTTCTTGATTATAAAATAAAATTTAAGAAGCAATGTAATATCCTCTATATCAATTATAGGGGATGTTACATCACGAAAGTCCTTGACCATGCCTAAACATACAGAACCAAAACAAGAAAGGAAGAAGCACAACACTTTGTAATAAGGAATTTAATACAATTGCTTAGAATTATTTTTTTGTAAACTTACAAAAAAAAATTATTTCCCTTGGTAAGATTTTTTATCTGCATAATATGAAAAGCAAATTTACAGCATAATTTCTCCAATGATTCAGAACACAATTAAACCCATAAAAGGCTTGTAAAGCACCAATTCAACCCAAAAACTTAAACTGTTAGGAGAAGGTCACACTAATAGTTTTATATTATATGTCTCTAACATTCCCTCACATAAGAGTCCATTGAGCTTGAAGGGTAGACAATGCATAGGCCCCCGCGTACCTATGCTTAGAAACTATATAATATTTTAATTATTTATTAATAGAATGGAGCTCATAATAAGGATGCCACTAAACACAGGAATACAAGTGGTTGTTAAAGACTCTGTTTCACGGCAGAACTTCCCCCATCACTCTAGAGGACATATCACGATAAACAATTTGCAAGAGTGCTATATTAACAACTTGGCTTAAAGCTTATGTGAAAATGACAGTAAAGTTCCAAGTAGAACCAGAGTTTGAAAAATCTAGCAATCTGAAGAATGTCAAATTCACTATAAAAGAACTTTTTTTTCAGAGAAAGAGAGAGCGAAAGAAGAGTAGAGTACGATACCCTGTTTAATAAAGGGACAAAAGAGGTAACAGCAATCAAGCTCATCAATACAAGAATGCAAGATGCTCAACGAAAAAGAAAGTATCATTAATTTTGTCGTCAAATGCTTTGAATCATTAAACACCAACTAACCTTTCGATGTAAGAGTCATCCTCTGTATTAACAACAATGGCATCACCAGCTACAATGTGAGGTGGAACCTGGAAATCATTGATCAGACAAATAAACAAGACATCAGCATTTAGCATTACCAGCACCGAATATTGTATTAGTTCCATTCCACTTCAAATGTTCATGGAAAATGGAAACAATTTTTAGCAGTTAAGGACATACCAATTTGTTAATAATCAATTCATTAGTTATATCCTTTGATTTGAAGCATGAGAAAACATTTCATCTTTAGCTTTGAAATAGAATGGATGTAAGCATTCCCAGGTTAGAAAAAAAAAAAAAAAACTACGTATTCGAACTTGCCAGCTTTACAAGAATTGAGTTCACCAAAAATAAGTTACTTGCCTTTATGGAAGCTGGCTTATTTTATATTGATAGACTCTCAGTGTCAGCAAAGTCCTCCCATACATGAGAATTTGCAATTGACTGAGATGTGTTTCTTTAAGCATGACGTCTCATCCATTTTGTAGACTCTGGTTTACATACATCAAAGCTGTTTTTTTTTTTTTTGTAACTGGCTAGTGCTAGGGTTTATTTTTGTAACTCCCCCCCCCCCCCCCCCCCCTCTCTCTCTCTCTCTCTCACACACACACACGTCTTATGCTTCTGTAGGTTGTGAGTTACACTGACAGCTATGAAGATAACTGCCAGACAGTTAGCTAAGTAAGATTATGTTAGCTGCTGAGTCAGTTTCTGATTGCTTCCAGATATGGCAAACTCTGCTTTTACCTCTTCATCTACTGTGCCTTCTATTGTACCTGTGGTTAATAGTTAATACTTTAGCTTTTCTACCCAGCACAACGGTTACAAATGCCCATCACTTGATGGAAAACTGTTCATCTCCAAGGATGTTCTGCTCAATGAGCACCGGTTCCCTTACTCCTCCCAGTTTCTGCCTCTGCCAACCTACCTATCTCACCCTCGTTGCCCACTGATGGGCCCCTAATGCCTTTTAAACAGATATACAAGGGAAAGAAGAGTGAGTCAATTAATCCACTAGGGCTAGCCTAGTGGTGTGGGTGTGTGTAATAGGGTGTGTGTGAGTATGTGGTTGTGTATTTTATTCCCAGTAACCTACAAAAAAGAAGAAGAGTGAGTTAATTGGAAGGGGGTATAGGTGGCAAGCTGTGAATGGAGAAGGGGAAGGTAGTGGAATTACACCTTGAGTTGGTTATAAGTAAAAAAAAAAATAGAGAAGAGGGGCATACATGAGTTAAGCTTTGTGGAGTGGGGGAATTGGGATCTTCTGGAACCCACAGTTGTTGATTTTGGGAGGGAGCTTGGGAATTGGGTCCTTGTTATTTTATTGCATTATTTCCACCTTTAAGTTGTAGTTAGGAGATAATCACATTGTGTGATTATCCTCATAGTTTAATTGAGGTTTTTTTTTTTTTTTTACTATTTCATTGTGCTGAACCTGGTGTAGGAGCTAGTCTCCATTCTCTTTTATATCAATATTAAGCTGGTACGATCAATTTGGTATCAGAGCACTTTCGATCCTAAAGGTGCTTTATGGTCCGTACAAGAATGGAAAACAGACTAGTGGAAGTCGAGAGGTGCATTGAGCATTTGGAAGACAGGATCGGTGGTGTTGAGGACTCGGCTTGTCAGCTTCGAGAAATAGTTCGAGAGTTTCTAGACTGTGTAGATCTGCGTGATGTTAAATCAGGCACAAGGGATACAGGGAACCAGATTGATGCACGAGATAGTGGTGTGGGAGGTAGAACGTTGAGAAATGGGACGAACCCACGAGAAGAGGAGAGAAAGACGAGAATAGAGCTCAAGTTTTGAGAGAGGAAATCAGGGCAGAGATTTGTTTTCACGCTTTGGCTTATCTAAGTCATATGACGACCCAAGCACAGAGAATAAAAAAAATAGAAGTAGAAGAAGAAGAGAAGGAGATGGCGCGCAGTAAGGTTAGAGCCCTAATGGACGTGGAGGAACTACGTTTGGGGCGGGCATGGGTCAATACAAATGGGTTGCCTCACCCATCAAAACCCAGCCCATTCCAATGCAATAACTCTAGAGTTGCGAAATGGGCCTAGAACAGGCAACAAGGTTGTTGAGATATATAAAATCATTAATGTAACCCCACCCAACAGCTTAAGCTTTTGGGTTGAATTAGTTATTTACAAAGGTTGCCTTCAATCAATATGGGTCCAACATTTTGTCACATGCGAGCCCATTTAACAATGAGTGTTGGGTGCACTCAAAGGCCAGCCCAAGGAGCTACAAACCTGAATAGAATAGAGAATGGGGAACCTAAAGAGACCTCACATGCGTTTTAGGCATTGAACACCGAATGAGATGGCAGACAGACGACAACGCCACCTGTGCTTCGGGTGCGATGCCCCATTCTAGTTTGGCCACATTTGTCAAAACCCTAATCTTCGCATGATGCTTCTGGGTTTAGATGAAGAGGTGACCGAACATGAAATTGATCGACGAGAGGCAGGGGACGCGCATATCAGACTTAGTGTCCCAACATGGTGGGACTGGCTTCACATAGGTCCTAGAAAATAAAGAGGGATGTCCATGGAAGACGTATAGTTGTCTTGATTGATACGGAGGTTACCCATAATTTCTTAGCCAGATACTTGGCGGAGGAGCTAAAGCTGGTGGTGGAGAGAACATGTAAGCATTCGGTAATGGTGGGGGAAGGTGCGAAGGTTTGTTGCCAAGGTGGATGCAAGGGGATTCAATTGGAATGATGGGTATGCCAACTGCTCAAGACCTTTACATTTTCAATTTTGGGATACTCATGGTTAGAAAAGGTGCATGAGATTTAGGCCAACTTTAAGGAATTGATTTTGAGGGTGACAAAGGGAGATAATATGGTTGAAATTAAAGGAGATCACACACTTTCAAGGGTGTTAATTTCTTTCAAGGGATTGAATAGAAAGTGCAGGAAGGAGGCTGAGAATTATTATGCGAAATTGAGTTTTACGGGAACAGAGAGTAAGGAGTATTCAAGAGTCCCAGTGGAGGTTAAAGAGTTATTGCAAGAATTCCAAGAAGTTTCTAAGGGTACTATCGAGTTATTGCAGCTGAGATGTGTTAACGTTAATGAAGTTTCTACATACTCTATTTCATAGCCATCCATATATACTATTGAAAACAAACCAAGTTTCGTGGCAAGGACTTCCATAAAGGACAGAGCACTAGAGGAGGATGAAAGAGCAACGAATTGCAATGGTATAGAAGGATTCAATGATAGTTCAATATGCTTCAAGTAATGAGACCCGGGTGGAAGTTTTTCTCACATTTGTGGCTGGGACATGACCTATTTCTTCACCTTGCGGACAAGGTAAATCTTGATGGATGGGGTATTGATGGGCTCCTAATGCCTTTTAAACAGATATAAAAGGGAAAAAAGAGTGAGTTAATTGCAAAAGGGACAGGTGGTAGGCTATGAATGAAGAAAGGGAATTGGGAGGTAGTGGAATTGCACCTTGAGTTGGTTATAAGTAGAAAAGGAGAGAGAATAGGGGTATACATGAATTAAGCTTTGTGGAGTGAGGAAATTGGGATCTTCTGGAACATAGGGTTGTTGGTTCTGGGAGTGAGCTTGGGAATTGGGTCCCTTTTATTTTCTTGCATTATTTCCGTCTTTAAGTTGTAGTTAACAAATCATCATATTTTGTGATTATGCTGTTAGTTTAATAGAGTTGAACCTGGTGTAGGAACTAGTCTCCATTCTCTTTTATATCAATATTAAGTTGGTGCCATCATCCACTACCACTGAATTTGTATTATCTTCTTCTACACTTCAGTCAGTTGGCACTTCACCTTGACCTTATTCTTTTAATGATCATCATCCTTTTAAAATATCAGGACCCGACAGGCATATACTGAAATCTGTGTGTCAACTACACAGTGGAGGCTCTATTATATAACTAAACGAAAATGAATTACAAAGAGATATACATGATGTGGGACTTCGTCCCTCACACAAAACTACTTTATTTACAACATTTCCCCTCAAGCCAGAGCATACAGATCATAAGCACCACCAACCTTGTTACATATGTAATCTATTCAAAGACCTCTCAAAGGCTTAGTAAACACATCAGCTAGTTAATCATTTGAATTAACAAAATTAGCTACAATATCTCCCGAGAGGACCTTTTCATTGAAGAAATGACAATTTATCTCAATATACTTAGTCCTTTCAAGAAACATTGGATTTGAAACAATATGCAAACTGGCTTGATTATCGCAAATGAGAGTTGTTGGTCCAGTGTCTCCAAACTTGAGCTCCTTAAGCAGTTGTTTTAACTAGATGAGTTCACAAGTGATTGTGGCCATGAAACGATAATCTATTTCAACACTCAATCTGGAAACTAAACTTTGTTTCTTGCTTTTCTAATTTCTAGGATACTAAATTATCACCAACACTCAATCATGGAGGAAAGCATTCTTGGTATCCAACTAATAAAGATGACAGTGACGGATAGCAGCCATAGTAAGAAAGAGGCGAACAGAGGCAATTTTTGCCACTGGGGAGAATGTGTCTCCATAATCTAGGCCAAACACCTGAGTGTATCCCCTTGGCCACAAATCAAGCATTGAGACGGTCTACCTAACCATAAGGACCAACTTTGACAATGTATATCCATCTGCAACCAACAATAGACTTCCCATATCCCAAGTATCACTGCTCTGAAGGGCAAACATTTCATTAATCATAACATGTCTCCATCTTGAATGAGATATAGCCTCACCTACAGTCTTCGGAACAATCACAGAAGATAAGGAAGAAAGACAAGCAAAATGTGAAGGTAAAAGCCGATGATAAATCAAAGTAACATAATGAGGTGAGGGATTATGAGTAATACGAATATCTTTGCGGAGAGCAATGAGTAAGGCACGGCCGGAGCTAGAGGCGCATAAGGTGCCAGAGAAGAGTCCGCAGGAACCTCAGCAGCAACAAGAGCAAGTGCAATCTCAAGTGGAGGTGGTCGACGGTAAGGGGCAGATAAAAATTGGGTCATCCTGTGTAGGAGGGTGGTTGTGGCCGTGTGAACTCAACCAAGATCGGAGGAAGCGATAAGGTAGTAGAGGCTGGCTCAGAGTTTGGTGAAGAGGACCCAAAGTAGGGATCGTACTCAAATAAGACAACATCAGCCAAGATTAGATAACGATGAAGAGTGGAGGAGTAACACCTGTAACCTTTAAGGACCGAGTGTAATCAAGAAACACACTTGTAGGACAAAGCAACCAATTTATCAAGGGTAGGACTAAATATATTTGAATAACAATAATTTTAGAGATCGTACATCAATCTAAGGGGATATCAGACTGACCCTAAGTATAATAAGAAAGACAATAAATGTTGCTAGTACCTTTTGCATGATATAATAACTAGATTTCCAAGGTAAATGAGTAATTATTTTACCATTTACTTAAACTATTAAATAAATAGAGAAGGGAAAAAAAAATCATTCGACTTACTTCAACTGTAAGGCCGTTGTCCAGTACAACCTTTTTATTCCTAAAATCAAGGAGAGAAAAAAGTTAGTACAAGTGTAAATTTTACAAGCCAAAGGATGCACAGAGAAGCTCAAAAGCTCTATCCCAAAAGTTAACTTCATCATTGATATGTATAATGATGTCATATATGCAAATACTAGCAAGTATTGTTGATACAGAAACAGAAATATAATTAGATACAAATTGAACCAAATGATCATTTTCCTCCAATTTACTGAGAATTAAACATGCCGAAAAAATATCACAGCTATATGATAGGACCCACAAGAAGAATAATTACAAAATTAGTTGGATAATTCAGTTACAGTAGATACATAATTAGTTAGATATTGAGCTGTTGGAGGTTGTTAGGAACAACTGCATAGCCTAAATAGGAGGAAAGGTAAAAGAGGAAAGAGGGATGTTGGGTAATGAGCATGGTTTAGAAATGCAGAAACAGAGTGGAGTTGTTTGAAATTATTCAAAGAAAATAGAGAAATAGAAACATAGAACACATAAATTGTTAATATGGAAAACCCTCTCAATATAAGGAGTAAAAACCATGTGACCAAAGGTCCAAGTCCAAGAAATTCTCCACTATGAAAATGAAGTTACAAAGAGTATTTCTCTCTTGTATATAACACAAAGGATTGCACTCAATATCTCACCCAATAATTGGATGGATTATAGTGAGTTCCTTTCTCGTTTTAGGGGTTCTTGTTTGGGTGCTTGACACATCAACCCATATCTTCTCCCCGATTTATAGATGGTCAAGGGACCACTCTTCCATGCTCTAGATGATTCTCAAAGCATGGAGACTTGAACTATTCTAGTTCCAATGTTGCATTGGAATGTGTAGCCAACTAAAGAAAAGAAATTAAGCAGGAAAATGCCAACAAATTTCTCTTTTTTGACTTAATTAGAGAGGGTAGTAATCCTGACACCTCACAGCAATCTTCAAATTTCTTGGTCAAAATGACCTTTCATCATGATGGACTAGTTCAAGTCGGTGTGTATTTTATCCAGCTGCAATTGCTTTTCTTCTATCACATCTCCGATCCAGTAATAATGAACATCAATATTTTTTGAGCGAGAGTTAAAAGTTGAATTTTTTGCCAAGTTTATCGCACTGTGATTATCACACTTTGTCACATATTTTTCTTGTTTGTAGCCGAGTTCCAGCAAGAAGTTCTCATCCATAGTATCTTTGCAAGTTTTTGTTGCAGCAATGTACTCTGCTTTGGAGATGGATTGGGCCACACATTTCTAGAGCTTAGACTGCCAAGATATAGCTTCCCATGCAAAAGTAAATAGGTAATCCAACGTCAACTTCCTTGAGTCGGCATCACCACCTAAGTCAACATTCGAGTAGCCTTCTAACTCGGGTTTTCGTTTACCGAAGCACAAACACCTATTATTTGTGTAGTACTGAAGTATTGGCTTTGTTACAAATGAATATCTACTCTATTAAGTCAAACCATTGGCCTTGATACCATGTTGAGTAAGGAGGAAACAATAGACATTTGATGAAATCTGTGTATCTCAACCACAAAACAATGTCCAGATTATATAGCCAAAGAATACTAAATACAAACACTAGAATCCTAATTACCGTAACGGCTAAGTGTATTCAAAAAGTGGGAAATAGGGTGCTAGGAGAAAGCAAAGGAATTGGATTCCATACAAAAGAAACATGGTGGTGGAATGGAGAGGTGCAAGAGGCAATTAAACAGAAAAGGGAATGCTTTAGATCTTTGCATAAAAGTCACAATGATTTGCAAAAATTTAGATTGCCGAGAAAAAATGCAAAGAAAGCAGTGCGAGAAGCTAGAGATAAGGTTTTCGCCAATTTATATAAAAATCTTGGGAGCAAGGATGGTGAAAAAGGTATATACATCCTTGCAAAAATGAGGGATAAGAAAAATAAAGGCCTCACCCAAGTTAGATGCATCAAGGATGAAAACCAAAAACTTTTGGTAAGAGATGAAGATGTAAATGAAAGATGGATGAACTACTTTAACAAGCTTTTTAATGGGGATGGCGATAAAAGCGGAGTAGGCTTGGAGGATGCTTATGATGATCGAAATAAAAGATTTGTGCGCAGAATCAATACACATGAAGTCAAGGAGGCTTTAAAGAGGATAAAGACTAATAAAGCTTTGGGACCCGATGGCGTACCTATTGAAGTGTGGAGAGGCTTAGGGGAGGTGGCAATAAATTAGCTGACCAATCTTTTCAATAAGATTCTTCCAACAATAAGATGTCTGATGCTTGGAGGAAAAGTATGCTTGTGCCTATTTACAAAAATAAGGGAGATATCCAGAATTGTTCTAACTAGAGCCATTAAGCTTATGAGTCATACTATGAAGTTGTGGGAGAGAGTTATTGAACATAGTTTGAGGAGAGAGACCAATATTTCTGTAAATCAATTTGGATTTATGCCAGGAAGATGTACCACAGAAGCTATTTTCTTGATGCATCAATTGATGGAAAGATATAGAGGAAAAAAGGATTTACATATAGTGTTCATAGATCTTGAGAAAGCATATGATAGGGTCCCAAGAAAAGTTTTATGGTGGATTCATGAGAAGAAAAAAGTACCCTCAAAATATGCAAAAACAATCAAGGATATGTACGATGGGGCTACTACATGTGTGAAAGCTTATGATGGAACATCAAGTTATTTTCCTATTACAGTAGGTGTACACCAAGGTTCGGCTCTGAGTCCTTATCTCTTTGCCTTAATTATGGATGAACTAACAAAAGACATTCAAGAGGAAGTGTCGTGGTGTATGTTTTTTGCTTATGATATTGTGCTTATTGATGCAAAGACACTGTTAATAGAAAACTGGAATTGTGGAGAAGCACTTTGGAGTCCAAAGGTTTCACGTTAAGCCAGAGTAAGACTGAGTATATGAAGTGTGAGTTTTCTCTAGTAAGGGATGGAGATCAAGACCCGTGCATCTACTTGGTCAAGAGGTACCCAAGAAAGATGCTTTTAGATACCTGTGATCAATTTTGCAAAAAGGTGGTGAGATTGATGAAGATATAAATCATAGAATTAGAGCAGGGTAGATGAAATGGCAGAATGCATCTGGATTTTTGTGTGACCGCAAAATTCCCCTTAAGCTAAAAGAAAAATTCTATAGAAAAGCAGTAAGGCCTGCAATGTTATATGGAGCTGAATGTTGGCCAGCACATAGGCAACACGAGCACAAAATGGGAGTAGCAGAAATGATAATGTTAAGGTGGATGTGTGGTTATACGAGTATGGATAAGATAAAAAATGAAAATATTCGACGAAAAGTAGGAGTAGTACCGGTAACTGAAAAGATAAGGGAGCTGGGAGCATAGATTGAGGTGGTTTGGGCACGTAATAAGACGGCCCCCTTGATGCTCCTGCAAGAACAAAAGTTTGTTACCAAGAGCTCGACACAAAGAGAGGTGGAGGTAGACCAAAACTTACCTGGGGAAAGGTAGTTAAACAAGACTTAATGGAGTGGGATATAGATTGGCAGACAGTGTGTCTTAGGACGGAATGGAGAAACACTATAAGCAGAGTGGAAAGTTAAACCTGTTGTTATTCCTATATTCCAGATTATCCCTTTTTAGTCCTTTTCCTTCAACCCCCCTCTCTTTCTTTTTCCCTTCTTGTCTTTTATCTTATTTCCCCCTTCCTCAATTTTTATTTTTATTTTATTTATTTTTATTTTTATTTTATTATTTATTTTATTCTATTGTTATTTTATTTTATTTTTAATCTCCTCTTATCTATCATTGGGTTCATTTACCACCGACCCCAATTAACTTGGGTTAAAGGTACTGCTAATGTTGATGTTGATGTTGATATAATTCTAACTACCATATTTACATAATCAGTAAGATACTATTTACATAGTATAATTACCAACATTATCTTAGAATAGTTTAGAATATCATAGATGATCTCTTAATAATAGTTTCTTTATTTTTTTATATTTCATGATTTATCTCCTTATTTAATTAGGATTTGGAGTCAAATATTAATATAAATAGGAATTAGTGCTTTGTAGTTATATCACACCATAACAATTCTTCATAACAATATCAATATAATTTTATTCTTCCGAGTGTTCGTTTTCCTCCCTTTATACCTAGATCCCCATAATTTCAACATAACTAATACTAAACTCCTAATCCTAATTAAATAAAAAATAAATCATGAAATACGGAAACCAATCCTAAGAAATTCTAAAATATTCTACGATATAATAATAATATTACGTGATATTTTCTAAATATTTTAACAAAGATCGAACTGGTTGGTGTTTGGGTATAGAGAACAGTACATGCAATAGAAGATTGAAGATTTGAAACTTTTACAAAAGATTCGTCTCAGAAGGAATTAGGTGGTCGAGTACGAAGTCTGGATGTCAAATTGAAGAAACACATCAGAAATTCCTATGACTCCTTAGGAATCACAAGTTGTGGGGTGGATGCTTGAACTGACCTCATTAAGGAGAAGATAAGCCCACAGAAATAGGTAAAATGTTCGAACCAATAAGAGGAAATCTTGTAACACAATACTTTAGCATAGTTCATCAGAAAATGTTCCAAGACATCCACAAAATAAAAGGAAGAAAATGCCAATGGCAAGGTACAAGATCAAGTACAACTTTTAAATGCAATAATGGATAATTCCATATACCTCGGAGTGGCTGCAATCCCTTCCTTGACAATACATGTCACGCGTTTTGGAACAGATGCAGATAAAGGTTTATCATCATAAAACTGTACCTTAACTTTCATTTCATCTGTTAACCAGGCAAAAAAAATGATAATTAACAAGTATAGAAGACCCAATTGAACTAAGCCTAGTTATATCTACCAAACTAAAAATTGTTACTCGATGACTACCAGAGGGTAAAATAATTTTGTTTTATTTTATTTATAAAAGAAATCATATTAGAGAGAACAGAGGAGAAAATACAATGAGAAAGGAGGATAAGGTCCTTATAAACATGACACCGAACGAGAAGAGGAGGGGAAGGTAGGGGGGGAAGAGCCTTGAAGACACAAAATTAGAAAACAAACTTATACCACAAATGCAGAACAAAGAGAGGCTACAAACGAAAGTGTGTCCCATAACATATGTAAAGATGACTTGGATAACGAAAGTGTGTCCCATAACTAATGATAGTGATCAAGCATATGATTAGAACACTACAATGACAAGAACAGACCTTCAAAAGTTATGCATTATGGACACATTAGATAAAGAAAGCCTCGGAAGAGATACAAGTTAAGAAGCTATAGGAAGGAAAGACTACACTGAACACTTACATCTGCAAGTAGTTGTCTAAGTAAATGAGAAATTTGAAAAATTGTTAGCACAAAGATCAGGGAAACACTTGGGCAACCTACCGAAAAAAGAAAAAAATAATAGTGGAATTGACAATAACCCATACCAATTTATTAGCATTGATGACAAAGTCAGAAAATAATTGGTAGCACAGCAACAAGTTATTGAAACAAGGATGCTATCTTCTAGAGTATGAGCATAAGCACGGTTGGAAACCACGTGAATTTTCCATATAAATTGAACAAAAAAGAGAAGTGATAAAGGATAAATAATGGTAGCTTTATCCACCTTGTAGATATAAACAATTCTTGCCAAACAAGTCTCTGGAAACTTCCATTTGATCCAATGTATCAGGGCTGACAACAATTACAAAGAGAAATCACATTAATTAACTTTGCTCACCAATAATTTCTTGCACCCAAAAGGGTAGTATGATATACTGACAGAAAACTAGGATGAAAGACGTAAGACTCACTCCATTAATACTACAGTTCCATCATGATCCATGCACATATAAATGAAAGTTTTTTCCCGAACGTAGACCCCTGCAAGTTGATTATCAGCAGGCGTGAAGTGTCCTAGTACATCACTAATTAGAGAAAGTAAATATTATCCCACATCAGGTTGATTTAAGTGTGGAAAATGCACAGATTCACACAGGTTGATTGGATTTGCATAACAAATATACACACACACACAAGTGGAGGATTACCTGTTTAGTATCCTGATTTTCACACTAATTTTAACAAAAATATGCAGCAAATTGTGTGCTGGACAGATTAGGGATTCAAGATTCACAGGTTCAATCAACTTAAGAAATTAATTTTCCCCTTCCAAGCTCCCATCTACACCCAAATATTGTATAGCTTAATTATTATATAGCACCATAGTCCATAGCATCTCTTTGGCCAATCAAAAAACGGAAATATGCCCAACAGTGTATATCATTTCTCCCTGTGCATGTATGAAGATGAAGCAAAGTTAAGCACGGGCAGTGTCATGAACCAGCTTCACCCAGAAGCTTAAGCTTGTGGATGATGGCATATGAATGGTTTTATTATATCTTTTAACACGCCCCCTCATGGTAAGAACTCTTTTTTGGGTTTTGAACTGTGGATCATGCACAGGACAATTTTTTTTCTTCATCTTATGCTGAAATTTAAAAAAAGTTATTCGAAGAATAAGGGCAGCAAGAATTAAACTCTAGACAACTTGGTCCATAGGTTTTAATACCATGTCATGAACTAACTATTCCAAAAGCGCTTTTGAATGATTTAATTATAGCTCTTAAAGTATGTAATATTCTAGCTCAAGATCAAAATGTTGACATATTGACCAAAGCGTTGTTCTCACATAGGTTTTGTGAAATGAGGGACAAACTCAAGGCGGTGGATACTTTTTCCATCTCACCTACCCTGAATTTGAGGGGGAAATGTTAAGAGTGTCAGACTTATAAGACACGTGCTTCTATTTAGTAGTTACCCAGAGCCTACTTATGCTAAGAAACTCCACAATATTTAATTATTTTTATTAATAGAATGAGGGCGGTAAAGATTGAACTCATGACCATTTGGTCACGACCTGCTCTGATACCATCTAAAGAACAATTTCAACCCAATAACTTAAGCTTTTGGATGAGGCTATATTAATGGTTTTATATTTCTCTAACAAGGGCCATTTTCGGTGGGCCTTCAGTGATTGGACGAGCTAGGGATGAGAACGCACACGGTACGTTTGCCGGTTGGAGAAGTTGAGGCAGCGAAAGATGGACGGGCATGAAAAGTGGCAGGTAAGGTCTTGTAAGGTTCTGTGAGGCCCAAAAAATAAGGTTCTTAAGCGCAATGAAAGAGCATCCAAGAGGTCAAGAAGTGGCTGCAATGAAAGTGGCGGCTGAAGGCAAAGTAGGATTCATTTTACAAAAGTAAAGCCTCCAATATCAAGAGCTATAATACCAACTTCAAATATAGAAATATGAAAATATTGAATATTATTATTTTTTGAATAATACTATACATGAGTTTTAATACGGCTCCCTTATGACTGAATGGTTACAGGTTCAAATCTAGAAAATAGTCATTTTGCAAATATACAAAGGTAAGGTTGTTTATAAGGATTGCCCTTACCCCACTTTCGCTAGTCGGGATTTAACGGGGAGTATTTTTTTATACTATACTTGAGTTTAGTCTATTATACAGACCTAATTGCCTAAGATAATGAATCTATGGAAACAGAATATTTACAATAATTACAATGATATACAGTGAATATTATATAGTAATGAATAGTAAAAGAAATAGGACTATAACAATAGTTGTATTACTCAAAAATTTGCGTTTGACATGTTACAAATATAGGGACATACTTTCAATATCCTCATAAGTACCCATTCGTTGTGTTACCTTGTTACCGTGCCCAATGTCACGAAGTTCCACCTATTACAGAAACAACTACAATTTTCAGTTAGGAGTGGAGTTAAAAGTAAGAGTGCAGAAGTTAAAACTTACAACTATATCCAATAACAATAGCACAAAGAAGTAAGGCATAAGGAAAACCAAGAAAAATGAGATTTCCTTTAATCATAGGTGATGGTAATTGTAGTAACCACATAAACAGTATCTTGCTGATTATGCAAATAGGGTAGTCAATATTGTGTTGATATGTAAATAGGGTATTCAGAATCAAGTAATTATAGTATCTAGGATACTAGTGATATCTGTATTTACTACTCTTTGGCTATATCATGGAACTATAATTTATATAATAGAAATAGTAATGGAGAGAGAGCTCCTACACAATCAAAACAACAAAAAATGAAAGATGATAGCAGAATACAACTAATCTACTGTACAACAGTATACTGTTAATAAGCAATAACAAATTACAGACTCGATAACAGACTCAATGACAATTACTTCTTTTTCCTAGCTACTAAAAATGAACCTTCCAGTATCGCTTACTTCAGATGATCATTTTTCCTCCCCTCCCCTCAAGCAACTTTCCAGCTTATATCTCCTCCATCTCCCTCACGATCCACGCCACAACTCACCCAATTCCCATCGACATTCATTGCTTGTCACATGAAATTCTTTATAACTAACTCTCCTTCATTACCCTCACATGCCAACAGATTGTCACCCCCTCCTTCCCTTTGGGCTTTTGTTTTCCTCCTGTATACTTCTTTAAAAGGTATCACAAGCTCATCAACACCCCCTCCCTGAAGAATCACCTCGTCCCCAAGGTGAAAAGAGAGAAATTAGTCCTTGAAAGCCTCCATATTTCCCCAAGAACACTCATAATCCAGCTGATCTTCCCACCTCACTAATGCTTCGATTTGTCTAGTAAGCAGTCTTCTTGCCTTCAAAATTTCAGCAGGGTGTACTTGTTGCTCTAACATCTTAGAAAGGCAATTTGGGAGCCAATACTCGAACCATGGGATGCACATCCTCCTTGAGCTGTGAAACATGAAAGATGGGATGTACTTTTTGTGGAGGGAGCTCTAACTGATAAGCAACCGGTCCAACACGTTTCATGAATGTAAATGGTCCACAAAGCCGAGGACTAAGCTTTTGATTGAGCTCCTTTGCTAAGGAACGTAGTTTATGTGGCTGAATCTTCAAGTCCACCTAGTCCCAATTGCAAATTCAACCTCCTTTCTCCCCTTATTAGCTAGTGCTTTCATCTGTTCTTGAGTCTTATATAGGTTCTGTTTTAAATCCTTAAATGTAGCATCCCTAGCCAGCATCCATTGGTCTACTGCAACCACTGCAGAACTATTAGTGACAAACTGTATGAAGTTAGTAGGATCCCTCCCATACAAAGAACAAAAAGGACTTATTTGAATAGATCAATTATATGAAGAGTTTAACCAGAATTCTGCCTATGGCAACCACTTAACCCAGCTTTTGGGATGTCCGTTAACAAAGCACCATAAATAAGTCTCCAATGTTTTGTTAACAACTTGGCAATCCATTTGCAGGTAATACGTCGAACTGAATCTTAATTAGTGGCAGCCAACTGAAATAATTCACCCCAAAACTTACTAACAAACATGCGATCCCTATATGAAATTGAAAATTTGGGAAAACCATGTAACCAAACCATTTCTTTCACAAATATAGTAGCTACATCTTGGGCATAAAAAGGGTGTTTGAGTGTCATAAAATAGACATATTTTGTTAATCTATCCACTACAACCATGATAGTATCTACACCTTGTGGCTTGGGTTGCCCTTATATGAAGTTCATGGAGACATCTTCCCATACTCTTTTGGGCATTTGAATGGGTTGAAACAGACCAACTGGGAGCAAATTCTCATACTTTTGTTGTTGGAAAATGCCACACGCCTTCACAAACTCCGCAATGCCCCTTCTCATTCCCATCCAAAAGAAAACAACCACTATTCTTTTATCGGTTTGCATTTCCCAATAGTAATTTCCCCCATGGTGATGAGTGAAACTCATTCATGATAATTGGAATATAAGCAGAGGATTTGGGGATGACCAACCTATTTTTATACCAAGGGCAACCTTTCATCACATGATAGCCAGGATAGCACTTGGCGTCTACCATCACCTTAGCCATGATTTTGTATATGGTGGCATCTTTCACTACCTCCTTAGCAATAACTAGTAAATTTGGGCAAGACATAATTGTTAACTCCTTGCAATCCATGACTCTCAATAAAGAATCAGCGGCTTTGATCTCTATTCTTGGTTTGTAATGGATCTCAAAATCAAATCCCAGCAATTTTGCAACCCATTTATGCTGCCCTTCTGCCATCAGATTTTTTTCCATCAAATATCTTAAAGTCTTTTGATCCATCCTTATTATGACATGGCAACCCATAAGATAATGGCGCCACTTTTTGCGTAATGCATATGGTATGTGGCAGAACAACGTCTTGCATAATGCATACATGGGTATGTTGTAGGCTGGTTACCTACGTAACGCATATATGTATAGCAAAAACAATAGCTTTAAGCTCACTTTCGTACACTGAAATTGACTTGGCCTTTTTCAGAAAACACTTAGGTAAGATAGACAAGAGGGTGCCACTGCTGCATCAGTATAGCCCCCATACCAGCCCCTGAAGCAATAATTTCTACCACGAAAGTGTCATTTGAGTTTGGAAAGGCCAAATGTAGGTGAATGCATCATTTTTTCCTTCAATGCCTCACGAGCTTTTTGTGCTTCCTTCCCCCAACAAAAGTTGTCCCTTTTAAGTAAGTGTGTCAAGGGTTTGGCAATGTGTCCATATTTCTTGACTAATCATCTGTAATAACCGTTCAAGCCCAAAAAACTCTTCAACCCTTTCAAGTTGCTAGGAACTGGACACTTACTAATGGCTTCTAACTTCTGTGGATCAACCTTCACCCCTTCTTTGATATTAAGTGCCTTAAGTATTCTAATTCTATCTTTTTGAAATTGGTAGAGAAGTGCCTCAAAATTTCCAACAACTACGAAGATGATTTATATGTTCTTCTTCATTTACACTATACACCAATATGTCATCGAAAAACCCCAACACATACTTCCTCAAAAAGGGCCTAAAAACAATGTTCATTAAAGATTGGAAAGTGGACGAGGCATTCCTTAAGCCAAATGGCATCACTAAGTATTCATAGTATCCTTCGTGTGTGCAAAAGGCTGTTTTTTCTATATCTCCCATACTCATTCGTATTTGATGATAACTAGACAATAGTTTTAACTTAGAAAAAATTCCAGCTCCCCCCCAACTCATCTAACAGCTCATTAATTATCAGAAAAACTAACTTATCAGGGATTGCTACATGGTTTAATGCTCGATAATTAACGCAGAACCACCAACTTCCATCCTTCTTCTTGACCAAGATCAAAAGGCTGGAGAATGGGCCGCTATTAGGCCTGACCATCCCTAAAGCCAACATTTCCTTCACGAACTTTTCAATCTCCTCTTTTTGATAATAAGGATAATGATATGGTCTGATGTTTGGTATGCACCATCCCTCAGTATGATTTTGTGATCACAGGTCCTTTTTGGGGGTAACTCTGAAGATGGTTGAAACATGTCTTTGAATTCCAGCAATACTTCAACAATTTTGGATGAGATCACTGGTTGGCCCTCCTCCACCACTGAACAATAACTCAATTCAATATAAGACCTTTCCATTCTTTTTCTCCATGAACGACTCAGGCCCTTATATGGTCTCTTGCTACACGAGTCACTAACTTGCCCTCCCACGAAAACATCAAGATCAAATCCTTAAAGTTCACATTCCCCCAACCATTTGAAGCCTAGAATCACATCAACCCTACTAAGGTTGAAAACGAAAAAAAATTGTGTCACTTACAGACTAGGTAATTCCAACTGTTGTCCCTTGCACACTCTCGAACTACATATCTTGTGACTGTCACCAAGTCATGTGACTTCCCCGTATCAACCGATACCACCACCCGATGTCCTTTAACATTTCCCCAAAGTTTTAGAGAGCGATTAGATGTCATACCTACCATTCTGTGAACACTTAACTGCAGATTTCCATCCCCTTCTGCATCTCCCTCTTCTTTGTTCAATCCATTGTCAATAAGATCACTCTCCCCTTCACCCAAAATCATCACATGCAATTTTGGAATGTAACAAATGCGATCAAGTGAAAAGAGAGCATCACACCTGAAGCACAAATTGCATCTCCTCCTGTCGTTTAGTTCCTCCTTTGTTAATCTTCGAAAATGAGACCTTCAACGATCTTGACCATCGTTCACCATGGCAATACCCTCCTATGTCGTTTCCCCTCTCTCTTCGTTACAGTGAGGGTTTGTCGTACCCTCACTTGTAACAGATGACCTATTTCACCTCATTGGGCTATAACACTTAACATATTTCTCCCAATAGTATTATCAGTCTGCATCCTACTCCTATTTTCACGGTTACTCAAAGTGGATTGTCCAATATATCCAACCCCATCTACTGACCCATTTGTGTTACGACCCGTAAATGACCCAACCCGACCCAAAAACTACCCCCTCTGTTCAACCCTTTGTGCTAGCATCATCATCTGCCCTAGATCCGTTGAAAAATGTAAGTGTATCTCTACTCGAATTTCTTTTTTTAGTTCGTCAAGAATGCTTGCTTGCATCATATTTTCATCTACGTGCCTGAGTTCCTCTCTAAGCCTTTTGTGATGTTAATTGGGCATTGGATCCGGATGATCACACGTCCACCTTAGGTTCTTACATCTATCAAATCTAGTCTCATGGCGGTCCAAGAAATAGTTCTTGGTGGCCCGTTCCAGCACTGAGACTGAATAGTGGAGCCGAGCCACTATTGCAGTAGAAATTATATGGATCCCCTCCCTACTCACTAATCTACAAGTTCCCATTTCCACTGCAGTTATTTAATGCAACAACCTCAGTATAGTTTCTCTTCTTATAAGCCTGTTTCCCATGCTCACACCAAGCATATGAACTTGACATCTTCTTTTTTCAAGAGAAGGTTCTTAACAAGTGCCTAGTTGTTACTCATGTTCCAGCTCGAGACTGAGATGCGGATGTTTTCACAAAAGCTCTCTCCAGAGTCAAGTTCTGTTTTGTTTGAGACAAACTCAGGGCATTCAACCATCCTGAGTTTTCAGGGGGAATAATAGAGATATGCTCGTCTAGATCAGTAGTCTTAGTTACAGAAACAGTTGGTGTAAGCTAGCCTCTGTTATTACAATTAGTTGTTAGAACAAGTCTGCTAGAGTTAGTTAAAGTTGTCTCTAATTGTACAAGATTCACGATTCTATAAACGTAAGAACTCATGACTGATTTCATAAGAATATGAAAAATGATCAGTTTCTCAGAGATTTCTCTCCCTTTCATTTTCTCTTAGCTACTTAGTACTTACACTTTCCCTCATTTTCTTTGTTCATGCTCAGATTTTTTCAATATGGAACAGGTCATATTGAATAAGATGCGTGTCCAGTCAGGGTAAGTATGACGAAAGGAAAAAAGGAAATCTCAGAATAAACCTTGATTGTGGCTTTTCCTCTTCCTTCGTGAGAGTGATCTACTTTAAGAACCTGATGAGGTTTACATAACAAAAAACGGTGTTGGATAACAAGCTTCAATGAATATTATTTGACAACAAGCTGGTCGAGTAATTACTAATTACCTCGTAAATGCGACCTGGAAGCAAGCATGTGCAGCAGAACAGGAATACAGAGTGAATTTGTTAGTGAGTATAATATAACTGCACATATCGAATTGAATCATCAGAGTAAAATTCAATAGTCCAAAAGCAAGGCAACCTAGTTTTTCAATGATATTTCCGACTCTAACCTGCACCGCAATAAAACAACAACAAGACAGTGATGCGTCTACATAATCTGGATTGAATCCCGATAAATGGTTAAAGTTAATAGATGCATACATCAGAACCAGAGACTTTGATTCCCCGACATTGAATGGTAGACCATGGAGCGGTGAAGGGACCCGAAGGCGGTGAAGGCATTGAGTACAATAGTGGAGGAGAGCAAGAAAAAGAATAATATAAATACGATGACAGTCTGAAGAGAGGCTTGGAGTTAGAATCGGAGAGCCTCAATCTCTTGCTAAGAGTCAGCGACAGAGCTTGCATTCTCTCAGTTTTAGTTGGTCGATTCAGATTAACCTTCTTCGGAACACACTTCAGGCACCTACATAACAATTTACGATGGCCCCCGCACCCTAAAATCCGTCTGTTCCATATCGCTCGACATGCATGCTTATGATTTTCTGTACTTTTTATTTTTTTATTTCCTTAAACCCTAAATCCGTGGTTGATTATATGTCAAGAGGAGTATTATTAGTTTATCTTATCGTCTCATTTTATCTCATCCAATATATAATTTCTTATCCTATGATGGGATAGCGTGCGTAGTCTCATTTTATCCTATCCAATACAAAATTTCTTATCTTATGAGGGAAGCGTGCGTAAGGGGTGAAAGTGGACTGAGTTGGGCTAAGCTTTGCCCCGAAAAGTCCAAGCCTATGCCAAAAAAATTTAATTTGGTCTGGCTTAAGCCTACTGCGAGTCTAACTGATAATTTGGTTTTACCCGTTTATAAAAAAAAAAAAAAATAGCCTGACCTGACTCGTTAGCATGTTAATTTTTAACTTCTAAGCAAAATCATGAATCAATTTTACAAAATACTCAAATTTTGTTGCTAAACCAAAAATCATAATTTCAACGTCCAAATAGAATCATGAATAACAACAAAAATCAAACAATCTGCATTTAAGTCACTTTCGAAAGCAAAATGCTCAAACTAAATAACATATATTTCATCATATTCAACAAACAAATCCATGCTATTAAAATATAACATCTTTTAATATATTCCAACAAACACATCATGATGCTTGTAGTAAGTATAACATCTTCCAAAAATCTTTTAATATATTCATATACACAATTTAACATGTTGAGATGTTGATTCCTTCTTCATAAGAAATAAAGTCAAAATTCTATTAAAATATAATCGAATATAATTAAGTGTAAATAATTGCAATTGATTAAATTTATATCTTTTATTTTTTCTTTAAGGCATGCTTATTTTATTTCAAATAAATAGTACAATATAGGCCGAGTTGTAGGCTTATAGGTCAGCCCTTGTGAAAATTGACCTACGGCCTTTTTATTAAAAAAGGTTTTTCAAGGCCCAAGTCCGACCTATTTTACGAAATATACTAGGTCAGGTCTGTCATGACGTAGGTCGAGCCGTAGGCCCCTGTAGGCTGGCCCGGCCCAGTTTCACCCTAGGGAGCGGGTTAGGATTCAACAGGATAGGATACCCAATATATCCCCACGCTACCCAATATATCCTCGCGTTACCCAATATATTTGTATTTATTGTATTATTATTTTTTTCTTTTTCCTCCTCTTACATAATCTTATCAGATTGTTAATCAGGTGCTCATCAAACATAGGACATGATATCGGCTTATCAGTCCCATATAATATCCTACCATTATTCTATTTTGTTCACCAAACGAGCCTTAATACTAAAATAATGGTAAGTTGTTATCAAAAAAATAAAAAATAAAATAATGGTAAGTAATTAAAATATAAAAATAAAATAATGATAAATATAGCAGTTTTTAATTCTTTTATTTTATATGTATACTAGTATATCACTCGTACGTTGCACGAAAAAAAAACTTGATTTGTTTGACTCGTAAAAGTTAACGCAAATTGCAAAAGTATTTCGCTGCATTTTATTTATCAATATTAGTAGTACCTAACTCCAATTTTTTGCACATGTATACGACATTGGCCGATCAAATTCAGATAATCACGAAGAAGAAAATTTTTAAAGTTGCGCTTGACATCAAGGTAATAATGAAGATGGCTCAACCTGCACTCGCAAAAGTGATAAAACTCATTCCGCGATGCACTTTTCGTCCTTGCTCCTGTTGAGAATGAATGATAAACAATCTATAAATAAAAGTGTCAAATAAATAAACATGTATATATCATTCATAATTGTGCAGTCATGTCGTATAACTACAATCTATAAATAAAAACCTATATCGTGCATATTGATTTTACATGGATGACTATAAAAGGAAAGACAGTACCTTTAGAATATATACATTTGTTGTCTCACTATATTTCTCAAAATGACTTTGCGAGGAAAAAATAGAAAAAAAATAGATGTTTGTTTCTAAAATATTTACAGCAGTAAATCTAATGATCTTCATTCTTCAAATGTCATTGTATTAGCCTGTCCTGTAGTCATTCAAAAATTACGTAGCTTAACTCAACTTCTATTATTATTTCACAGCGATGGATTTTAATTTATCACAATTTGATTGTTCAATTTGTTTAGATGTTTGTTTCTAAAATATTTACAACAGTAAATTCAATTAACTTAGCCAAACAAAGACGAGTTTGTTAGATAATAAATATAAAGAGAAAAATTGTGTCAACGAGATAACCTGCCCGTTTGGTGGGAAGGGTGGGCCGGCCCTCAGGGCTGAACCCATTTTGCCACTTTAACTGTCAACATTTTATATCAGCATACAATAGGTTTTTACATTTATCAATAAATAAAATGGTGTTTGCAGGCAGGGAGGGTCAGCCTTCTGGGCTGAGCCCATTTTAACATCTCTAACTATCAGCATTTTATATAAACATGTAGGGGAAGGATATTGTGACAACCAAGTTGTGTTACTACCAAGTGACTACCAATCAATCTCACCGTTAGATCGATTATGTGGATCCAACGGTTATATTTATTTCCATCTTTGTATGGTCATTATTCCCCATATTTAAAGTGAAAGCATTAAATATGGGAAATCATAACCATACTAAGGTAAAAATAAATATAAAGTATTAAATTTGGAGAATCATGACCATACAAAGATGGAAATAAATATAACCGTTGGATCAATATAATCAATCTAACGGTAAGATTGATTGGTAGTCACTTGGTAGTAACACAACTTGGTTGTCACAATATCCTTCCCCAAACATGTAATAGATTTTTATAACTATCCACGCACAAAAAGTTCTTATAGTTTCATCTAGATTATTATCTATCCATGTTTTTTTATAGTTAGACAGTAATCATAAGAAGAAAAATGTGTTGGCGGGCTAACCCGCTAGTTTTGCAGGTGGGGCGGGCCTGTTAGCATTTTATATAAGCGTGTAATAGGTTTTTATATCTATCCACAAAAAAGATTCTTATAGTTGCATCTAAATTACTATCTATCTATGCTTTCTATAATTAGACAGTAAATATAAGAAATAAAAATAACGTCTTGGCGGGCGGGAAGGGTCGGGCCGAGTCTATTTTGCCACCTCTTGTCTGCATTTTGTATAAGCATGTAGTAGCATTAAATTATTACTCTTTTTTTTTTTTTTGGAGTTACCCAACCCTAATTATCTCTTTGAGACGAGTTGGCTCCCTCCGGTATCCCCACAAGCTTCGACTCTTTGAGCCAGCTATGGGACTAATCCGGAGTGTGGGGGAACAGTGATGGCTAAAGGTTCATCCCCCTCCCCAAGAATGCATTCAGCGGGAATCGAACACATATCCAACCCCACTAACTATTATTACTCTTTTTTAAAACGATTAAAGTAGTTTTATTATTAATATACTTAAACATTACACATGCGTAAAATAATTTGATATTAATGCAGTTATCTGCCACCCAAGAATGTTGTACTCTTTTCTCATGGATTATTTGAATGTGAATGATAAGTCCATGGGGGTAAATGTGGGTAGGGGTGTTCATCAACTGATCCAAACCGATTCAAACCGCGGTGACCGAATCGAAAAACCGAAAACCGAATAAACCGAAAACTGAAAAACGGAAAACCGAAAAAAATCGCAAATTTTAGTTGGATTGAATCGGTTTTCGAATGGGTTGATGAAAACCGATCCAATCCAAACCGATCCAATATATTAATTCTCTTCTACTTACTTGGGCCTATTCCTAATTATAATCCAAAAATTTCTAAACCCAATACATATTAACCTATCAACTAAACCCAAGAAAAAAAACGTAGTCACATCTCATCAATAATATTTCAAAAAAAAAACTATATTATCGTCTATTGATGCTTCTTATCTCGTTGCCAAAAAATAAACCTACATTATCGTCTATTGATATTTTTGTATTTCAAAAAATAAATAAATTTACAAATCAATATATACAGAAGTTGTTATTTGCACAATATTCATGAAACAAATTTTAGGATTTTTAAAAAATCGAAAACTGATCCAATCCAAACTGAAAAAAATTGGATTGGATCGGATCGGATTTGAAAAAAATCCAAACCGAATGGATGATTACATGAACAACCGAAGTGATTGGATAAGGTGATTTTTTCTTCCGAAACCGATCCAATCCAGATCGCGAACACCCCTAAATGTGGGGGTTTCGATTAGAGGTGTTCATCAACTGAACCAAAGCGATTCAAACCGTGGTAACCGAACTGAAAAACCTATAACCGAATAAATTGAAAATCGAAAAAACAAAAATCGAAAAAAAATCGCAAATTTTAATTGGATTGGATCAATTTTCGGATGGATTGATGAAAACCAATACCATCCAGATCGATCCAATATATTAATTTTCCTCTACCTACTTGGGTCTTTCCCCAATCATATCCCAAAAATTTATAAATCTAAGACACATTAACCCGTCAACTAAACCCAAGAAAAAATATAATCACGTCTCATCAACAAGGTTTCATATGTGTAGAACTTCATATCTCATTGCAAAAAAAAAATTGTATTATTATTTACTAATGCTTTTGTATTTCAAAAAAAAAATTACAAAGCCAATATATACAAAAGATGTTATTTGCACAATAATCATGAAACAAATTTTAGGATTTTTAAAAAATCGAAAACCGATCCAATGCAAACCGAAAAAAATTGTATTTGATCAGAACGAATTTGAAAAAAAATCTAAACCAAATGGATATTACATGATCAAACCGAAGAGATTGAATCAGATATTTTTGCTTCAAAAACCGATCTAATCCAGACCGCAAACACTTATAGTTTCGATATTATAGATCATTTAATGATGCTTGGACCTTGCTTGCTCCCAAATATACGATTTACAACTAACATGACCAATTGATACCATGCCTGCGACGTTGCAAGAGCAGGCTGGAACTTGATTTACGTTTAACTGTTGTTTCATTAATTTGTGAGCAACTCTTCTATTTCTTCTTTCAAGTGCCAAGGTTCAAAGCAAACAAACACAATGACATAAATTGCTTAAAGGCAAACAAACAAACACACCATAATCATGGTATTCAACAAATTCGAAATAAATTTGGTAGCATTTGATTTACGTTTTCATTTAAGGGTGTATACTATGATTATTATTATTAACTTATTATTATTATTGTTATTAACCGGTTAAGTATGAAATGAAATATGGTTCATGGGATTTAAAGTAGACACATGATGTTTTTGTCTTTTAGTGCTTCTATCTTCTAGCAATAATGTTACTCTCGATAATTTTTACTTATTAAAACATTAAATTATGAGGGTTTAGAATGAAAATGAATAAGAATTTGTAAAGACCAAAACTATATATATATATATAGGGGAGGAATCTTTTAACTCCAGAGTAAGACTTAAAGTCTTACTCATCATCTCCACCTTACATTTATTTTAAATCTAAAGGTCACGATTTATTTGATTTAATAGTCACGTGAGTTCCTCTACTTTCTTTCTCTCTCTATCCTTTTTTTTCATCTTCTTCTCTCATCCATATCCCTTTATCTGCTGCTGTCGTACCATTGGGGACACATTTCATCTTCTTCTCAAAGTTACCATTTCATCTCCTTCCCTAGCCATTTTGGTTCCTTCGCTGTGTGCAGTTTCGTATTCTCCTTTGGTTCAATAGGGGAGGTGAGTTCTTCCACTTTTTTTTCCCTCTCCATCCTTAACATTATTTTTTTTTTTATCTTCGTCTCTCATCCATATACCTTTCTCTGCTGCCATCATACCATTAGGCAGTCAAAGTTACCGTTTCATCTCCTTAATCAATGTTAACTTTTTTGTGTGCTCAGAGCTCCGGTACTTGAGAAGGCACCAATTTTTAATCTAGTTTGGTTCTTGAGTTTCCATTCAATATAAGGGAGGGTTTTTTGAGACCAGAGTGGTTGAGAAAGCTGTGGTTGCTCTTTGCAATAATTACGACAGTCTGGAGTGTACTTATTTTTCTTCGTCTTCAGGTGCATTTGCTAGAACTACTCATTTTTTTATATATATAATAGCTACATGTTTTTCTTATTATAAATTGAATGAGGGAGATATTATAATAGCTACATGTTTTTTTACGACAATCTGTGGTTGCTCTTTGTTTATTTTTTTTCTATTTTTTTGTACTGGTAAAGCATTGTTATTTCTTGATTTTAGTATGTTTGAATATTTGTTCTATTCAACTGGTTGTCTACTTTTTTAGACCAAGTATTTTGTCTTTTGTGTAACCCTTGATGTAACTGGTGGTATATTGGGGTTGAGTCTTAATGATAAATGAAATTCATTAAATAGATGAAGTTGTTTGGGTATTCCTTAAGAAATTTTTTGAAATCAATGAATTAGTGAAATATTTGTTCTTAGGAATGCTTATATGAACAAATTCGCTACTGAAAAATTAGTTTACTTTCGTTTCCTCCACAAATGAGTGTTGTTCTTATTATAAATTAAATGATTCTGTTTTTTTTCCTTCTATTTTTTGTAATGGTAAAGCATTTTTTTTTCTTGATTTTAGTAAGTTTGAATATTTGTTTTATTCAAATTATGGTTTCAGTTTAGCAAGTCATGGATATGGACTTTGTCAATTATTCTCCCATAAATACGGACACTAATATTAATTCGAACAACGGAGTGGGAACATATTTCAACTTTCAAGACGTGCCACATTGTTCTAATGTTGAAGAAGTAATTGTTGAGCCTCATGTTGGAATGGAATTTGACTCATTGGAAAAAGTTGAAGAATTATATAAAATATTTACTAAGGCGAAAGGGTTTGGAATTCGTACCCGCGATAGTAAAAAGAATTATTGTAGATTTGTATGTGTTAGGGAAGGTGAAAACAAACCAAAAAGTGGTAACATGGGATAAGTTAAGAGAACGTCTTCAACCCAACGCTTGGGATGTCAATCATCACTTTGTGTGTCAAAGGATAAGAAACGAGACATATGGGTTATAAAATCTTTTGACAATAATCATAATCATATCATGGCTAGTCCTAAGAGTGTGTCTTATTTGAGGTGTCATAGGAAAATGAATGGTGCTGCAAAAAATCTTGTTGAAAAGTTTAATGCAGAAGGTTTACCTACTGCTAAAGTTGCTGCAATCTTTAACGGTAGTGATTTAGCTTTTTCTAACCGGGACTGTTGGAATCATTTGAGGAATGTTCGAAGGAATAATTTAGATGTTGGAGATGCACAAGCTGTTTTGAACTATTGTAAACAAAAACAAGCTCAGAATTCTAATTTTTTTTATGCAATACAATGTGATGATGATGATAGAATGATAAACTTTTGTTGGTTGGATGCTAGGTCAAGGGCTGCTTATCAATATTTTGGAGATGTTATTACTTTTGATACAACATATAGAACCAATAAATATAGTATGCCATTTGCCCCATTTACGGGATTGAACCATCATTTGCAGTCAATTTTATTTGGTTGTGCATTATTACAAGATGAATCTGAGAAATCTTTTGTATGGTTATTTGAAACTTGGCTTGAGGCAATGAATGAAAAGAAGCCTGTTTCTATAATAACTGACCAAGATCTAGCTATTGGAGCTGCTGTGGCCAAGGTATTTCCAGAAGCACGTCATCATCTATGCTTGTGGCACATTAGAAAGAAATTTCCTGAAAAACTTGCACACATATATCACAAAAATTCTACATTCAAGCGTGACCTGAAGAGGTGCATTCGAGAATCACCAACAGCCAAGGATTTTGATGAAGATTGGCAACGTATAATAGTAGATTACAAATTGCAAGAGAATGAATGGCTTAAAAGGTTATTTGAAATTAGAGAGTCATGGGTACCAGTTTATAATATAAGCACTTTTTTTGCCGGCATGAATACTACACAAAGAAGTGAATGCATCAATTCTTTTTTTGAATCTTTTGTTAATGCAACAACCACACTACGAGATTTTGTGATAAAATTTGAGAAGGCAATAAACAACCGCTACGAGGCTGAAAAAAGAGAGGATTTTGAGTCCCGACATAAATCACGCTCTTTGAGTATTGGGTCAAAAATTGAAGAGCATGCTGCATCAATCTATACTAGAAATGTGTTTGGAAAGTTTCATGTTGAGCTTGCAAGTGTCAGCCATTATATAAAGGAGAAGATTGAGAAAAATGGCTCACAATATAAGTATCGAGTGTCTAATTGTTTTAATGCTCAAGATAGTTTCATTGTTGATATAGATTTAGAGTCAAAAAATGCTACATATGGCTGTCAACTTTTTGAATTTATGGGAATATTATGTAGGCATATTTTAGCAATATTTCAAGCAAAAAATGTTGTTCAAATTCCTAGCCAGTACATATTGAGGCGTTGGACAAAAGAAGCCAATCAATATATTGAAGTTGTTCACAATGATATTGCGAATCAAAACTCAAATGTTTTGAGAAGTATACATTTGCAACGACAATTTAACCAATGTACTGATTTGGCTAAAAGATCAGAGCACACATACAGATTCATTGCAGCAGAACTTGATCGTGTTATCAATATGGCCACTGCGATGGAAGAAGAAATGTTGTATGTCAATGAAGCTCTTGAAGAGACAAACCAACAGAATTTGATATGTGATAGAGCTTATGATGATTCTAGTTTCAATATCAAAGACCCAAACATGTCACAAACAAAAGGTAGAAGAAGGTTTAAAAGTGGTCTTGAGTTATCAATAAATAAGTCAGCTGTTAAAAGAAGAGCATGCAAATCATGTGGAGAATATGGCCACTATCAATCAACATGCAAACAAAAAAACAACTTAGTGTAAGTAATATTGGCTTTATTTATTTTTTTATTTTTTTATCAATGCTAATCATTTCCTTTATTAATATCCTTGTTCATATTTTCTGCAGACTTAAACACAGATCATTGCGAAGAGCAAAGTTAGTGGTTAAGAAGTATTTTGGAGCTTGATTAATCTTTTGTATAAGGCTGTGTTTTTTTGTATTAGATTTGGCTTTGGAGTATAATTAGTGGACTGACAATGATAGATAGTGATGAATTTTTTTCCTTTTAATATTCTAATTGAAGCTACCAACCATATTATTTGCAGTCTGACATTTGGAATTATATCTTGTTAGTTAGCAGATGGTATGACTAAAACGATATGCTTTGTTACTTCTACTATGAATGGTTGAAGCATATTATAATGGAGGATTTGGTAGAATTAACTTTTGGTTTTATTTTTTTCTGCTGTTATTTTTTATCTATTTTGTCTGCTATCTGCTTAGCACAATATCAAGATGTCATTCACATGTATTAGTGAGGCCTGCTTATTTCTCGAGTTACAGGTTCTTTCTGTGTTTACGTTATTCCTTTGTCCAATTATAGTGATTGTAGTATTTCTGATCAAACTAATCAAGGAGTTGATCAGTCGCTTGAAATTAGATTGATTGTGATTTTGAAATTCGAACTTGAAATGATCTTATATCAAAAAAGTTAGTCTGGTCCAGCACATTCTGTTAGTGCTTTTCTATATTATACTTCTTTTTTGTTGTTTAGATTCCTGCAAGAAGTGAGATAGTAATAGTATACACAACAGCCACTTCAAATATTGCAATTTGGCCAATGTTTTACGTAAGTTTTATATTGTTCTTTTCTCTACTGTAACCAAAATGATTACTTCCTTTATGGGTATTTACAGCACCACAGTGCTAGTTATTCAGATTTTGTTGTTGTATAATTTTATTTGTAATGGCCACTGCATTTGTATACATTTGTATCATGTGTGACGAAGTGACTTGTTCACCATCAGTACCATGCCATAGAGTTGAACCTCATCATGCCGTCTTGTATCTTTCAGTCTGCTCTAATTCTTCCATAGTCTATGGCTATCCTATTTCGCATTTCGAAAGCCATCCCTTGCTTTTGCTATGATGAAACTAAATTCGTAAATAGTATTGTTTATAAATAGCTGCACTTAGCCATGTGTCCCCACACCTCTTTCTTATTCTCTTTCCCTTCACATACTCGTAGAGAAGAAGCGCACACACGTTTTGCTCTTCACATGGATACTTTTTGTTCAAACGCTACTTTCACTCTAGTATGGTACTTTATTATTGCTACTGTAGCCTTTTATTTGATTCCTTATTTCTCTGTTCTTTACAAGCAAAGATGGTTTCAAACTTCAAAGCAATCGCTCCACCTTGTTTCGAGTGAATCTAACATGAAAATGTCGACTAATTTTATAGTTCTATACCTTTTTCTGTCTTGAAAATAATGCCTTGGCTAAGGGCAACAACAAGAAAACAAAGAAGCAGCCAAACTAGAGCTACATAGCAAACAAACCAATAATGATTCTTCTATATATACCTGAATTTTTACATCTGTTTTATATTGTTTAATGACGTATACTAAATTTTTAATAATATGTGCTATTTAATTAACAGAATGATAATAATTAGTTAATAACATAATACATGTTTATATTAATTAACTCATTTTGAAATATAATCGTTTAGTTTTTTTACAACTTCATAAAAGAATTAAAAAATATTATTTTCTACTTTTAATCATTATCAAATATATGCTATATTAAAATTTACACGTCTTTATCTGTTTGTGTTCCCATTCCATGCTAATCCCAATTTTTGCTGCCAATTTTTTCTTCCATCCTTAGTAACCCCAGAATTGTTCATCTCCTACAACCTACACCCAAAGCCATCAATGAATCATATGATATACATAAAATAATCTGGGAACCCTAATTTCTTGATAAAAAGATAAATACAAATTAATTACCGGAGGTGGTCAAGCGGGAGGATGGTTGCATAAAGACACCACAACTTTCTCAAGTACCAGAGCACGCAATTAGATAATGGTACCTTTTAAATATTGAAAATCACCGAACGATGAATAATTGCGAACGACAGTTATGGAAAAAGGACTGAGGGAGGGAGTAAATAATTTGGAATAAAAAAAGGAGAATACGAAACTGCACAACGAAGGAACCAAAATGGCTAGGGAAGGAGATGAAATGGTAACTTTGAGAAGAAGATGAAATGTGTCCCCAATGGTACGACAGCATCAGATAAAGGGATATGGATGAGAGAAAAAGATTAAAAAAAAAGGATAGAGAGAGAAAGAAAGTAGAGGAACTCACATTACTATTAAATCAAATAAATTGTGACCTTTAGATTTAAAATAAATGTAAGGTGGAGATGATGAGTAAGACTTTAAGTCTTACTCTGGAGTTAAAAGATCCATCCTCATATATATATATATATAAATATTTTATAAACGGGTCGTGGATATGATATGATTGATTCACATTTTCAATTGTCGTGACAAATACCTAATAAATTCATTTAACCCCAAAGCAAACACACTATATGTAACACCCCAAATTTCTAACAATTTATAAAACAATCTTATAATAAATAAATTGTCAATTTTTTTTATTTTTTTTTTACAATTATAATAATAGAAATATTGCGGAAGCTAATCTAAATCTAATTTGGGGAATGTTACCGCCGCACCTGTATAATGGACAGGTGCAAGGCTAAATTTATTACATTAAAATAAAACCAAAGACTAAATTTTAAATAAAGGAAATATATCTTATACATTTATTTAAATCTCATAAATTTCTAAACTTAGAAACTAGCAAGAAATATCCGAATCGTGATCCTCACTGTCCACAGCTAGCCCCATCCTTTGCAACATGCTTCACTGAAAATCTGCTCCCCCGTGAAGGATCATTGTAGTTATACAAACACAAAAGTCAGCAAAGCTGGTAATCCCAATCAAAATACAATTAATGTAATTAATAACAAATTAAATCAAATATCAAATAGTGTTCAGATCAATTCCACATTAATCAAATCAAATATCAATATAATAATCAAAATTCCATTATATAATATTTGTCTTTATTAAGTCCATTTAATGTATTTGGTAATTATCAACTAACATATTTATCACAACATTAATCATAATATGATAATATTCACAACTCAATGACATTCTTCATAATCAAATCAAATAACAATTTTCATTATTAATATTGTTTAAGTTCATTATATTTAGTGGGAAGAGAACCATGATATACCCGGGAAACCCTGCCAGTCTACCCTGTGACCCGAGAAACCCTGCCAGTCACAAACAAATCACATTGGCCATAATCAATTCACATCTTCTTAGTGTGCACACATCTTCCCAAAGTTGCTACTAGTATCCCAGGAAACCCTGTCAGACACCACTTTGGGAAGAACGGATATAATCTTTTTCACATCAGTTTCACATCGGAGGCATAAAGCCCAAAAGTTGTGTCACATCAGAGGCATAAAGCCCAAAAGTTGTGTTCATCACCTTGGGAGGTACCATCCCAAAGCTATCCTCCCACCATTAATTTATTACAAACACACACAATCTGGAAAGATTCAATCATAATTATTTATTCTTTAAGTATTATCATCTCCAAATGAGTTACTCAAGGGCATTATAATTTTCCAAAGTATCATAATTCAAACAACTATTATCATAAATTTTTGAATTTATATAACAATTCAATTCTTCAACATTCATCATAGTAGAAATCCAAATCCGATCATCATCATAACTTTCCAATTTATTCAAGGATATGATAATTCAAATCTTCAACATTCATCACAGTAAAATCCAAATCCGATCCTCATCATAACTTTCCAATTTATTCAAGTATATAATAATTCAAATCTTCAACATTCATCGTAGAAAAATCCAAATCCAATCATCGTCATTCAAATAATCCCATCACATCAATTATCATAGTTATTAATAATATAAATATTTGATAATTAATAATATAAATATTCAAATTCAATCATTAAAACACATATTTGGAAAGTTTTTCTTAAAGAGTAGTATAATTTCATAATTTTCATAATTATTCAATAAGATCCATATATTGCACATGAATTAAATTTTATACCATACATTGCACATAATTATAATTTCTAAAATAATAACATTTTATATCATATATTGCACATAATCATAATTTCTAAAATAATAAAAGTTTATATCATATATTGCACATAATCATAATTTCTAAAATAATAAAATTTTCCAAAAATATTCTATTATCATATGTAGTAATTTAAATTAAAAAAAAACAAATACCTATATACATAGAAATGTTCATACCAAACTATTAAGAACATTTACGGATTACATATAACGATTATGCCCAAATTTCATATAATAGAGATAACCTAAACACCTAAGGATTCAGATTACATCCAAGTTTTATATAAAAGAAATAACCTACGAATAGGATTACATATACCAAAATTCATATCAATATAATCTATGACTCTCTAGGGATTATGATTACATATATCAAACATACAGCTACCTAAAGATTAGGATACACCCAATAAAATTTCATACACAACAAATCTACAACCACCTAGAGATTAGGATTACCTGGTCTCCGTTTTCGCTGACTTCTAGAAGAAAAAAGTAATTTGGGGCAGAGAACCGGTTGGTAATCAGAAGAATATAAAATAAATTAAACTAAGTTTTTGAACTAAGAAGAGAGAATAGTAGAGGAGAAATGTTGAAGAGTGAATTGGTTTGGTTATGCTAGACCTCTATTTATAGTTGAAGTTTAGGGCTTACACATTACTGACTCAATGCTGACTCATCATATCTAAACAATTTATGTTTGTTGACTCATCATATCTAAACAAATTACTAATCAATCATTACTAATCAAACATAAATACATAAATCATCAATCAATTAATAAATCAATTAATCATAATTTATCATCTAATATATATATACACACATATATATTAATATTATTTTATTATTAATAACCTAGAGTATTACAAAGTATCAAAATTATTTTTCCAATAAAAATAAATAAATAAATATATATATTATTACTACTAATTTATAATTTATTATTATTATTATTATTGGGTATTACATTCTACCCTCCTTAAAAGAAGTTTCGTCCTCGAAACTTAAAAGTTTGAGCTCCTCAAATTAACTAAAAAAACATAAGATTAAAGTTAATAAAAATATGGGGTATTACACTATAACATGCCCTACATGTACAAATGATGTTTTATTTTCTCATCTTCATAATTAATAGTATTCGCTGATTGATGTACATATAATAAGAGAAAAAGATTTGAAAAAAAGAAACAGATCTTGCATGAAGCACCTATGATCACTGCTTTACAAAAACGATAGTCGCCTGTTGTACAAGGTGAAGTAGTATCTACGCTTGTTCTTATAGCACTATGGTAGAAAACAGAACCTCCAATGGATCTCTGCGTCAATGGTTTGCACCGTCCATCCACAGTAAGGACACGCGTCTGGTGCGGGTTGCCTCGCCAGCACCCTTTCATCCTCGTCGCACACAAACTCCAAACACATTTCCTACAATTGCAATCAACTCATACTTACTTATTCCAAGGACTTTTCACAACATGACATCTTCATTAGTCACATATTTTCTTTGTCTAGCAAGGTGTCTTCGATTTCAACATCTTAATTAAAAAAAAATTGCTCTTGTCAGTATACTATATTAATATAGAATATAGAAATAATATAAACAATTCACCCAATAAAGTACTAAACAATGAACATGGAATATCAACAAACATGAAGTATAAAACTATAAACGCTCATATAATGGGTAAGATTATGCATAAGAACAACTAGAGAATATGAAGAAGATAAACAAACAAAAATTGAAGAAATATGTGCAGAGAATCTGATTTTCAATGAAAAATATGCACCAACGCATATCTTATTTATACACAAACTAAGAAGGTTTTTTAAACTCATCTTTTGTATACCCAAAAAACTAATTAATCATAATAAACATAATAATAAATATTATTAGATGTCTTAATAATTTCTCATGCAAAAAAACAGTGATATTATTAATAGGCTTAATCATTACCCATGCAAAAGTGGTAGGACATTAATACGACTGTTTGCCACCAACCTTTTCCCAACTCTCTTTCCACCTATGCAGTTTAAAATTCAATTTTTTGTGTGTGGATATTTCATGGAATCGAACAGCGAACCTAACACCTCCTATACACACCCAACACAACTAGGCTATCCCTAGTGGTGCTAAAATTTGAATTTTAAAATATATAAAAAAAGAAACATTTCAAATTGATTTCAAGTGTGAACACAAAACTAAAATTGCACGAGAGAATGACACGTCGACAAAGTTTCCATGAATGGAATGAAGATTTTATATATTAAGATATGAGAAGTATATACTTACTATCACAAAAGCTTACCATCCTTACAACCAACTTAATAATCTTTGATTTTCTCAATTTAATAATTATATTGGGTCGCAATTTTTAATTAGTTATTAATTTTCAATAAATTTAATAATTTATAATCATTAGATTGACATAAATTAATGGTGACTAAGTTGGTTGTAAAGATAATAAATATTTTTGGTGACAAGTATATCATGCCTATACATATATGTGTGTAATCGTTCTATGTTAATTTAAAATTTCACATAACTTAATTAATTATCATCAGTTTTACCAAGGTCGGAATAATGAATTGTGAACTAGCGTTGCCCAAATACAATATGAAAGTCATCAATGTCCTATTCCATTCTCTGTGTATACCAAACCTTATCAAGGGTCCATTTATTTGTGCTTTTTCAGAAATTTTTTAATGAAAATGCTTTTTACAATACAAAAAATTCGAAGCATAGCAGCTTTATTATTATTATTATTATTATCAGAAAATAGAGAGAGCAGCTTCTAAAAAAAACTCATAATAAAAAGAAAGAATTATATTTACAAAATATACTTAAGTTATATTATGTATTATCTAGAATATATAATAAAATTTACAAAAATTTATTAAAAAAATTTATAAACAAATACTTCTCCATAGTTATATTATATATAAATTTAGGGAAGGAATATTCTTATTAGCAAAATTTTGTACTACTAATTCATTACTTATCTAATTATTATTAGATTAATATTTTCTCTTTTTTTAAATTTTTTTAACATTCTTTCTTTAATTCAATGATGATTAGATAAATAATAAATTAGTAATAAAATTTTTTCACAGTCTCGTAAATTTATTTGAACGCATAGTTCCACTCAGGAAAAATTTGTAGGAGATTAGAAAATAAAAAATAAAAATAATTTATACGTCACTGATGTTTAATGGTACGCGAACTAAGTAGTATCGGACTATCGGAGCCTCTGGCAGTCTGGGGTGCTATCTGAATCAGATTCGGAATTTGGAACATAAATGGGGTGCATTTTCGGTTGGACTACAGAGGAGCAGAAGCTAGTAAACGTCTCATAAACCCTCTCTCTATTCCTAATCGTCGGTCCCAAACAGATCGAGCGCATCATCACATTCGCAGCTCAAACCCTAATTCAATTCCACCAAAGACTTCATCAACATATTCCAGTTATGTGGACAAATGTTTTCAAAATCGTAGGTCTTTCTACTTCTCACCCCCCCCCTTTTTTTTTTATTTTAAAAAATGTTATTACTTATATGCTGCGGCTGGAATCTCATTAATTTAGGTCTAAATTTGTTTCACCCCTTTCTTATCTCATGGAGCTGACTTGGTGCTTTGTCATGTACTCATCTCAATATCTCATGAATAAGTTAATGAATATCCTGCAAACATGTTTAACTTAAAACTGAGAACTAAAAGCATTGTATATTAACGCATAGTTATTCGATACAAGGTGTTCCTCTTTTTTGCTGGTGACTCAAAAATAAAATAAAATAAAATAAATCTTATCGGCATTACACCCAGAGGCTTTAACAAGACCAGCTTTTCTTTGAGTATATTCCTTTCTTTCCAATTTGGTCGAATACTGGAATTATGATTTTTCCAATCAAGCATTACAAGGATTTACTGGAGAATTCTTTTTTGCGATAACGGCATCCTTTGACGTTTGTGTGTGCTGAAACAGATGATTATATGTTTCAGTCCCCTCCGTAAGTGGAAGACAATTATCAATATCTGCCCATGTTTATGTCTGGTGTTGCAGTATGATAATCGAACTACAGTCTGGTACTCTAGCCAAGAGCAACCCCTATCCCCCTAGTTGCTTGGAGTAAACAAAAAATTGATTACTTGCTCGATGTTATCAAGTAGATGGATGTCAACCTCAGCCTTAACCCACCCTTTTCATAAAAAAGCTCAAAATAAGTAAGACTTAAAACTGTTTGCTCTTGTGGAATAGATCTGAAATAAAAAGAAATAAAATGACCTGTTGGTCTAATGGGAGATCTCAAGGTTAAACCTCCCTTCTCCAAATGGGAACAAAAGGTTAAAGATCAAAGCTGTGTTTGGTTAGCTTTTACTATAAATTAATATATCCTTAACTGCTCCGTTTTTGTTAAGAATTGCTTGTATGTCCTCATATTAGTATATATGTCGTTGGAAATTTGTATAGGGAAGTCTGCATCAGTTATCATGGTTTCAGTTTCTCCCTCATGAACCTGATCTGAACCCTTTACCTGACAAAAGGTTAGATTTGATATGTTTTCTCCTTTTCTCTTTGTTTTGGTTCATTGTTTTAATAGTACTGAATTTGCCTTCTGTTCCAACAGTGTAAAAGTGGACCATAAGGATGCAGCAATGTTGCTGGTGCTTTCATCACATCTGCAACTGCAGAAGGAAGGATTTCTCAGCACATGGACCAATTCCTTTGTTGGACCCTGGGATCCATCTCAGGGTTTGCACAATCCTGGTAGAGATTGCTGACTTTGTGGTTTTGTAATCATGTGCTATTTCCCCCCCTACAAGAAGGAAAGAGTGGAGATGGCTATCCATTTTCTAGTTACCTAAATTTCTGCCTTCTATACTAAATATGCAGATGAAAAGATTAAACTATGGCTTTTTCTTCCGGGGCGCCATTCATCTGTTGTTGAGACTGCTCAGTCAGCAGTATCCGGATTAAGAGGTATCATATATAACTGAACTTTTGTAGTGGTTTTATACATTCCCTTCTTCAAAGGTAACAGAATTTGAGTTTTCTCACTTTTGTGTTTTCCAATTATATATTTTACGTGGGACAAAATTGTTCAACAAAGTTGTTGCGTCTGGGCTTTGGCTTGCTCCTGGGGACTCAGAAGAGGTTGCAGCTGCTCTTTCTCAGGCTTTAAGGAATTGCATAGAAAGGTTTTTTTTTCCCCAACTCTTCAAAGTAAAAAATTAATCTTGGTCATATCTTGACATTTTATCTTGTTGAAATTGGCAGAGCACTTCTTGGGCTTTATTACATGAGATTTGGAGATGTATTTTCGAAGTTTCATCAATTTCAAAGTGAAGAACTGTTCAGGTATGTTTTAGTTATATTTAGATTTAGCACTGTTGTCAAGAATAATAACTTCTAGTGATATTCGAACAAATGATACGTGTTAGGTTAAGAATGTATAAATTTATAATATCCTTCTCCCAGTTGGACTCTAGACTACACGTTCCTAGAATATAATCATAAAGTTCCTTTATTTAACAGTTCATGTGCAACCACATAACATATGACCTTTGGCTACAATTAGGTTCCAAATTCTGCAATTACAAGACTGGCTAAAACACCCTTGAATTAATAGATTGGAATTGAAAGCACTGGTAAAACAAAATTGAATGACTCAGTAGATGGCATGAATTCATAGCTGCAATTTTGTTCTTGGTATAAACTGACTCCATAGTGTGGGAAAAAAATAATTCAAAAATAACTGATCATGCAGTCATTGAGGATCTAATTTTTTTTCGTTGTTTTCTTCTCCATCGTGGACGAGGCTGGAGCAGTGATAAAACTGCTCCTTTGTGACTGAAAGGTCACGGATTCAAACCCGGGTAACAATTTCTTTGCAAATATATAAAGGTAAGGTTGCATACAAGGATTTCCCTCATTCCTACTCTCGCTAGTCGGGGTTTAATGAGGAATGATTTTTTTTTTTCTTCTCCATCGTGCACTGCTAGTTTCTCCTCCTTATATTGCTAACTCTCTTGATGTTCAGAAAAAATATTGAGCATGTATATAATTACTTGGCTGTCCTGCAATTGGAACCAAGACTAACAACCATATAAGCAACTTAAACCTTTCTTGTTTTGTTGCATCATCTTTCTTTTGTCATGCACTATGACACTTTTTCCATTGTTTTTAAATTTTTCATTCGAAGTAGAAGAGCTATTTGTTTTTTACATAGTAAGAAAGATACAATATAAATAGCCTACAAAGCATTAGCTATGTTAATTAAGTATACAAATAAATTACGCTCCCACCTGAAACATAAAAAAAAAGGAAACTGCAGACAAAATAAAGAAAACAATGTTTTCTAAATTAATCCAATGTAAATTAGCCTACTAAGAGTAGCATGAAGAAAGTACACTAACCGTATGTTCCTCAGGCCTCTTTCCTGGTTTTTTCTTACATTTGATATTGTAGATACATTCTCTCTCTTTTTGGTTTACATTGGTTAGATAATTGTATTCTTTCAAGCTAGATATAATTTAAACAACATGAAGGAGCTAGTCAGAAACCCTTTTTGTTTGGATGCATCCATTTGTTATGTTTTTCTTAAACTCAAGAATGAGTCGTGTACAGTCGTCAGTTCAATAGTAACTCAATTTAACTGTATAGTACGAGATAGTATAACTATGTACACCGAACTAACTCAGCATATTCTATGTTGGAACAACTTTCCCAACTGTAAATTGTACCATCACAGGCTTATTTTCCAGCAGACCACAAGTTTCTTATAGATTTAGGAAAGTTTACATTGACTTCAAAATCGCGAAATACAAATCCCACCAAAGCTGACTGACGGGACAATTCAATTTGTATGCGTTGTTGTGATCTAGCTTCCTCTCTGCTTTCTAACAGTGACCTTGTTATCACATTATTGTATTTCATAATTTGAATTTTCTGTTGTAACAATCACGCATGCTCTAAAACATAATATTACCCGTAATTGTTGTAAATTATTCTGTTATTAGGAAAGATTATTACGATTGATTAGACACTATTTTAGGCAAACAAGTATTTGGCTAGGTCTATATATTAAAATGAAACCATGTAATGTAATTCAATTTAGAAATAATATTGAGTCCTTTTATTGGTTTCAAATTGGTATTAGAGCTCTTGATCTGGGAGAATCTATTTTCACAGATTAACCTTAGCTTGCTTTTATCACAACTTTTGTTGCAGCTGTCTTCATTGTGGCTAGTCTACTCATTTTATTTGTGCCTTCATTGCACTTTTAGCTGCCGCCTACCCACTTCCGTTTGCCATTTACCGCCCCAGCTTTTCCGGTCACTAACCCCGCCAACTGGTTTGCCGTCCCTAGACTGTGTAACCACCAAAGATCCACAACAGGTGGCCCAGGCATGCGCTCTCATGCGTGGCCTGTTCCTCTGCTCGATAGATCCTTGTGCTGGTGCTTAGACAACTATGGTGGTGCACCAGTCACTGTTCAGTTTGCCGCTGGTCCTAGTTAGCTTGTCTTGGCCTCCTCTGCTCTGATCTTCCCTTAGTTGGTCCATACAGCACCACTCACAAGTGCTCTCTCTCTCTCTCTCTCATCTCCTCTGTGACCCAACCAAACCATCTACCTTCTGCCCCCAAGTCAGACTTGAGACAACCCGCAACTCTACCACTACTCAGTCCATCATGTCAAATACATTGCCGCTTACTCCCAATGACTTACCCGTCTTACATCCTACCTATTGCTTTACTGAAATAAATTATTTACAATGGGCCCAAGTCATTCATCCTGTCCTCAAAGTATGACAGAAAGCAAAACATCTTTGATGGGCAAGCCCTGTAACTTGATAGGAGGTCAACATCTGGTTATTGTATGTTTGTGGATGGAAACATTAGTAACTTGGAGGAGTAAGAAACAAAACGTGGTTGGCTGGTCAAATGAAGAGGCTGAGTTTTGAGCTATGGCACAGGGAGTTTGTGAGTTATTATGCATGATGATCTTATTAGATGACCTCATAATAAAGTATGAAGCTCCTATGAAACTGTTTTGTTACAACAAATAAGCCATTGTCATTGCACATAATCCAATTCAATATGACGGGACAAAACATATTGAGATAGACCGATACTTTATCAAGGAGAAGTTGGAAATTGGACTCATAACCACAGCATATGTTCCTTTAGGATATCAGTTAGCAGGTGCATTAACTAAAGGATTAGCCATTGAGAGGCTTTGGGATCTTATTGGCAAGCTATGAATGGTAGATATCCATTCACCAGCTTGTGGGGGACTGTTGTAACAGTTCCACATCTACTAAAACGCAATATTCCTTGTAGTTATTGTAAATTTTTCAGTTATCAGGAAAGATTATTAGTTGCCATAGGCTAGACATTATTTTTGGCAAGTAATTATTTAGTTAGGTCTATAGCTTAGAATAAACCATGTTCTGTAATTCAGTTCAGAGATAATATTGTAAAGAACCAATTCAACCCAAAAGCTTAAGCTGTTGGGTGAAGCTACATTAATGGTTTTATATATCTCAACATGCCCCTTCACACTAGAGCCCATTGGGCTTGAAGGGTGGACAATGCACAGGCCCACCTACCTGTGCGAATAAAGAAATTCCACTTGAAAGAAAGTGGAGGGCGGCGAGGATCGAACCCGGGACATGAGGCTCTGATACCATGTAAAGAACCAATTCAACCCAAAAGCTTAAGTTGTTGGGTTAAGCTACATTAATGGTTTTATATATCTCAACAAATATTCAGTCTTTATTTTTCCATTCATGTTTTGCTATTTCATATTTCTGATATTTACAGGAGGGGACAACCTGCAGTTGAGTTTGTCTTTGCTGCAACTGAGGAGGCAATCTTTATACATGTCATAGTGTCCTCAAAGTATGGTAGTGCTTGAATTTTGGTTGAGCAATAGTTTATCTTGCAAAGAAATATTTACCTATTGTTTCCCCTCCTTTCAATCAGGCATATCCGGACGCTTTCCACAGGTGATCTGGAAAAAGTATTAAAACATTCTACGGAGGCATCATATAGACTTCCAGGTTGGTATGCTCTGTGTGCATGAATTTTGTTTGTTCAAAGTCAGATCTCATAATACTATTCTTTCATATGCTATCCATCCGTCTTAAATGGTGTTAAAATTTTTGGTTATGCTGGCTTTTATATGGTGCATTATGATAGAGAGCAATGCTAGGGTTTTCAAAGATTGGCTTATGGAGACTCCTTTCCTTTAGGATAGCATTTAGCATATGCATACCTTTGCTAATATGATCAAGGTCTTATTACAGAAGTCCACAGGGATTGGATAGCTTTGTTGTACTGAGTTTTGTTTCTTAGAGAATTTGTTACATATATTCAGATAATTTGAAGGGACGTGTGTCCCAAGCTTGCGTAACTCTGTTATTTTCTTCCCAGTTACCAATATATTTCTTTCTTTGCTTTTGAAAAAATGGAGAATTTTTTCTCTCTCTATTAATCTCTATGTCAAGTTATTGTTATTATCTCTGTCATTGTCTTTGTTTTTAGCTGTCATATCATATGCATGTGCATTACTATTTACTAGTTACCAATATTCAAAAGGGTTTCTAAGTTCATCTGAGTTCTTCGGACGCCTTTTTTTGCACCATATTTGATTTGATTTTAAATTATTACGTGGCAGTGATTGTTTCTCCTCATGGAATACGTGGCAACCTGACTGGTTGTTCTCCTAGTGATCTTGTCAAGCAAAGCTATTTCAGGTCCTTTTTATAACTTCTTACATATACATTTGATATATCAACATATCATACATGACTGAATTCAATTTTATTATTTTTTATTTTTTTATTTTATAGCAGTTCTACCAAATTTAGGATGTCAAGTGGAATTATAGGTCTCCCATATCATGTTTCTCAGGGTGTTGGTTGCCAGTTGAGGGGGCAGAATTGTTATGTTGAAGTAAGTCTTGGCTCCCCTAGATCTGGAACTGACAAGGCATTGCAGCCAAACAAGAACAGTGTCAAGAATATACCCAAGCTTCATGTTGCTGAATCCCCAGTTGTGGGACGAAGTGATCATAAGGGATCAACAGATAATTTGCCAGATTATGAGAAAACGTTTCTCTATCCAGCTGAGGCAGTGCTCGTACCAGTATTACGAACATCATTAGCAAGGTCTTCTTTGAGAAGGTATTTTTTCATGTATATATGCTTCTGTTTTATTTATCTTATTGTATTTTCTTCCTTTCTTTGATTAAGTGCTTTCTGTGGCTATTAAGATAATCTGGTCAAGTTCGTTTTCCTGCTTGATTCTTTATTGATGTAATATAATCGTTTTTTTTTTTTTAAATAAGAGAAACTCATTTAGACAGAGAAGAAAATACAAGGAAATTGAAGAATAAGGGATCCTCCATTAGGAGTAATAGGAAAAATAAAACAACAAAGTAAAGGAGAAAACATCAGTGGAGCAAAGATGCCTAATACCTCTGCGTATCTGATAGGACCCAGGACAAAGTAGTTATAGAATTTGTTGGGTGGTTAGAGTTGTAGGATCAAGGGAGCTTAAATAGTACTAGGGGGTAGAAAAGCGGGTCATTCTGAATTATTTGCATTGGAAAATTGAGCTTTAGTTCTGTTGTAAAAGGGAGGAGAATTCTTTCCTTTTTCTATTGAGATTCAACAAAACTTTTGCAGATTTGTTCTTTTTTTTCTTTTTTTCTTTTCTCAGCTCTCTTGCTTGTGGGTTCATACAGTATCTATTTGAGAAGCCTCCCGGAAAAGAATGCTTTCTTTACTCCAAATAAAAGCAAATAACCTAATCTTATTTGAATAAGCTACTTAGCCTAACAAATCTCCTGAAAAATACGAGCGTTATGATCCAATCAAATGCACTAGTATTAGCTTGGATGGCACAAGAGTATTTAATGGTGGCCGGAATAGAGTAGAGCACAGCCTCCCCACTCCCAAATGCACATGGTGGAGCATTTTGCTTTTGTGGTAGTGTTTTGCAGCAGTACAAGTACTTGATTGCTGTTAGAGTAGTTGTTAGAATAGTTTAGTGTATATAATAGAATAGTCCTACATCTTGTGGGCTTAGCCCATTAGGTCTTTTAGTCTCTTTAAATAGAGAGCTCTTGTACATTGTAACACACTATTATTCACTATACAATTATTCTATTATTCAATCTTAAGTGTTGCATCTCGAATAGTGGCCATAGCAATCACTATTACAGTTCCGGTTGCAGCTGGCCAGACCCATCCTCCATCCTGGTGTTTCACTTCTGTTCTATATAGCCCCTAGATCAGAGAACCCATCATCCATGTGACCAGAACCCAAAGTCTCATAGCTGGTCTTTATTCCACAAGCTACTGTACCTTCTCGTCTCTGTTTTGAAAAATTTCCTGTTTCAAATGACTTCCTCTGTTTCACGTGCAGTACAATCATCTTTAGTTCTTTTAATTCTTACTCTATTGTTTTTGGATACAAATTCTTACTCTATTAATTGGTGCCATTTGAACTGCAACAAATTAAGTTTTTTGTCACATGAATATGCTATATGTGTATTGTGATTGTCCTGTCATGTGAACCATTGCACTTCAATTCCGAAAAGAGCTCTGTGATTCTTACTTTTTTGATGTGAAACGGACAGATTTTGGCTGCAGAATTGGATGGGACCATCCCTGCTTGGTTCCTCTTCCTTTATTCACTGGTGTGTTCTCTCTCTCTCTCTCTATATATATATACATACACATATATATGCATTCATGCATTCCTTTGTCCTAGATATTTTTGCATTCTTACATCTTTGGTTATTCCACCGACCCAACTAGTTTGGGATAAAGGTGTTGTTGATATTGTTACAGCTTTGGTTATTGAGGTTAATTGTGAGCCCTGTATTATGTTTATGGCTTCTCTTCTGTCTTCTGCTGATGGCTCTTTCTTGGGAGTCACTGTTTGTGGCATACAGCGAGACTAGGCTGCCTTGTTGCATTTATTTTCATGTTTCTTTTGAATCTAGAATTTCTTCTTGGGTGCACATCTTATCCTGTCCCTCGTTTTGTACTTTTCTTTCCTCTTCTCTACTATAAAATTTCTCTTAAAAAGAAAAGATTTGTTGACATGTAGCAATAGGTTTATGGATAAGCCTTCTCTCACTTCTATTCCTCTGCAAAATCTTATTCTTATTATTTATTGGTTAATTTTTTGAACACAAATATGCTAGAGTACATTTGCTTGGTTTTAATTAAAGCCTTAATTTTCATATCTTGGACTCTTAATTTTTCTTCTGCCTTATGCAGTGCTGGTAATGTGGATTCTACTGAAGATCCTTGGACTGAAATCAATGGAACCCGCATGCAAAATAGTTATGATAGTAGTAGCAATAGCAATAGTAGCAGTATCAGTAGCTTAAGTGCGAGCTCTAGTGATAGTGATTACAAGACTACAGGACCAAGTGAACTAGAGGCAGATGCTGATTCTTTAACATGTAGACAGTCTGTGGTATCTTCTGGTGATCAGCTGGAAAGTGATGGCCCCAAATTGGTATATCATTATTTACTTTGAAAAAGTAATGTTGATTTTATTTATTTATTTATTTACAAAAGAAAGGTTATCAAGATGAAGAAAAGAAAATTACTAGGGACTTGGAGGGTAATCGATTATCCAAAACAAAAGGAAAATAAAGTGATAAAGAAAAAGAAGTCACCACTGGAACAATATTATCCAATCCCTCTGCATATCTGCTAGGGACCCTTGAAAAGACCATGTGCTTTACATCAAATTGAATCCAATTGCCTAATCTTATCCAAAATCGGCTGATGAGCCAATGGAACCTCCTCAAAAACATGAATGTTAACCTTCAACCAATTGCACCAAATAGTAGCATGGATCGCCCATTGCCATAAAAATTTAACTTCTTTACTTCTACCAAAACCACTAAAGCTAGTCACCTAAAATTCCCCCCTTTTTATTCTAGGGCTGTAGGCATTGATGGTATTTTGTTGGATTAAAAGAATGCAAGGTGATGCTATAGTATTTTTCTCAAATGTGATGTATTGAATGCATGTAGCTTCGCTGATATGGGTGATAGTAGTAACAGTACCCTAAGGTTCTAGTTAAAAGTACAGGATAAATTTTTAAGCAGTTTTAATATAAATGGTATATCATACTGGTACTGATACCAGAATGATAGAAACAGAGATGCAGAGACAATGAAAGTGAAACTGGAGAAGGGAGAAAATTTCTGAACTGAAGAAACTGATTTTGTTTTATTCCGAGTTTTCTGAATGTGAGATTCATATTTATAGATTAGTTCTCAATAACTACCTAACTGAATACTATAATCGTATGAGTTCTAACTAATTTTGTTGCAATGAGCTGATAAGCTCACTGACTATGACTGTTGTAAAGAACCAATTCAACCTAAAAGCTTAAGCTGTTGAGTGAGGCTATATTAATGGTTTTTATATATTTCAACACGCCCCCTCACATGAAAGCCCACTGGGCTTGAAGGGAGGACAATATACAGGCTCACCTACCTGTGCGAAGAAAGAAATTCTACTTGAAAGAAAGTGGGGGGCGGTGAGGATCGAACCCGGGACACGAGGCTCTGATACCATGTAAAGAACCAATTCAACCCAAAAGCTTAAGCTGTTGAGTGAGGCTATATTAATGATTTTTATATATTTCAACAACTGCTATCACAGTATACCTGACAGCCATAACAGGCAGAACAGTATAGGTAGTGCAGCATCTCTTATGCAGTACCCATAAGTTCTTGATATTGGTTCTTGGCCAATTTAGTAGTATGTACCCCTACAACATAGTAATATGCATAACGCTTCTTACTTCATGAACTGGTCACTTATTTGGTTGTATCTTGTATGCACATGAAGATGGCTAACTTACTGTGTTTTTGAAATAAATTGAGAAAAATGATTATCATGTAGTTTTTTGTTGAAAATATGAAAGATTCTTTGACATTATTCAATGCGCTCTTATTATTGTATCATAGGTTTTTTGGAGGAAGGAGATTTTTTAATTTTCCTGTTTGCTGATCTCAGTTTTGTGCAATTGAGCATTATAGCAATTCTAATTTTTTGTGCAGGGCTTTAAGCGATCTCGAACAGGGGTGATAGAGTCATTAAGTACAGCTACAAATGTTCCTGTGCAAGATGCATACATGTCTGATTTTGGTTCCATGGAAGTTAATAATTCAGCCATTACAGGAGTAGGAAATGAGCCAATTAGGTCTTACTGGGACTGGGATGATGATGATAGAGGCATGGAAATGGATATTCAAGCTCTTCTATCTGAGTTTGGTGATTTTGGTGACTTTTTTGAAAATGATGTTTTGCCTTTTGGAGAGGTATCTGAATATCTATTCTACTACATAAAGAGGATTCCTTCTTTTGATGTCCACTAATTTCTCTCTATAATCATGAGTTGTAGAAAGAGCGATTAAGTAGTGACTTCCATGTTTAAACAGTTGCACAACACATTTAAACTCTCTTTAAATTTTGAATTCCACGTTAAAATAGTTACATGTTACACTTCAACCCTTGAATATCTTTTACGACCTACTTTTCCTTAAGTAGAATAGATGTTTAAAAGCTAACTTTTTAGTTTTACCAATTTATTTTCAGAATAAAAAATAAAAGTTTAATAATAGTTATGCATTTTCTTCATTCTAGCAGTTTATAAGCTTGAACAGTACAAGTTTGGTTCCCCTATGGGTAAAAATACATACGCTTCCCTCTGCACTCTTGGTTTGTTTGCTATACTACAATATGAGCCTCCTCTTTCGAATATGAAGTTAAAGGCGATTGTTTTAGAGTGTTTTCTTATTTATTGTCTTTGTTTTGGAGGGCAAGGTATCCTCCTAATTTCTTATGCCTTGTTTTTCCTCTCTTATAGAACCTTCTTTCATTTATTCCTTTGTTTGATTGCATAGATTGTACAATTTCCAAAGTTTACTCAGAATCTTATTTCTTTAACAATAAAGCCTGAATACTGCAATTTTTTAAGCTTCTCGGTGTTATTATTTTGACATTATTGTTCTTTCTCTCTGCCTCTTCGTCCGTTATATACTGGTATCTTATTGTATGATCAATTTTCTGGCGAAGCCCCCAGGAACTGCAGAATCTCAGGCACTTATATTTTCTGCACCGGATTGTGGAGATGTCAACAGTCCAGTTGGAGTGATGGATGTTTCAGATCAAATGCTTTTGCCTGTTGCGTTTGCTTCCTTTGAGAGCTTTAACCCACCTCCTCCTGCTGCCATGGAGGAGTGTCTCAGCAAAAGTAAAGATAACATAAATAACTCCATGTCATTGGGTCCAACCAATCAAATTCAAATGTTGTATGGGCGGGAGTTTGATCATATAGTGAAAGCTGAAGCAATGATGACATTTGCTCCTGAATTTGGAGCTGTTGAGACCCCTGCTAATGAGTTGTCCACAACATTATTCAGAAGCCCATATTTTCCAAAATCTCGAAGAGCGGATAGTTCAAATTCAAGTTCAAACAATTACTTGTATGGTGCAGCACCACCCTCTTCTCCCTACATTGAAGGATCAGAGGGGAAGAATGTAATGGCCATCAATACAAAAACATGTTCTGGAAAACATGATGCAAGCATGACTCTCCACTCCAAAAATTATTATACTTTTGTGGAGAATAGGAAAGACATAAATGATAGAAAACCAGTTACAAGTAATGATAACGGCATTGCTAAATCTGAGGGGAAAGTACCACCTCTGTTCTCAAACATTGGTTCTAATGCTATTGTCAAGTCTGCCCTAAGGAAGATCACTGAAGGCACACTTGAAGCAGAGAATTTCCTTCTATCTGCAAAAACTTTGTTGGCAACTGATATCACATGTGTTATGTTGCAAGCTTCCATGTGCAGGCTACGACACATTCTCTTATCTTCAGGTAACCCCATGAATGTTGGTTTGAGTAGGTCAACTGGGGTTACATTTTTGAATCAGCTTCCTGGTGATCCGGGTACCACCACAGACAACATATCTGGCAAGTATGAGTTGAAGAAGAAAGAAAATATACCGGTTAGAATTGCAGGAGATATCGATGGAGGAATGCTTGATGGGCACCTCAATGCACCTGTTGGTGTTTGGCGCACTGTAGGAGCTTCAAAAGTTGTAAAACCTTCAAATTCACCAAACGTGGAAGTTGGTCCTTCCTTTTCTCATAATTCATTCAATGAAGAAGGTATCCTTTCTTACAGTCAAAGGAAACCACTCCAGGAGCTTCTTGATGGGATTGCATTGCTTGTCCAACAAGCTATTTCCTTTGTTGATCTGGCTTTGGATGCAGATTGTGGTGATGGCCCTTATGGTTTGCTTGCATTGCAAGAACAGTGGAGGCGTGGTTTTTGTTGTGGGCCTTCCATGGTCCATGCTGGTTGTGGGGGAACTCTTGCCTCTTCTCATTCGCTGGACATTGCTGGCTTGGAGTTAGTGGATCCACTTTCTGCTGATGTAAGCTTTTATTGTATATGTTTCTGAAATGCTCCTTCTGGTACTACATGTCAAATTGTGAATCCATGAACCTCTTATGTCTCTTTCCTTACGGGCAGGGATTCAGGATTTGGTAATAGAACTAAAGTGGAGTGCTAATGCTAAGATAAGATGGATGTTTTGAAGTTATCTTTGTTGAGGTGTGTTATGTGTAGATATGTTCAGATGCAAGAATAATTAATTTGGAATCCTTAATTTGATGTGGATATGCATTGAGCGGTGTAAAATGGTTGTGATTATCTAAAGCAAAAATGTTGGTTCTGTGACGTGATGTTATTCATTGTTGACTTCCATATCATTCTTAAGGGATATATTATCATTACTCCGACAAGGATATGCCACCTAGTAGTTATAGTATAGAAACTAACTAGATATGCAGAATTTACTAATGAATATTGCATATATGTTTTGAAACCTTGTAAAATGTAAATTGTGTTCCTGCAGAAATATTGTATGAATTTTCCTTATGCATTATAATTTTGTTGTGCCCATGATTCACTACATGATTAGCATGTATTTAGATTTTCATGTTAGAATGCATTCAGATAACATCTTGATCCTCTTTCCTATCTGCGCTATCATCTCCGAAAATGTTCTATGTCTATACTTACATTGACACTTTCATGGTTTTACTGATTTGTTTAGCAAATAAGCAACTTGGCTGTCCATGTTTTATGTTTGTTATTTAGCAAATAAGAAATCTGTCTTTGATTTGAGGACTCAAGATTTGTGATCAGATGTTATTAATTCTTTGTCATAGCCCTTTCCTATTATTATTACTTTTCGTTTGTCTTTTGGGGTTACTTAGTTTAGGCTGATAACGTTTTGTGCCCATTGGTGTTGCTGATTGATTTCTGTTTCATTTTTTATGCTTACATTGGCAGTATTATGAATTTTCAGGTTCATGCATCTACTGTGATCAGCTTGCTGCAGTCTGACATAAAAACAGCTTTAAAATCTGCATTTTCCAATTTGGAAGGCCCGTTATCTGTGACTGATTGGTGCAAAGGACGCAATCAATCGGTTGATACTGGAAGCATAATTGATGGAGTTTCTGCTGAATCCAGCATTAGTGAATGTAGGGATTCTTCAGAACCAATGAGTCCATCCCAGTCATCTGTTGGTGGATCGTCCAATATTAAGGGTAGAAGTTTGCTTTTGCATTAGTGATGTAAGTTTTTATCTTCAGGGTACTAATAAAATTTGACTGTCAGTGCAGTTTCCAGCATGATAGATAGTGCTAAGGTGGATGAGACTTCCCAAAGGAGATCTGTCCAAGATATGTGCATTTCAGAGTCAGAGCAGCAACCATGTTCCCGGCTAAAACCGACTCTCGTTGCTCTTCCGTTTCCTTCTATACTTGTAGGGTATGTGCACTTGTTGTCGTTTACGTTTAATGACAAGTTTGAATACGTAATTGCCTTGATCACAAGGTTTTTGATTGTATTTGAGTGCTGTTGATGGTTTAGATGATTTAGCTACGTAGGTTTGTCCAATGACAAGATGAATAGATGGTGCCTGGGGCTAAGCTTAATTTGAACATGCAGTGCATAAACATGGCATACCTAAATAATTAAGGGAGAACGAATGAGTGAGAAGAGCTAGGAAAGTATGGTTATGTAGTTAGTATGTGTTCACAGAATTACAGTTACTCTTCTAAAGTTGCTAGTTCCCTCAGAGTCATGGTAATTTTTTTTTCTCTAGCTCTTTTGGCCGAGTTGTTCTCCCAATAATTAAGCTAACTACAACTATAATGCAGCTTGGCTTCAAATTCGGAGAAGCTTTGGCTTAGCTGGCTGAAACAATCAAAACATACCAATTCAAAGTTAATATTAAAAATAGGTGGGTGAATTCAGGGGATATCAGATTCCAGTAGGTTGCTGGAACCAGCTGCCAAGGGTTGTCTCCAACTCTCCATGAGCTCCCTCACCAGCTGATGCATCTCCTTTGGTGCTTGTTAGAGAATATTATTGTAGGAAATTAGAATTAAAAATATTTCCGTTTCCGTTTTTATTTTCTATTAATTAGTGGATAGGACTAATGACTCATTGCTTTGTCATTCTCATTAATTCTTTCTCATTCTCTCTTGTATAAATCCCTCTATCAGTGTAAATCATTGTGAATCAATATAGAAAAAACAATTGTTTTATTTCAATATGGTATCAAGAGCGGGTTCGTTCTTACCCTAGATCAGCCACCCTCAAAGCTGAAACCAGTTCAAAAATCATCCAAAAATCATCCAAACACAAACCAACCTCTTCCAAATCCCAGAAACCATACCTATAGACCTCCAATCGAGAAGGTGGAGTAACCATTCAACTCAGAAGGCTTCGACGAGTTGATGCCACCGGACCCATCGCCGTCGGACGTCCCACGCGCCGCCACACGCGCGGTCACTCTCCGACGCGTGTATGGTGAAGGATGTAAGACTGATGTGGAATTATTACAATATTCCTCTTTAAGCTGGTGAATGTATCTATCATTCTTAGGTTGCTAGTAAGATGCTGGAACCTCTTTGTAAGAAATCCTTTGGTTAACACATCTACCAGCTGAATTCCTGAAGAAACGTATGCTGTGGTGATTAGTCCACTATCTAGTTTCTTTCTTTATGAAATGTCGGTCAATCTCAATGTGTTTATAAGAATGTTAATGGTTTGTTGTCAGAAAACAACTTCTTTGGAGTTTCATAATTTATTCCAAGATCATTCTGTATTATTTTAGCATATGATAATTTAGCTAACACAACTCACATATGCTAATGTAAAGTTTGGCATTTAGTTTACAACTCATGCAAATATAATGTCGTACAACAAAAGCTTAAGCTGTTAGGTGAATGTCACATTAATGATTTTATATTATATTTCTCTAACACACTCTCACATATAAGAGCACATTGGGCTTGAAGGGTGGACAATGCATGACCTATTTACCTATGTTAAGAAATTCTATAATATTTAATTATTTATTAATAGAATGGGGGCGGTGAGGATTGAACTTGTGACCACTTGGTGACATAGGATCTGATATCATGTAAAGAACTATTTCAAACTAGAAGTTTCGTAACATATTTATATTATATTATAAATCTGAATGCCACATTAATGAGTTTGTATTATATTTCTCCAACAGTAGATGAATGATTATATATTTTTATATTTTATTTCTAACGCGCCTCCTTGTAGTTGCAATAAGGTTGCTCCTTGTGACCGGAAGGTAATGAGTTTGAGTGTAGGAAACAACCTGCAAAAAATGCAAGGCTAAGCCTGCGTATAATCGTCCCTCACCCCTACCCTTGTAAGTTAGGAAGCATTGTACACCGAGTTTGCCCTTTATTTCTAACACGTCCCATTATGCAAGTGATCATTGGGCTTGAAGGGTGGACAATGCAGAGGCCCATAACCTGTTCTAAAAAATTTCACATTATTTATTAGGATATTATTTAGAAGAATAGGGGTGACAATGATCGAACTCTGAATCATTTGGTCACAGATGTTCTAATAACATGTCATACAACCAACTCTCCTAAAAACTTAAGTTGTTAGGTGAAGGTAGATGAATGGTTTTATAATTTTATATTATATTTCTAATATATAACATGTCCAATAGGTATCAGGATGATTGGCTCAAGACGTCAGCAAACTCTCTGCAGCACTGGGAAAAGGCTCCTCTAGAACCCTACGCTCTACAAAAACAGGTAAGTTTATAATAACCATTTGCTGCTGTCACTAGTCGAGCCTTGTTGTCTACCATATATCCTGACTTGTTACCTGACGGTGACGGGTAATGAGTTTAGGAACTTGCTTTCATTATATCATTATATGCTTTGTTGGGTTGCAGATTACATATCACGTTGTATGTCCTGACATTGATCCCCTTACTTCTGCTGCTGCTGATTTTTTTCAACAACTAGGAACAGGTGAGTAGTGGTAAATTATGCTTCAATTGATCTAGGACTGTTTGATGATGTTTACAGAGAGCATATTTGAAACAGATTATCCTTTACATTCTGGCTATAGCAAGCTTTGTATTTACATCCAATTATATATCATTGATAACAATAGTTGGATCCTGTCTCTTAGGAAAGAAAAATCATATTTTTTACTGGAGTGTTAGTTGAAGTGTTAAGAGAACTTTGTGTTTCTGGACTTTCCTGTGACTCTTACTAATTGAATGTAGTAATAGGTCTATGCTATGCCAGTAGAATGCTTCCAGATTTCTATCCATCATGACTACTGATTTACATTTCACCTTATTTTGTCTCTTCACTCAATTTTCTTGCATTTAGTTGTTCTATGTCTTATTTTGCATTTTTTCTTTTCAGTGTACGAGACATGCAAGCTGGGTACTCATTCACCTCAAGCCTTGGGGAATCAGATGGAGATAGAATCTGCAAAGTTGTCATCTGGTGGTTTTGTTTTACTTGATTGTCCCCAATCAATGAAGATTGAGAGCAGCAATGCATCTCTTGTTGGTTCAGTAAGTGATTATTTTTTATCTTTATCTAATGGTTGGGACCTGACTAGTTATCTCAAGTCTCTTTCGAAGGCGCTTAGAGCTTTGAAACTTAGTTCTTGCTTCTCCACAAACCCCAGTGAAGGAAGTAACGGTTCATGTATGGTAAGTGCTTGTTTATTGGCTCTATTCTGTAGATTGAATGGTTATTATGTGTCCCTCGCTTCTAATTAGATCAAATAATGATGAGGCTTTAACGGCATAGTTTGTTTTTCTTTGGTTGTTTGGATTCAAGCATTAATGGGATGGCACTGTTCATGGACGAAAATAATTTTCTCGTAGTATATTTCTCTCTTTATTTTTTTGGTAAATCTATGTGCCTTGATATTTTTGATCTCACCCATTTATATTTTCCTTGCATTTAGGTAATATATGTGGTGTGCCCGTTTCCTGATCCTACTGCAATTTTACAAACTGTAATTGAATCTTCTGTTGCCATTGGATCCGTTATCCAACAGTCAGATAGAGAGAGGAGATCTACCGTGCATAGTCAGGTCGTGAAGGCGCTAAATGGCTTGGCAACTGTTGATGAAGCTTCAGCATCTAATATTCTTGTGCTTTCTGGGTTTAGTATTCCAAAATTGGTCTTGCAGATAGTTACAGTTGATGCCATCTTCAGAGTCACAAGTCCATCAGTGAGTGAGCTTGTCATTTTGAAAGAGACTGCATTTACCGTATATAGCAAGGCTCGTCGTATTTCACGTGGAATCTCTAGTGATTTTGCTCAATCAGCATTTTCAAACAGATCTCATTCTGTTTTGACACAAATGCCTTCTCCCATCTCTGGGATGTGGAAAGACTGTGTTGGTCCTCGAATGGCCGGACATTCTCTTCCAAGAGAGGGTGACATTGATGCTAGCTTGAGGTCTGGTACTTGGGACAATTCTTGGCAATCAACGAGGACTGGGGGGTTGAGCTGTGATTCAAGTAGAACTGGGGATATTTTTCTTCATGATGAAGTTCGTTACATGTTTGAACCCCTTTTTATTCTTGCAGAACCAGGTTCTCTAGATCATGGTATTTCAGTTATTGGTAGCCCCACTTCAGAATCTTCCAAGGCTTTGGCGGATGACAGTAGTGGTAACTACGTGCAGAGTACAGGTACTGCAGGAAGTGTGGAGTCTGCTTCAAGCATTGATGGATCTGGGTCTGATCAAAAGACTCCTCCAAGCCTACATTGTTGCTATGGATGGACAGAGGACTGGCGTTGGCTTGTATGCATCTGGACAGATTCAAGGGGAGAATTACTTGACTGCAATATTTTCCCCTTTGGTGGAATAAGCAGTAGGCAGGATACAAAGGGTCTGCAGTGCCTATTTGTTCAAGTTCTTCAGCAAGGTTGTCAGATACTTCAATCTTGTGATCCAGCCCTTGCAAAGCCTCGAGATTTTGTGATAGCACGCATTGGAGGTTTCTATGAGCTTGAGTACCTTGGTAAGATTTCTGTCTCTGGCTCTCTGCCATCTTTTGAGGTACATACAATGGGTTTGGGGCATGGTAGACCCAATCTGAAAAAAAAATAAAAATTGAGATAGCATGAAGGTATAATTTATAGGTGTACAGACGTACTTAACTTCCAGAATTACCTTTTCCCTACTTGTAAATGGACATGGCTGATAACCTTGGCAAGGACATTTGCTTACATAACCTTGTGTAAAAGTTAATTGAAAAACTCTTCTACTGTCCTCAAGTGAATGACCAATTGTCATACAATGATATAGGTTTGAGTGCTTTTTGTCCCACAATAATGCTGAAATTGGCTATCCCAAGCCTTGCCTTACTAGTTTGTATAGGGGTGTGTGTAAACTTGCACACACAAAATCTAAACTGTGCGGAAAATGTTAGGGAGGGGATAGGTGACATGGTGGAGGATCAAACGACAGATATCATAGTCAAGGCTGAGGTCAATGCTAATTAAGTGAGGATTATTGTAAAGTACCTGTTAGAGAATAACATAAACTATTAAAAAGGCCTTCACCCAACACCTTAAGGTTTTGGGTTGAAATGGTTCTTTACAAGGTATCAGAGCTTTAGTGACCACAAGGTCATGAGTTCGATCCTCACCGCCCCCCCACTTGTGGAATTAAATAAGCATAAGGTAAATCAAAAATAAAAATAAAAATTGGGCCTATGCAATATTCACGCTTCAAGCCCAAAAGGCTCTTGCGTGAGGGGGTGTGAGAATAACATAAATCATTAAAAAGGCCCTTACCCAACACCTTAAGGTTTTGGGTTGAAGTGGTTCTTTACATTTATAGTAATGTTATTTGAGTGATTAATGTGTAATGAAGTGGTCGGTGGGTCATTCTTCTAAATATTGCACACCATTGTCCTTCTCAATAATAATCCTAAAATTTTAAACCAGTTCCATTTAAATTTAGGTAGGTCCAGTTTAGGCCCCAACAAGTTCAGATGCTGCAATGTTTAATGTATTAAGTGATGTGCAACAGCGTACCACTATGAATTGTGTGAAGCAATATGTCAGATCAAGCGAGCAACTCAATTGTAATAATGAAATTTAGCTGGCTCCATCAGTTTTAGTACATTCACAAAAATTGAATTCTGGATTACAGGGGAATTCACTTCCGATTATCTAATATTTGTTCCATCATAAGTGATTTCATCTTATAAAAGGGGAAAACAAAAATAAAATATAAAATCACTATCTCTACTGTTATATGTTCGAACTAGTAATATTTTTTTTTGGTTTTTAAAGATATATACACTGCTTTCGCAATTTCGACCCGGGTGTGGGGAAGGCTAAAAGTTTTCCCAAGGGTGTTTATCCAAGAATTAAATTTCCGACATTGGGGTTCAAACAATCATTTTTAACCATGGTGACTGGTGGGGTTTTTTGTTTTTTTTTTAAAAAAAACTTGTGGTATATTAGATTTTTGCATTTTGTATGCTTTAATTTTATTTTATACTTATGATTGGGCGATTCACTGTTTAGTTTATCAAAAATGATCACATGCTATTGATGGTGATGAATTTTGCCAAAAGTTACGGAGGTATTGTCCGAGATGAATTTGAATGTCTCCTTTTAGACCATGTTCAGACTGGTCCAACCTTAAGCTATATATATGTTCTTACACGTATGGATACATCATGACTTACATGCATGGTTGTTGGCATACTTACATCCATCAAAAGCAAATTGGCTTTATATTTGCACCTACACTAAGATGTAAATTTGTATTTCCTTCTTGAGATAGTAGTCAATGGATGCTAAATGTAGCTCTTTGGAGTATTGTTTTTGGATATAATGGGAGCACTGAGGTTTGAATCTATAACCTCATGCAAACTACCCTAATCCCTCATCACTAGACCAATCCTATTGGCTTTGGAGTATTCTTATGTCTTCCTTTATACATGCATTTTTACTTTGGCATTTTATTTAAACAGAGTGGCAGAAAGCCATTTATTCGGTAGGTGGATCTGAGATGAAGAGATGGCCCCTTCAACTGCGGAAATCTATGTCTGATGGCGTGTCTGCAACTAGTAATGGTTCTTCTTTGCAACAACCAGATATGAGCCTGATCCCAGAAAGAACTCTTCCTTCCTCACCTAGTCCTTTGTATAGTCCTCATACCAAACCCACTGGTTTTATGAAAGGCACTTTAGGGCAGCCTGCTGCAAGAAAACAGCTTATGGGTGGACATTCTATGGTCGACAACTCAAGGGGTTTGCTTCATTGGGCACAAAGCATTAGTTTCGTTGCTGTTTCTATGGACCATACCTTACAGCTAGTTCACCCGGCTGATTCATCTTCTCCTGGTGAGTTATCTTTTTTATGATAAATTTAATTTCTATTTTTTTTCCTATATCATTCAATTGCATTCATGAGATGAGATTGTTGTGATGGAAAATGGAAGAGTGGACATCTAAAAATAGATCAGGAATGAATGTATTAAAGAGAGTTGGAATGGCATCTAGTAAGGAAAAAGATGCTAGAATTGTGCCTAAATGGTTTGGCGTGTGAGAGGAAGAGTGATGGAACCGAAAATTGAATAACTGGAATTCACATTAAATTGGGAACGTAGCCTCTTCAATGATATTCACAACTCACAAACACCGTGACAATCCATTATACAAACTCTATGATCCAACCAAAATAACGACAGCAAAGACTCCAGGTAATTACACTAGTAATTATGCTAATAACCAGCAAAGATAAAAGATAACCAAAGGTACTCCCCTCTACAAGGAATAACCCACCTTGCAGAGATCAACCCAATTCCCTTTTCCTGTTTACACAAATTCCATGCCCCTCACTCACCCCCACCCGCTTTCCCTATTTATAACCACATAAGCATTTCTGGACTTGGGGACTTAGATATAAATGGCCTCTTCCTTGGCCTGGTTTGTGACGGAACACAATGGCATCGTTTGACCCATGTTGACAACCCCATCTATTTGGATATGTTGAGATATATAAAACCATTAATGTAGCCTCACCCAATAGCTTAAGCTTTTGGGTTGAATTGGTTCTTTACTTGGTATCAGAGCCTCGTGTCCCGGGTTCAAACCTCGTCGCCCCCCACTTTCTTTCATGTGGAATTTCTTTGTTCGCACAGGTAGGTGGGTCTGTGCATTGTCCACCCTTCAAACCCAGTGGGCTCTCGTGTGAGGGGGCGTGTTAAGATATATAAAACCATTAATGTAGCTTCACTCAATAGCTTAAGCTTTTGGGTTGAATTGGTTCTTTACTGGATAAGGCTTTTGTTGTATTTCATTGAATTGTATTGAGCATCAAAGCCACTGGTTGGAAAAACTAAGATGTTGAATGATGTTTCTGACCTTGGGGAAGAAGGGAGAGGGCGAGGGACATGGTGAGATTGTTGTGGCTAAGATTTATAAAAGCTTAAAATTAGAGAGAAAAATAAGGGTTTGGAAGAGTGAGAGGTAAACAAAAAAAGAGACAATGTAAAATGGCCAATGGATGGAACACGTTTTGCCTCTAGCCCACCCCTGTACTAAAGGGAAGAGTATAAAATAGTATGATTTTTTATCAATTACCCCTGAAGCAGTCTCTTAATGAACAGTGGACAATCACTTAAAATCAATCCACCAAATGATTACCTTGGTTTTAGCTGTCAAAACACTCTTTAAGTAAGACTTTTAAACACTGTATACCTTGAACATGCACATCTCAACCTCTCACTATATAATTTTTCCAGATTGCAGATTCAAGTTACTTTTTAGTTGTTTTTTCATAATCATTACATATTTTTGCATATGACGAACGTTTCTTTCAGCTTTTGGATTAATGGAAAGAGCAATGGGGATCTTCTTCATCTCTCTAGCAATTTGTGTGCTGTATAGTTTGATCCTAGGACAAGACACATCCACTTTAAAATCTATTTTGATTTCCTTGTTTGTTTCCCATCTTCTACTTGTTTTTAACTACCAACTCCTCAGAAAATTCAAGAGCAAGTTTTAATACCCTCATTTGTGACAACGACAGTATTTTTCCACTGTCATGTTGCACTAAGACATCGAAATCCAGTTTTGATGTATGCCAGTTTAGATAAAGGAAATTCAAACAAGCATCCGTCAAGGACTTGAACCTATTATAGATTTACATCATGCGAATGACGATGATAGACTTCATTATTCTCAGGGGATAGCAGGAGTGGAATATAGCATTTCCCAATTAACCAAAAACCATAATTTTGATTGATTCATTTGTGAATATTCTTTATGAAGTAAATCATTTAAGAATTGATAGCAAAAACTTTTGGAGGAGGAACTGAAAGCGTTGGTTGGATGTTGTATATTTTAGGTTACATAGAAGGTTTCACTCCAGTGAAGTCTCTGGGTTCCACGTCTTCTGCATATATTCTAATTCCTTCTCCAAGTATGCGGTTCCTTCCTCCGACAGCTCTTCAACTCCCCACGTGCCTCACTGCAGAGTCTCCACCACTAGCGCATCTGCTTCACAGCAAGGGTTCTGCTCTTCCGCTCTCCACGGGATTTGTGGTTTCAAAAGCAGTACCTTCCATGAGGAAGGACTATAAAAGCAACCTGAAAGAAGAATGGCCTTCAGTACTTTCAGTGAGCCTCGTTGATTATTATGGAGGTACTAATATCCCCCATGAGAAGATTGTTCGAGGAATAAACAAGCAAGGTGGTAGAAGTTTAAGCTGGGAAGCTAAAGATTTTGAAATTGAGACCCACTTGGTTCTGGAGTCTCTTGCAGCAGAGCTTCACGCGTTGTCGTGGATGACAGTAAGCCCTGCATACCTAGAGCGACGAACGGCACTTCCCTTCCACTGTGACATGGTTCTAAGACTAAGAAGACTGCTTCACTTTGCTGATAAAGAGCTCTCCAAGCAGTCAGAGAAATCTTGAATACTGTTTATATACAATTATGGCGATAAAACCCTTTGTTCATTGGTTTGAGAGGAAAGACAGGCAAACTTAGCTGAATAGACTGTATCATATTAGATTCACTGGGACTCTACGTAAAGTAAATGTAAAGCCTGCTGATGTATTCCAGGAAGAAATAGATTTAGCTATTGTAGGTATCACTGTAAGTTGTTGAGATTGTACATGAGCTTTCTAGAACAGCTGATTCTAACCCAGGTTAGCATGATTGATAGAAGCTGTTATTGTAGTATAGAATACCATATTCTGTGTGGCAGTTCTGTTGTCTCCGGAATTTCATTTCCTTTGTAATTAGATTTTGTTAGAATAATGTGCCAATAGCTGTTTTTATGCTTAATTTGATTTGATTTGATTTTTTTTTTTGTAGGGTTAAGGATGAGATTAATTCCCTTGGTATAGGGCGTAAAAGTGTTTGCTATTACTATTAGCCCGAAATTGATCTCATGACTATGATAATATAATCATAGTGAATCCTTTGTGACAACTGACAAGTACTTTTTTATTTATTTTTTTCTTTGAAATATTCCTCATGCTGCTCAGATGACAGTCAGTTCGAATTTAACTCGTCTAATGTCTTCCGATCGATTTGTCTTAAGATTGTTGGCAAAAATTCCAAAATAATCACTGAAAGGATAATTTGTATTTAAGAAATTGCTTTAACAATGCATGCTATAATATGAAATGCATACAAAAAATTAAATATGCAATAACATGAAAAAAATATATTAACACAAAAATGAAGTAAAGGAAAGATCTGAATTTAATAAAACATTGTATTCTTAAGATAATTTATCCTTTTATTAATATTTCAGATTTGTGAACAATTGCTTTCTTGGGCATATTTTCTAATCGGTTTTCTCTTATAATAAAAAAAAGGAATTTTATCTTGATATTTTTCATATTATTATAGGAAACAAAATTATTATATATGTGTTTGAGACTCACGAGAGGTTATGTAAAGAAAAGAGAGAAAAAAATAATTTTATATATTTTTATGTATATGTAAGAAATAATTTTATTTTCTATTAATATGAGAGACATTAAATCTACTATTTAAATTAATACTGGAATGCTTAAGGGAAATATTAGTGGTGTAGAAATGAATGAGAATGGAAAATCCGATTCAAATGAATATTTTGGTTTGTTATTTGTAAATGACCAGCAGCCTATATCTTCTAAATTTTATAATTACATTTTTAATTTTTAAGTAGGTAAGACTTGGTAAAAAACTCAAGCTGATGCATTTCTAATCAACAAGGCGAGACTGGATGGAAAAAATTAGGCGTAAGTGATAAAAAAAACCAGCAGGGGTAATTAATTACGGGAAATGATATACTTATCATCAGAAAAGTTTATCACCTTTACAACTAACTTAATTACTGTTGATTTTCGTCAATTTAACGGTTATAATTTATTAAATTTATTGAGAATTAATAAATAAATAATAAATACGATCCAATAAATTATAACCGTTAGATTGACAGAAATCAACGGTGATTAAGTTAGTTGTAAATGTAGTAAACTTTTTCGGTGATAAGTATATCCTGCCCCATTAATTATACAGAAAAATATTTCCGCAGTTAATACAAATAAATTATCTGCGTTTACTTTCAAAACGACGTTGTGTTGAAATTAAAAAATTAAAATTATAATTATAAGTACTACAATAACTCTAAAATAAATTAAAATTACAAAAATACGAATGCAATTGCGCTATGAAACATTATTACTCTTTCACACAACGGCAGTCGTGTATCCTAAAATATCGTCATTATCGTACAGCGATTAAAATGCCAGCATGTTAATTTCTTGCACTTTTTCGTTGTCACTTCAAAGCCGAAATAATAGCTAAAAAAAATAAAAAAAATCTAAAAACAGAGAAGTAATAGAAAGTCAAGAGTGAAAGACGAGAGGCCGAGCGATTTATAGGGTCAATTGGAAAATTAAGGACCACAGTTAGGTTGGTAAACTTTGAATGGTTAAAAAAGAAAGGAGCAATGGTATAAAAGGGCAGGATTAAGGTAGAAGAAGAACAACTATCTTCTTCCAATAGAGGAGAGGAAGGAGATAGAGGAAAGGGTTGATTCAAAATTTTTTTAAAAAAAAAGGCGAGAGGATGGGTGGGAGGTTGATATTGGTTTTAATGCTAAGCCTGCTGGCCGGGGCGGTTCGCGGTGAAGACCCATACGTGTACTACACGTGGAACGTGACCTACGGCACCATTTCTCCTCTTGGAATCCCGCAACAGGGTATTCTTATCAATGGGCAATTCCCCGGACCGGAAATAAACTCAACCAGCAACAATAACGTTGTGGTGAATGTGTTCAACAACCTTGACGAGCCATTCCTTTTGACATGGAGCGGTGTCCAACAAAGGAAGAACTCATGGCAAGATGGTACATTGGGAACCCAATGCCCCATTGCCCCTGGTACAAACTACACCTACCACTTCCAAGTTAAGGACCAGATTGGAAGCTATTTCTACTATCCAACAACTGCTTTGCACAGAGCAGCTGGTGGCTTCGGTGGCCTCAGGATCTATAGCCGTCTGTTGATTCCTGTCCCATACGCTGATCCTGAGGATGAATACTGGGTTCTCATTGGTGACTGGCACACCAAGAGCCACTCCGTTCTCAGGAAGTTCTTGGACAGTGGTCGCTCTATTGGAAGACCAGAAGGTGTCCTTATCAACGGCAAAACAGCCAAGGGAGATGGCAGTGATGAGCCACTCTACACAATGAAGCCTGGCAAGACCTACAAATACAGAATCTGCAACGTTGGTCTCAAGGAATCACTCAACTTCAGGTTCCAAGGTCATTCCATGGAGCTGGTTGAGATGGAAGGTTCCCACACTGTTCAGAACATGTATGACTCACTTGACGTCCATGTTGGGCAATGCTTTTCTGTCCTTGTCACTGCCGACAAGGAGCCAAGGGATTATTACATGGTGGCCTCCACTCGTTTCTCAAAGAACGTTCTTACTGGCAAAGGCATAATCCGTTACACTAACGGTGTTGGCCGTGCCTCACCTCTGCTCCCTCCTGCTCCTGTTGGTTGGGCTTGGTCTCTCAACCAGTTCCGCTCCTTCCGTTGGAACCTCACCGCAAGTGCTGCTAGACCTAACCCTCAGGGTTCTTACCATTATGGTCAGATCAACATCACTCGCACAATCAAGTTGGTCGACTCTGTCGTCAGATCTCCTGCCTCTCTTCGTTATGCCCTTAACGGTGTCTCTCACGTTGATGGTGAAACTCCTCTCAAGCTTGCCGAATACTATGGTGTTGCTGACAAGGTTTTCAAGTACAACATCATCTCTGATGAACCCCCCGTTGATCTTAAAAAAGTCACCGTTGCACCCAATGTCATCAATGCCACATTCCGCAACTTCATCGAGATAATCTTCGAGAACCACGGGAAAACCGTTCAGTCATACAATTTGGACGGCTACTCATTCTTTGCAGTCGCGTGAGTATTATATTGAGTATATATATATATATATATATATATATATATATATATATTTTGATATATTTTTATAATGCATTAATTAATTCCATTCCTTTGCAATAATGAATCAATAATTAATTGATTTCTTTTTATTATATATATCTATATATACAGCATAGAGCCAGGGAGGTGGACTCCTGAGAAAAGGAAGGGCTACAACCTTCTTGATGCAGTGAGCAGACACACCGTTCAGGTGTTCCCCAAATCATGGGCAGCAATAATGTTGACATTCGACAATGCTGGAATGTGGAACTTGAGGTCGGCGCTAGCTGAGAATAGCTACCTGGGCCAACAGCTATACATAAGTGTTTCGTCTCCAGAACGATCTCTCAGGGATGAGTACAACCTTCCGGATACCCAGCTTGTTTGCGGCATCGTCAAGGATATGCCCAAGCCAAAACCAGTCTACGTCTAAACGTTTTCGCTTCTACCATATGCATTCCTATCTGATTCATAGATTTCTATGTCATTTGGGGATGATGGATCAACCCTTTCCCGAGTTCAATTAATTTTCTCCTTAATAATATATTTATATATGTAAAATTCTCCTTCCCAATTAATATCTCACTCTTCCATGCATATATCATGTCGCTTCACAAAATTTAAAATAAAAATAAAAAAAATTAATCGAATTTTAAGTATATTCATCATTTATCACTTTCAAGTCACCAAATTAAATTTCACTTAAGTCTAGTGTTATTTAACCCTAAAAGCTATATTCTGCTAGTATGGAATTACGAAGAAGAAAGGAAAAACCCCAAATTAACTACTACTTTTCCTTTTGTATTTTTTAAGATAAAACTTCCACAAATTTCTATAATATTAATTCACACTACAAAGAAAATAATAAAAGTAAAGAGATATAAAGTAAAATATAAAACTATATTCATGTACATGTGTGTTTACCTAAGATCGACTTAAGTTTCTGTATTAATTATTTAATTAGCTCATATGAAATGGTATACTGATTTATTCTTGAATATGGCTCATTCTCAATAATTTTACTTAACTATATAAACATCTAGTGGCATGAGTTTTTTGACAAATTTTTTTTATTATTTGAGAGGATAAAAATAAAAACGTTGATAAAAATATTAAAGAAAATAATGAAAATATATATAGTGGATAAATCCCACTTCGAAATTTTATTTTAACATTAGTACTTGTATTCTTAAAAAAAATAAAAATAAATCCAATTTACATCCTTAATTATGATAGCCGATCTTATTTTATTTTATTTATTTTTTTTAAATTCCAATCTTGCATCGTTTTGTAAATTCCAATCTATCTCAGATCTGTCGTATTTTAGATAGTCAAGCTCGTGTCGTACTGAGTATTTCTCCTAGGCTTCGTTCATAAATGCCTTGGGTCTGGGTTATAATTAATATTACACCATAATTTTATTTGGTTTTTATATTTGTAAATCATGTAGTAGGTTTGTTACTTTTTTAGTGAAACATTAATGATTGTTTGGCATGTGTAATTCCTTGGTTGGTTGTGGTCCATGTATTTTTTACAGGCACTTGTATATTTTTATTATTATTATTTGGGATGTCTATATTTTTGAGAAGATTCTGCCAAATTTTTGAAAGGAATTAATTTTAAATATAAGACATAGGGATTCAGTATAACACTTTTCTTATAGGTGTTAGAACTTTGTCAAGTTAAAAGGCTTGATAGTTGCTACCAAACCTAATTTTATTAGATCGAGAGTAAAAATTATTGATTTCTTTTCCTTATATATTTGTAATTAAAAAAAATAAGAGTTTTATATTTCGCAGGACAAGTTTAACCTTAATTATGCCACTTTCACTAGTGATCACTTCGAATTTTGAGTTTTTATTTATTTATTTATTTTAAATATGTGCTCATCACGATCCTTATCTCTGAAGGAAGCTGGGCTCTTCTTCTATAAAATAACAAAGAAATTTCTTTCTAAAAGTCATTTCCCAATTACTATTTAGTGTTATATTTAATTATTAAACGATACTATTATGGAAAAAGGGTAATTAAGAAAGGAATGACGAAAAGTTGCGTAGCATTTTATTATTTTATTATTTATGTGAAGTACAATCTAAATTCAAGATTGTTTGATCACCGAAAAAAGAAAAGAAAAAAAGAAACTCATGACATCTGGAAAGGTAGAGCGACATAGGAGGCAAGCAAAGTTTAGATAAAGATGTGTGTGCATGCAAATGCATGCTGCATGGAACTTGTATTAGTTGGATCCATCAGAACCAGAACCAGAACCAGAACCAGAAGTATTGTTGATACGTACAGACAATGGACTCCTAACATAATGGAAGCCGTCTGACCAAACTATCTCTCCGAAATCATACCTCCCCTGGGATTTCTTTATGGGCTTTAATGTCAGATAGTATGAGTTTTCTTGCTTGAACCATGAGAATATTAGGATCTTTGGCCATATCACAACCTCCACTCCACAGGGTTCGATGATGCTAACAAAATATATGACATTTTTGTTTCGACCCACATTACGAACAGTCCTTTTCATTGTTATTGTGGACTTGAGGTTCGAGATTGTGATCGATGGGTAGTTCAGAATGGCATTGGTTTTGGCTACTAAGTGTTTGCAGCTTGTCTCAACAGGATCTGGAGAGGGAAGACTAATGATCTTGTTTATCTTCTCTCGTGTAAAGCCCATATTGCATAGGAAAATAATATAATCAGTAGATTTTATGTCGTAGACTAGTCCTGGATCAACTGCTTTTGTAGGGTCTAAGTTGCCAGCACCCATGTCGAAGTTATCCGCTACTTTCATTGATCCACCAGCAAGAATACTGTCCATGGTTGTATCCAGAGTATTTGCTGTATGCAAAAGCGCACAGAAAAATTAGATCACTGCATGTCCATAAAGCTAGCAGCAGATATAATTAAAGTCAAAATTAAAGATGACATAGATCGTCTAATACTCGCTTAGGTCTGCGGCGGTTTCATGACCTAATGCTTCAATATTTGCATATAATTAAATTTGTTGAAATGACTAAATAATTAAAGTTGGTTATCGCAATTTTATTTGTCACCTGTTGTCATGAGAGCAGACCTAATGGCAGCAGGAGACCAGTTTGGATGTGCTGATTTGATAAGCGCTGCAACACCGGCTACATGAGGGCATGCCATTGATGTTCCTGACTGAAAATTCCATCTCACAGAACGTCCGTCGCTGGATGATGACGACGGTGGAGTTTCGGGAGGCCATGCTGCTAAAATGTTTACTCCTGGAGCACTAATGTCTGGCTGTTGAATGTCAAATTAATTTGAATCACACATAACTAGTAAACTAGTTTAGATATTGCTTATGAAATTGGAGGATTTATACCTTGAGAATGTCGGGTGTTATTGAGCTTGGCCCTCTAGACGAAAAATATGCAATTGTGGGCGCAGGTGCCTTGCCAATGACTGTTTTACTTGGTTCTATCTGCACTTTTGGGAGCCTTCACATTGATCCAACATTTTTCGAGTCAATTAGATCCAATACGGGTGCAACCGTTATACTTGAGATTTATCCTAGAGGATAATTAAAAAAGAAAAGAAAAAGAAAACCCAAATGAATAAAAGTACTTTCATCTCATTGCAATGATTATACCTGGGAGATTCAGCAAGAAAATACTTAATTTTAGTCCCTTCTTCCAAATTGACAAGGACTGTAGGAACTACATCAATATCAGGTAATTGCCTTGACATAGGTTCCACAAAGATCAATCCCGTTGCATTCACTGCCTTCGCTGCTGTAGCTGCTTCTAGACTTAATGTTGGTCCTATTGTAGAGAAGCAGAGCACAATCCTTCCTGCACCTGATTTTGATGGCTTAATATAGTCTATCTTGCAGATCCTGGAGAAGTATTTAGAGGGTAAGTAACACTACTAGTCATGTACCACAACTTAACCAAGATATTTAAAGAGGGAAAGAGAAATCACCCATTGTAAAAGTATGTGCTTGCATCTGCCAATTTTGCCTTTATTTGTGTGGTAATTAAGCTTTCTCCCTGTACAAATAGAAAAACACCACAAAGAATCTGTGAAAGTGGTTGGAAATATTATCATCCGAAAATTTATAAATCTAAAACAGTAGCTAGCAGCTAGTGGATAACGAGAAAGAAAAAGAAAAAGAAAAAGAAAAGAAATCACAAAATAAGATTTCTTGCCCCAGAGCGGGTGCAGCAGCAGCAGCTAGTTATACCGTGTAAAGATTATCACCAATGATTATTTTTGTGGGGAATATTCTATCAACTGATGAAGCGGCAACGCAAATGGACCATGGTTCAACATTTCCAACAAGATATGGTTCGGGTGACACATCATAGTTTCCAGCGGAGAATACAACTGTTACACCGAGCTGCATGGCATGGAACGAACCAATACTTGAGCTGTCTTTGAAGAAGGGAGCCAGTGGCGGAATTGGACCAAAGGAGGCCGAGATAATGTGAACTCCATCATGCAAAGCGTCATCAAAAGCTGCCATTATATCTGCTTCTGAGCACCTTCCATAATATTCTATGTTCCAGCATACTTTGTAAACCGCCAAACGTGCCCTTGGAGCACCACCCCTGGCAGTGCCCTTTCCTAAGTCAAAGAAACTTGCATCTTCCACTACGGACCCTACTGCTGTTGAAGCTGTGTGTGTTCCATGGCCAACAAAATCCCGAGGTGATTGATACTCAAAGTTCTCTGTTGTATTAAGTGGTCCATATTCTTGTTCAAAACCTTTCAGGTAGTAACGAGCACCAATTAACTTGTTGCTGCATGCTGTTGCAGGGTCGAACCTCTCCCCCTCAACACACTCCCCCTTCCAAGTTGATGGAATAGGACCGATGCTTGGATCTTCCTCGAAACTTTCAGATTCTGGCCATACGCCTATATATCACAAACGGAGCCGCATGCATAGAAATATAAGTTGAACACTCACGTTTTAAGTTTTCTTATTTGTTCATTTTAGTATATAAATTATGATCTGAGATTTAGGAGTATAATAAGGTTCAATGCGGTTAATAGAGGTGATAAAAAACCGTGTCACCTACCCCTCCCTCACTTAACTCCATTAGAAACGGCGCGGTGAAAATCAAACTTATGCACTCGCAGTCATATGAAAAAATTATTTCACCTGACAGTTTATTAAGTGAAGGCTCATTTGATAATTTTTGTATTTCTTTAACATATTTCTTATGCAATTTTTTTTTTGGATTTGAAGCATGATCAATATTGCACAAATCCATTTTTTTTATTTTACCTTGCGCTGTATGAAACAAGCCTATTTTTAATTACATATGTATTGAATCTTTATTGTACAAAGAGTTGCAAGTATATTTCTTCAGCTGGGATTTGCAATCTAACTAAACCGTTATTTTATATATATTAATCCTTAAAAACTATGCTACTTCTTGTGCTAAAAATTAAGAACTTCGGTGATATTTTTTCCCCTTTCATGGGAATTTACAGTTTCAATCGAGGTTACCCTAAGACAAAGTAATATTAAGTTTGAAGTGAAAATTTTATATTGAAATCAAAATCACACCCCGTTAAATCCGGAGTAAAAGGGTATGGGCGAGGACAACAAAGACGCTATTTTTTGATTTGAACGCGTGACAATAAAATATAAAAATATTTTCAGTCACAGCTATTTTTTCATTTAAATTATCCTATTTTCCCAGTATAGCAATCAAATTTCGGGGAGCATGTTCTTAACCAAGTAGTGAGCTGGGCTTAAAATTGATTAAGTAGTACCAGATGCCGAGCTCAGTTTATAGGATCAGTATGTTAATTGTAGAAACTAAAACGAGGTGAAACACTGGTTACTGATGGCAATACCTGTGTCGAATACCCCAACAATGATGTCTTCGCCATAAATTAGCTGCAATGGAGTCACTTCACTATTGTCCAACGTAAGGTCCAAGAAGTCCCAGCTTCTTGTTGTGTGTGACTGTGATGACTGGCTCCTGAAAACTGACACCACTTCTTGCATATCTGCAAGTTTGGAACTTAAATTGTTATTTTTTTTTTTTTTTGGTAGATAACTTAAATTGTTATTTTAATAATAAATATGTTAACCGTAAGCCTTCCACTTGTACCAAAAAATAAATTAAATATGCTAATCAAAGTTATTATCAACATTAAGTAGGGAATGGTAGCAGGAAAATTTGCTATATAAGTTCAGTACTAGCTAGTGTGGCTGCTTGGGTTGGATTGAGCATTGCTGAAAACCCTGAGAGACCATACTTGTAGCTATAGAGAATCGAACGTTCCGCATCTTTTTCACTGAAATGCAGCGGGTGCAACAAGAGAAATGAGTTTAAGTAATGTCTGCAAAGAAAGCATCTGGAGCTGGATATATGAAATATATTTAAAGTGACCATGTGAACACAGTAGATAGAAGTTGAAGGTGGTAACGAAATGTGAGGCCGGGATCGCTAATATGGTTGAGTCCCAAATATACTATATAGACCTGTATGTTAAAAAAATAAATAAATAAATAAAAATAATTAGATATTTAAGAAAAGATATGTTGTTATTAGGGAAGTGGCAAAAACATGCTGAAACACTAGGTGATATTAATTTTACTTGTGGAGCTGACGTTGATTGAACAAAATAAATCGACCGTGAGAGAAATAGACCCCAGAAACACTGAAAATAAGCAGCCATTAATTATGCCTTGGAAGAATCACATGGTATGATGGTATTATATAATGTTATACTAAGGGTTGACTTTTCAAATCTCAAAGACTGACTCAACAGTATTGTTGTAAATGCGTGCATTCCAAGTATTTCAAAGCTGGAATAGCACTGAGATGTACCGCATCGTGGTTCCATAATGATATATTCTCTTCAAAGCTAGCCAGCTGAAGAGAAGACAATCAACCTCCCGCGCTTTTCCCGAGTTATCTTCCATTGATTCTTTTTCCTTATGTAATTACTTCTGTTTTATGTGGTACCTATAAGTATAACCGTAAACTTTCCGAAGTAGAATGCTGAAGAAACTACCATGACATCATAGTTACCATGAATACTATAAAGGAAAGTACTGCATGTGCTCTTCATCATTCTTTATATAAAAACATCACCCCTTACTTTTTAAAAACTAATAAACATTATGCATGGCCTTAATTATTAGCGACTAGAAGCACATTTCTGATACAAACGCAAAGTAAAATGAATTTGCCCTTTATCATTCTTTATATAAAACCACAACCTGTTTACCATGTTTCTTTTTTACTTGGTATTTATTTATCAAGCTACACTACCTCATTATATACATAAAACTCGTTTCTGATATGTACATTTTAAAAACGGTACTAGTGAAAACTTGGACAGTAGTCCTATATATAATTTTATGGGAAAAGTGTGTGTCATTTTAAAGGATGTAAAGTTGTATCATTTTAAGAGAGAGAAAGAGATAGATAAAGGAGGAGAGAGAGTTGACAAAAAAAAATAAAGGTGTGGGTCCCACCTCTTTGTGAGAGTGAAATGATATAAGTTGTGTCATTTAAAAGGATAAACATTTTTCCCTAATTTTATAGGATCAATTAATCAACTGCTTCTTTACTTATTTTACCCTGGCTTAATGTACATTTTAAAAACAGTACTAGCAATGTTATAAAATAAAGGTCACCACATGAAATTCAACTACTGAAGGTTGGAAGTTATAATTCAAGTTCAAAGTAGGTCAACATGAGAACGAAATACAGAATCTTCTTTGTAAGACTGTAGTCCTATATATAGTTGTATAGGATCAATTAATCAACTGCTTCAATAATTATTTTACCCTGGCTTAATGACTTTATTTGGGTGGTTGAGAACTCATTCGAGTCTAACCTAACTCTACATAATCTTCTGAGTATAATAAGTATATATCTAGTTAGCTAGCTAGTAAGCAGGATATCCAAGTATTAGCCCCAGCTACAGAGATGTTTGCTTGAGTAGATTTTATATCGGTCACTGCCCTTTAGCAAAGTATTCTTAATTATGAGTCATACTTCTATAATTAACTTTATAACTTAGCTATCTAGGAGTACTAGGTTCAGTAATCTCAGTACATAAACATTGGCATACTAGGTTTTCCTTTTCTTCCCCAAGAAAAAAAGGGTCTAAGGACTAGGCTTGGACAATGGAATCATTGCTTAACTAAATTCCTCCTAACAATTTGCTTAAAATGATTTTAACCTATTGCGTGTTCGGGGGTTTACAATCAAAACCCGAGACTTGTGAAATACGCTTTACCATCACAAATTTGAATTCAAATCATGAAAGATTTTCTATATGAATGCTTGAAAACTTGCTTTGTCATTTGCCATCAGTATTCAGACGGAGCTTTCTATTATTGCTTCTTCATGTATAATAATTTGATTAGATAAAGTAGGCGCCAGTTTGCTTTGACAAGCAGAAATTTCAAGTACAACAAAGGGATTTATGTTTCTTGATCAGGTATTTTAATTGTCATGGTTAAATTCCTTTAACCTTCTAACATGAGGTATACTTAATTATACTAAGTAGGGGTGTTCATCAACCGATCCAAACCGATTCCAACAGCGGTGACCGAACCGAAAAACCGAAAATCGAATAAACCGAAAACTAAAAATTGAAAAACCGAAAAAAACCGCAAATTTTAATTGGATTGGATTGGTTGATGACAACCGATCAATCCAAACCGATCCAATATATTAATTTCCTCTATCTATTTGGGCCTTTCCTCAATCATAGTCCAAAAATTTCTAAGCCCAAGACTCATTAACCCATCAACTAAATCAAAGAAAAAACCTAATTACATCTCATCAATAAAATTTTATCTGTGTAGAGGTTCATATCTCATTGCTAAAAAAAAATTATATTATTGTTTGCTGATGCTTTTATATTTCAAAAAAAATAAATTTACAAAGCCAATTGTTATGGACCCGTATAATGGGCCCATTAAGTAGCAAGCCCAACAAGGGGCAATCCAAGATATGGATTGATACCAATAAAGGATAGATATCCAATAAGGATACTAATCCTAATACGACAGCATAACAATCAGGCCTGGACCCTCATCAGAGGAACCTAAGGCCCATCCACACTACCCACAGGTAACCTCTATAAATACAAAGATAAACCCTAAAGGTACGTACGCTCTCTCTCTTACTGTTATGATGTCACTGTGCGCACACACACACCCCATTGGCTAATGCCGTTATAGTATTCTGTGCACAGTGATCTGCTTGACTCAAGGGTATCTCCTTCATAGATACCTTGGAGAGGGCACTAGATCTAATATCAACGTACTAGCCTATTGGGCTAGACATCTCTGTTTCAAAGACAGAACATTGGCACCGTCTGTGGGGAATTCTTCTTTGAATTTGAAGTTCCCACCAAATCGGAGAAGGAATGGCAATTCAGACGAGGAGCAGTAGCCAGCAGCCACCCTCGAACCGGAATCAACCATTGGATCCAGTCCTGGAAGAGGTATACAAGCCTCCGAACCAGATTGGAAATAACGTGGATTACGACCACGTCCAGGTCGAAGACGATGTCTCAGATACCGCTTCCACTCTAGCGCGTCGAGATAGGGGGCTGGGGCGAACGTAGCTCCAACAAGAACCAACCCTTCCCAGCATCCTGGAGATCTGGCTGCGTGTATCGCTCAATCGGCTAATCCGGATACTCGGTTGGCCAACAACGCGTTCGCTGCAATCATGGAACGAATAACGAGAATGAATTTATCTCCATGCTGGCAAGTCACCAACGTGGACTCAGCTAAAGAATGACAACAATGCAGGAATAACATGGGCCATTGCCCGGGATAGAAGAACGCGGCGAACCTCTACTTGACATCCCGGACGCACACCGAGACTTGCCACCACGACAAGCTCCTAGCATAGCTTCCTACTATTCTCCTTCGGTCTTAAGGATTCCCCAAAGCCAGAAACGAACACCAGGGGAAAGACTTTTCAAAAATCAGACAAAGCTAAAGAAAGAGAACTTTTTCCCCGTTCGGTCAAGAAAAAGGCTAAGTATCAAGTGCAAAGGGAAGGTAAACAAGACGACATGGCGCTAATCACCAGAACAACAAATTCTGAAGAAAAAAAAAGTGCTGAGTGTCAACAAGAAGTTCACAGATATGCAAGCTATCTACAGATTCTAGAAAAAAGGCCAGAAAACAAAGAAGAAACTATGCAACTTCACAGTTATAATACTGAAAAACAAATGCCAAAATGCAGAATCTTCGAATAGAAGCAATAAAAAGGAGATAATGTGGACGTACCTCTTGAAGTAATGAAACTGAAGTGTCAAAATGCAGACGAAGAAAGGCTGACGCAAACAATGGAATAATGCTGATGCCCAATGCTCAGAAGTAAAACGAAACCATGTAAGAGGAAAATAGGACTTATATAGGCAAGACCAAGACCACTAAGTGGCGCATAGCAGAGGTCAAGGCTGTTTAGGTCATTTTTCCCTCGAATCATAACTGCCAGATCGTGGGTGGAAACCGCAGTTATCATGCGCGGAAACCACAGCATGGAGAAAGCCAAGGGGCAAGGGCATTACTACCAATTTACCCCAAAAAAACAATGATTAGACAACTGAAACGATGCTGCAATAAATGCACACGAAACGCAACGACGGCATAAGAACGGCTGCAGCATGCTAAAGCACGCGGGCTGGAACACGTGGCGTAACGCAATGAGTATAATTCAAAAACCAACATATGAGACAAGGTGTATATGAACATACAGCTGTTCACCGAGTTCGAAGCGGACGCTGGGGTAATAGTCAACTCACGGTTATTCCAGCACAGCTTCTACCCGGTTACACAACGAAATCTTAGACGGATTCCTCAACAACCCGTCCAAGGAAGCAACAGGCATACATGCATGCCCCAGTAACCCGGGTAAAATGCCGACGTTGGGAGCAGTTCAAGCAGTCGAATCGCGACTCTTCAAACGAGTCCTCTGCTTGACTACTTCGTGAAAATGCCAACGGGATCATGCACAACCCGTCGACCAAATAAATATGCAGATGCAGCACGAGATGAGGAATACCGCTTGGGGGCAACCCGCAAGTGGGATTAAAACAACTCAAGTGTATTCCTAACTCGGAGTAGCAATATGGTTGATGCTCAACCAGCAAGGCAACACGAGGGAAATGGCGATGCACATAACGAAGGTCAAGAACTCGAAAGCAATACGTATGCCGACATTAGGAGGCAACCTGACAGCTTGAGATTGTACCCAGCCCAAACAGTGGGGTAAATATCTCACCGGGTTGATGCTCAACCCGTCGACATAAGGGGGCAGGGGAAAAAATTCCCTCATAAGCGGAGCATGCAAGTCTATAGAAACGCAAAAACATTCAGGGGTAAAAACCTGGAGAGATGCACTCATAAGTTCATCCCGACTACCCGGACACCCAGGTAGCCGGGCTGAGGGGCAACTGTTATGGACCTGTATAATGGGCCCATTAAGTAGCAAGCCCAACAAGGGGCAATCCAAGATATGGATTGATACCGATAAAGGATAGATATTCGATAAGGATACTAATGCTAATACGACAGCATAGCAATCAGGCCTGGACCCTCATCAGAGGAACCAAAGGCCCATCCACACTACCTATAGGTAACCTCTATAAATACAAAGGTAAACCCTAAAGGTACATACGCTCTCTCTCTTACTGTTATGTTGTCACTGTGCGCGCACACACACCCCATTGGCTAACGTCGTTATAGTATTCTGTGCACCATGATCTGCTTGACTCAAGGGTATTATCCCCTTCATAGATACCTTGGAGAGGGCACTAGATCCAATATCAACGTACTAGCCTATTGGGCTAGACATCTCTGTTTCAAGGACAGAACACCAATATATGCAAAAGATGTTATTTGCACTATAATTACGAAACAAATTTTAGGATTTTTTAAAAACCGAAAACCGATCCAATCCAAACCGGAAAAAATTGGATTGGATCGGATCGGATTTGAAAAAAAATGCAAACCGAATGGATGATTACGTGATTAAATCGAAGGGATTGGATCTAATGATTTTTGCTTACAAAATCGATCCAATCCAGACCGCGAACACCCCTACTAGTACTAAGGAAGATTCATACTATTAAAGCTTAAATATATATATTTTTAAATGAATCTTGAACTGGTGATATCAGAGTTAGAGAGGAGATAGACAAAAGATATATTCTTCACTATTCCTTGAAGTCAAAGAAAGTTCCTTGTGTCCTAATAACCCAGAAAATTAATTGACTAATCTCTACATATTGCTTGTTCTACCTTTTATAATTTTAGTATGCTCGGTAGAGTGCAAATATATAAATAGAAGAGAAGCAATACGATTATGTTTAAGGCAAAGGTACTTCTGCTGTCCAGAACAAAGAGTTTATCTGAAAACGACTTCTTCTTGCTAAGCTTTCTTGTCCAAAAAGTAAACCATCCAACCCAATTTATACACAAAATGACCCAATTTTCCACCAAGTAAAGTGTTCACACTTCCTCCAAAGCTTGATCGAATATCAAGTAGTTACTTGACTTCAAGTCTCTTTGTAAGTCTCTTGCAAACTAGGTTTTTCAACCCAACGATGCTTCCAATAAGTCCTCCTCTATCAATTGGTTACGTTGCTCAACTCCATACACAAATCACCCTAGAATACATGGAGGAGAAGTCTCAAGCTCTTCAAAAATCCCAAAAACTCCCAAAAACCCAATTTTTTTGAGGAAAATAATCTCTCTCTCTGCAGTGACCCCCACTAAAAAATAAGAGAAGAAATATGTTCCTCTCAAGATTCCACAACAAATTGGGCTTTGAAATCACTCAAAAGTAATATATATCCTAGTTAAATTTTTTGGATACAATGGTAGGACTTAAATATATAACCTAATATAAACTACCTAATTAAATAAACATATATCCTAGTTAAATTTTTCCATGTCAATGACCCCGCTTACCAACAATTAATTAATTTAACAAAAGGAGGTTATATATGCTACTGCATAATTATAAACCACGTTCGAGAAAATTGGACTGACAAAAAGAAATTAAATAATTAAAATAAGATTAAATATTTAAATTCATCATCTAAAGATAATATGTGAAATATTATTTTAAATTTTAAACAGTTTAAATACTGATTTGATTCCTTAGTATTAAAAATAAGCTTCAATTTTAAAACTAACTTGATATTGAAATATATATCGAGGGATATATTACACTTTTTTTTTTTTTTTTGGTATCCTGATATATTACTCTTCTTCTTAAACATAAGAAACCAAATTGATATTCAATAATTCTGAAAAATAAGTTGATATATTGGATATATTTGGAGGATGAATTTGAGTATTTATTTTTAAAAATAATGAAATAGAAAATCGTTTTATTTACTGTTAATTATTATTATTTATTTTAAGTAAAAATTGAAGAAGAAGAAACAGGGAAATGAGGTAAGAGGCGGTTGAGATTGGACGGTCCTTTTATGGTAAGAGTGGAAGATTTTCTCGCACCCAAATTCTATCATGCGTCATCGTTTGCTGCAACAGACAAAACCCACAATCCTGCATAAATTCTGAAATCGAAAATGGCTATGGCTATGGCTATGACTTTGGTAGGTTTTTAGTCTCAATCTCAAAACTGGACAATTTTGCTGATAATATTTTTTTATTGTGCACCTTTAATATAAATTTAATTGTTTATATTGCGTGTCAAATATGATCATGTTGCTTTGCAGCTTCTGCGATCGTTTCCTTTCCTTGCACTATTCATCGTCAACGATACACGAGTATCTATCTAACTTGTATTGTATTTGTATATGCGGGGGGTGACGTGTTTTCGTCTTGTCAAACAACGAATTTATCATCGCTTCCAGATCCTTCTTTTAATTCTCTGAATTTTAGTTTTTGCTTATCAATTTCTCACCTGTCGACTGGAGGCATGTTTTTGCTGTTCATAAACCCCTCTCTCGCCTACTGCTATTTCTGTTCTTTCATCATTCTTTTGGTAAGGCGATGATTTTTTATTTTATTTTTTCCCTTTCATTTGTTTACCTGATGATGGGATCCGTGGGGATTTTAGATTTGTTTAGGTTTCTGTGTTCGCCCTTTCGGTTTTTAATTTTTTTATTGGTGCCATCGCATATCTGTCTGTATTTTGGAAGGTTCCTGAAAGAAAAAAACCTTTTCGGTTTTTTCATGGGTTTCGTTCAACCAATTATTGTCCTCGATTGCTAGAGTAATTGAAAAACCGAAAGTTTTGTTTGGGTTTTCATTTCAGCAAATTAAACGCCGGGTTGAGTTCATTGTGGGAACTCTGATGGCCTTGATTCTTCAATTTTATGTTTTTGGCTTTTGTTTCAAAGTTGTAGTGGCTTGATGTTTCAGGAATCAAGGAATCAAGCATCGTGATTTTTGGAGGACAAATTTTTAAACAGAACATTATGGAGGAAGCAATGGCAGCAAGGTATTGGTGTCATATGTGCTCTCAAATGGTCAATCCCATCATGGAAGTGGAGATCAAATGCCCATTTTGTCAACATGGATTTGTTGAAGAAATGAGTAATAACACCAGCAGCAGCGAAATTCACAATACTCCGGAAGCTGATTTTGGATCCGAGAGGGCTCTCTCCCTATGGGCGCCCATCTTGCTAGGCATGATGGGTAATCCACGTCATCGTCGAAGACTGAGACGAATAGAGCTTGATGATGATTATGAAAATGGTAATCTTGACGATGTTGATGGTGTAGCACGCCATGGTGGAGAAACCGAGTATGATCGAGAGCTTGAGTCTATCCTTCAGAGGAGAAGGAGAAGCTCAGCTACCATTCTACAATTGCTCCAAGGCATTAGAGCTGGACTGGCATCTGAATCATATGAGAATACCGACAGTGATGACCATGACAGGGAAAGAGAAAGAGAGCGTGTAATCTTGATCAATCCTTTTAATCAGACTATTATTGTTCAAGGTTCTTATGATTCAAACCGGGATCAAAGTGATAATCATAGCCCCATTGGGTCTATGGGTGACTATTTCATAGGGCCTGGTTTGGATTTATTGTTGCAACATTTGGCTGATCCCAATAGGTATGGAACTCCACCAGCACAGAAGGAGGCCATTGAAGCACTGCCTACTGTGACTATCAATGAGAATTTGCAGTGTTCTGTGTGTCTGGATGATTTTGGAGTTGGTTCTGAAGCTAAAGAGATGCCTTGTAAACATAGGTTTCATAGTGGGTGTATCCTGCCCTGGCTGGAGCTTCATAGTTCTTGTCCGGTTTGCAGGTGTCAATTGCCGGTGGATGAATCTAAGCAAGACTCTGATGCGTCAAGGAACAGCAGTAATCAAAGGGAGAGTGAAAATATTGGACATGAAGATGCTGAAGAAGGAGATAGTGAAGGGAGAAATGCAAGTGGGTTTGGAAGATTCTCATTTCTATGGCCTTTCAATGGATTATTTTCTTCATCAAACTCTTCGTCATCTTCTAATCCCAATACCAACGGAAATGGTACTCAATTAGAAGACAACTGAGTATTAGTGCATCTCTGTTGTGTTATTCACATGCTGCCTTGCTTATGTACATAGTGCGCTGCCAATTAAAGGATCCAATGTGGAGAGAACAAGTCATGATTGTTAACGTGGCTTTGTTTTTGCTAAATTTTTATGCTTCCTAGAATTTCAGGTGTTGCTACATTTCCTTCAAAATTTACCACCGAACTTGGTAGGCGTAATATTCATTGGTGGTTTTATACTTTTATTTTTCCGTCTTTCTAATTTGTACAACATTGATATATACTTATATGTTAAGCATGGCTTTGAAATACTCAACTTGTAAATTTAAATTTCTAGGCCATCGTTCATGTTTAATATTGGTGTAGCCGTGTAGGACCTGTTGCACGCTTGAATTTAACAATGGTTCAAAATCAAACTCATTGATGAATGATATGAGCATGGGCATGCGGTATCTTTCATCTTTCACCTGGGGAGATGAGCCGAACCGATTACATCATACTACGGAAGTATTTAACATATTCTGTTTTTATTTTCTACTGCTTATCTGCCAACCTTTTCGTGGTTAAAAAATATTCAGTTATGAACTATTAACACACAAAACAATTATCCACCAAATGTTGTATAATAATAAGCAATTACTAACCCAACAAATCAATTTAACTGGTTCTATGCTTAATATATAGTCAGCCTAAATAGCGTTAACTTAGTCTTGCTTAACACACCCAACACGTATCAAATTTCAACAACTTGAGAACTTCAAAATCCATAACTAAGCCAGTTTTTGGTTAACCAAAAACCTTTTATGATATCTTAGTAAGCAGAATGAGTTCGCCATAACAACTAACAAGACAAATAACAAACAGTAGCGGAAATTCGTGCTCCTAGTAATTGGAGATTTTGCATCCAATGAAGATTTGAAAAGGCATATTTTCGGGCATAATGAGACTTCTTCCTCATGATCTCAAAAATTTGGCCAGAACATTTGAAGAACTCCTTTTAATGGTTGATCATTTCACAGTCAAGATTTTGATGACAGAGGCAGTGCCGACACGGTGCAAAACCACAACAGAATCCCCAATTTTGCAGTGACCCTTTGCCCTGGCATGTTGAATGGCGTACTCTATTGCCTCTTCTGTTGTTTCTGCATGAGAAGCTCTAGCAGATGCTGCGCTTAATATTGGAACCAACCCACGAAATATCAGGCTATGCCTTGCAGGGGCCTCATCACTGCATGACCAGTCAAAGGTATCAGTCTTAATCTCGGGGACAACTACAGAAAGAATTGGCATGCTAGGCCTGTATTTAGCCACCAGTTTTGCAGTACTTCCTCCTCTAGTTAGAACCAATATAAGAGCTGCTTTAGATGAATTGGCTGTTCTAACAGCACAAGAAGCTAGACTCTCTAGTGGGCTCATGGGTACTGGTGAGTGCTCCATAATCCTTTTAAATACATCTCCATAGTCTAGGGCGCTCTCTGCTTCAACGCATATTTTAGCCATGGTTCGAACAGCAAGTTCAGGATAAGCACCAGCAGCTGTTTCACCACTAAGCATCACACAGTCTGTTCCATCAAGAACTGCATTGGCAACATCAGTAGCTTCAGCTCTTGTTGGCCTGGGAGATTTGATCATTGACTCCAACATCTGGGTTGCTGTCACAACTGGTTTTCCTTGAATATTGCATTTATAAATCATCACTTTCTGTGCGAGAAATATTTTCTCGATTGGAATTTCCATTCCAAGGTCACCACGTGCCACCATAAATGCATCTGTATTGGCAAGTATGTCATCAAAATTTGCAACCCCTTCTTGGTTTTCAACCTGCCATAAACATGAAGAAGTAACAAAGAGAAAAGCAACTAGAAACAAGTAATTATATATAACAATAGAAATGGAAAATATCAGTAGTTCATAAGATAGTTTCTTTAAAGAACATTCCAACTCTTTTTTTTTTTAATGATGTAATAAGCCTTTTGCAAATGCAAGGTAACGCTGCCTACTATGGATCCTTCCCCGGATCCTGCAAAGAACAAGAGCTTTGTAGTATTAAATTACCCTTATATGATGTCCAGTGCCATATATTGATGTGGATACAAAAGGCATATTATACTCGACGAAATCAACAAGCTCCAAACTTTGTTAAAGGGAGACAAAGTGGAAGGTCTGGGGAGGGGGAGTATCAACACTTATACAGAACAAAGAAAATCCCCATGCAATTTTTTACCAGATCTAGAATCATTATTCTTTTCCACGAAAAAAGATCATACCTTAGACATGAGAAGAATGTTCTTGGCATGCTTTCCCAGCAGTTTCCGAACTTCGACCAGGTCTGAACCTTTTCGAACAAAAGAAAGAGCAATCATGTCAATTTTATTGGGTACTCCCCAGGCCAAGATATCTTCTTTGTCTTTGTCTGTCAATGTTGGGAGATCCACTATCACTCCAGGAAGATTAACATTTTTTCTCTCGCCAAGAACAGCAGAGTTCTCACAGCGGCATCGAACAAAACCCAATTTTTTGTCACATGATAAAACGGAAAATGAAATTGTGCCATCTGAGCAGAGTATCACACTCCCAGGCTTCACATCTTCAGCCAACTTTTTGTAGCTCATAGAGATCATATTCTCATCCCCCTTAATGCTATAGTCAGTTGAAATGGTTATTTCCTGACCCTGTTTCAGTTGGATAGGTTTGCCGTCCTTCAGAAATCCAGTTCGAATCTCTGGCCCCTAAAACATCCGAGATAAAATGAAAGATAAGGAACTTCATGATGTTTGTTTGACTTTAAGTAAAGAGAAATGCTTTAAATGTATCAACAATCAATTCAACCCAAATGCTTTATATTTATATTTTATATTGTATTTGTAACATTTCCCGATATGCAAATGCTTACGTACCTATGTTAAATTTTTTTACAATATTTATTACAATAATTATTAGAAGTAACACAATGATAATAAAACGTTGCAAAGAGGATGCAAACAAGCCTGCGTAGATTTACACCAGGGCACAATTCAGATAATATCTCTTAAGAATATCAGATGCAACTGGCAAATCGTGATATAACATGAAGACACAAATAGAAAGACGGAAAAAAATAAAATCATGTTAGGCAACTGCAGAACTCCATATAATAAAACATGTAAAATAGGAAACTTAAATTGCAAAATAATCAGATTCTGTCATGATTAAATTGAGCAGGAAAACATACCAAATTCTGGAAACTCCAAAAGAAAAATAGACACAAAAGCCTGAAGAGAATATGTACTAAAAATGCTTTAACTCTTTAAATTGTGATAAGATGTTTGGTATTTTTCTTTTGTAAAATACCAAACATTTACAGCATATTAGATCAAAATCATTAGCCTATTCACAAGTGAATCACTGTAGTTGAGTAAGGACCGTTTTCATATGCTGAAATCGATCATGTCAATTACGTGAAAATACTGCACCAGTAGTGTCATAATAATTGATAGAAATGGACAACAAAAAGTTAAATAAAACAGAAAATTAGGGAAAGATGATAGAGAAGAAAGATCCGTATGTCCATTCCATGTGGATGGATATAAGTGAATGAGTGAAATTTAAAAGTGAGAATATAAATAAGGAATGCCAGTGCAAATGCAGGTAGGTAACTACCTTAGTATCGAGCATGACAGCGCAAAGAATACCGGTATTTTCCATGGCTGCCTTAAGGTTGTCGAGGGTTTCCTGGTGATACTCATGGGATCCATGAGAAAAGTTGAAACGAGCAACGTTCATGCCCGAACGCAGAAGCTTCTCGATCATGGGCGGAGACCTAGATGCCGGTCCAAGCGTGCAAACGATCTTTGTTTTGGGCCTCTTCTCCATCACCACCTCCCCGTTTTCGTGGAGCGCCATCTTTAGAATTAGATCGTCAATTCAAGAAACAAAACTCAGAAATTTGATTGCAGCCGTGATTTGAAGAAACAAACTAGTTTATTAATGTAACAAGAACGATCCAGCCTCCGCTTTTATAGTTCAAAATTTTATGATATTTATTATAGGTTTTAATGTTTTATAAGTTATCTTAGTTGACTCTAAAAAATATGTTATTTGGAAGTGAAACATTAAAAAATTATAATAAAGAAAATTATTATAATTCTTAAATAAATTATAATTATAAAAATACTTTAATTTTTGCTACAAATTATATTAAAGAAACATTAACCGTTTGTTCCTTTATTGAAGGTCACTGATTTAATGTTGTATACATATTTGTGTTGCTTTCCTTTATTAAGCCCATATTTGTGACTTAGTTGGATAATTTTAATTTTTTTACCATAATACTATCAAACTCGTGTTAATATCTTTGACAGTTTTACAAAACTCGTGAGGAAAGGTATCTGCTTGATCTTCAAAGGGTCCAAAGCCCACAGTTGAGGCACAACACATCAAAATTAAAAAAGAGATACTTGACAAGAAGCGCAACACTGTCCCTAAGGTCACCTACTTTATCCTTATACTATCACTACAAAAAAGTCGAGTTTGGGGACGTTATGTTAACCACATTTAAATTTAATGTCGCAAAACCTTTAAAATTTCCATTTTACTACACATTCAATGTGGCAATGTAACTCGTGACAAAGAAAAGATATCTTTTTTATACTCCCCCGTAAAGTCCCTTCCTTATTGCAATCATTCTTTTTCTCTGTCTTTGGGATTGGAATTAGATCTCACTTTCTCTCTCTACAAATAAAACAAAAAATCCCCCTTCATTTTTCTATTCTCATTTCTGTTCCTATTCCATTTTTCTAAATTCACACATAATGCCTACTCTCCACAAATTCAAGTTCTTAGCCACCCAATGTTCCGTCGCAGATAGCCCCTCCCACCAGCCTTTCATCCACCTCCGTCGCCGCAGGTCCCTCTGCATGTTCCTCGTTCTCCCCCTCGACCGCCGCCATTTCCATCCCTTTCCCCAAGATCCGCTCGAAATAAATCTCAAGGATCTTTAGATCTCAATAGTTATACAGAGTGAAAGTGTGAGATCTGAATTGAAACAAAGGTAACGAAGCTCGAAACCCTACTCTGTGTGCTTCGCGAGCGTTGAAGCTCATTTTCTTCTTTATCCTTCTCTGTCGATTCGTGTCTGGTTCTTCTATTTTTTTTGGGACTATAGAGGGAAAAGGACTATTAGTTCTAGGTTGTTCATATCTCTGTGTTTTGTTCGTTTCCCATTCTATTAAACCCTAGGTACAATTTCTAGGGTTTGAGGTTTGGTGAAGGTTGAAGATTGAGGGGAAAAGAATTAGGATTTTGAATGTATGGCTTCGGGGCCTATAGTTGGAGATTATGGAGTTAGAAAGATATAGAGATGACCACTTCCACAGGTTAGTTTATTTTAATTATAATTTGTAAGATGCAAATCGCTTGTGTTAAATCCTTCTGCAACATGGTTGTGCTTGTGACTTCATAATTCTTAAGATTCAAATTGCTTTATTTCTCTTTTCTTCAGGGATGGCTTATGTTCCACATGGAAATGCAAATTGCAGCTTTTTATGCCAAAAATATGCAATTTCCTATATGGGTATTTCTGCTTTGCCCTTCTTGCAACCTCGATTAAGAGCTTTAACAACTTTTAAGAGAGGTAAATTAACTACTCATTTACTTGTATAATTTTTGTTGGCTTCATCGCACTTGTTGATTAATATAGTAAGCTTCATCAGTGGTGTAGAGTTCTTTCAATTTAACTCAAATTTGACAAACTGTTCACTATTAATATTATTTATTCTATTTCTCTGCTTACAAATAAGATACTTCTTCATTAGTTTGGTTTCATTAATTTTTCTGCTAAATGTTCAGGAACAATCGTTCCCCAGTGCTTAAATGGAAAGAGGAATTTTACTTTACCAGAAAAGAGATTTAGTGGAAAGTTTTTAAAGAAAGCGAGCTTCTCTATCTTTAGAAGTAGTAGCTCTTCAAACTCTACTGGCACTACGGACGACCACTCTGATAAGACAAAGGAACGTATGAGCGAATACTAATGTGATGATTTTGTATGATACTCTTGGCTAAATGTGGACAAGCTACCATGTATCAACTAGATTTATGGCTTGATCTAGTAGCCGCCCAACCACTTCCACAGGTTAGTTTATTTTAATTATAATTAAATAGCAAACCAATTCTGACATTAATAGATCAATTTTGGAATAAAGGTGCAGAGGGAGGTGCTAATATTCCCTATCCCGATTTAACCCTTTTCTGTAAAATAAAGGAAACCATCCTTTTACTTATCCAATGATCAAACCTATGCCCCAAGCTGCATTGAAATGAAACCAGATCCCATTACGATAGGAGACAAAGGATAGGGAGGCTTACAATTGAGAGTCCTAGAAACACTTTAATCTTTATTAACTAAACTAATCCTGCTGAGACATTAGACCATTTTAATTTTTAAGTTTGCAAAAAAAAAAAAAAAATGGTGAAAAATTGCAAAATTAATTATATATCAATCACGATTAACATGAACAAGTAATATGACATCATGTGTAAATTTTAGGTGGAAACGAGAGTGAAGAAATCGAAAGCCAACGACTTGACAACTAATAGTTTGTTTGTATCATGATGATCTGTCATTGGCAATAAGTAAAATTTTCTTGCCGGGCTATTTATTTAAGACAGTTAGGTAAGGTGTAGAAGTACATCACATGCTATGCAAAGATAACACATTTATAGGCATTTTGTGGAATGGAAAGGAAAAGGTGGAAATGACGGACCATGCTGCCGAAAGCGCATAGAAAAGTGGCTAAACAGAAAGTAAGGATTTCACAAAAGAGTAACTCTCCGGTTCTCAATTTCTAATTATCAAATAACAAAATTCAACTCCTAGAATAAGGGTCATAAGCACCCTTTTATAGACTAATTACAAATTGATTCAAAATTCAAAAATCTAAAATTCAAAAAATAATAAAACTTCCTAAAATAAATAAAAGTAATTAACATCTAAAAAATAAATAAAAAATTACAAATAAATAATTCAAAATACATCCCAAATCTTTAATCTCAAATCACGCCAAATATGTTGCTTTCCTTTTCTTCCCAATTGTCTTTTTCAACAATTGGGCCATATTTATTAGGCCACAACTCTAGTTGACTACGAGCTTCTTCAATCAATGGTTGAGCCATGTACAATGGGCCAACTGTAAGTGCATCATTCTCCTCTGCTAGGAAAAGATTCATCCTCGAATCTTGTTTATCTCCGCTGATATCAATTTCTTTGGACAAAAACTCAAATGATAAATCTTCCTCTTTTAAATCTCCATAATTTGATTTTCATCAGATTTATCATAGACTGGATTATCATAATAAACTGAATCTTCATCATAAGATGGATAATCATCATAAATGGGATAATTATCAACAATCGGATAATCATTATAAATTGGATTATCATCATAGATCGGTTCATCATCATAGATTGGATCATCATCACAAACTGGATTATGATCATAGACATGAAAGTCAGGAATCTTGATTTGCATCTCGATATCTTGAAAAGTGGACTGATTTCCAGGTCGTACTTTCCAATTCTGTCCCTGGTTTAGAATCCCCAAGGGATTGACGTCCTCTTCTTCGTCATCAGATGCGTCATCGAATTCCATTCCTTCTTCGGATTGAATGCCCAACTTTGTCCACGCAAGTCGCCGCTCCAAATATTGACTTTCTATGCTCTGCACCTCCATAAGAGTTTGCTTCAAAATTTGAATTTTCATGCATACCCGCATGAGTCGTCGCTCCAAATTTTGAATTCTCTTTCTCTGTGGCCGCACACATAGTTGCTTCAAAACTTGGATTTTCTTGTCCAACGCTTGCTCAAGTTGTTCCTTCAAATCCTGGATCCGCCTTCCGAGCTCTTCATTTTCTATGTCTCGCGGGTCAATCTGACGCAGTTGTCTATATTCTTCAGGAACGAATCCACGTTCCCTACTCTCGTGACTCCGCCGTCGTCGACCTCCACGATTCTGTTCAGCCATTGGTTGAAGGCAACCTAGTGCTCTGATACCAAATGATGTCGAAAGCGCATAGAAAAGTGGCTAAACAGGAAGTTGGGATTTCACAAAAGAGTAACCCTTCGGTTCTCAATTTCTATTATCAAAATTACAAAATTCAACCCCTAAAATAAGGGTCATAAGCACCCTTTTATAGACTAATTACAAATTGATTCAAAATTCAAAATTCTAAAATCCTAAAAATAAGGAAAATTCCTAAATTAAACATAACGACAATTAACCTCTAAAAATAAATAAATAATCACAATTAAATCATTCAAAATACTTCCCAAATCTTATATCGCAAATCACGCCAAATATGTTTCTTTCCTTTTCTTTCCAAACAAATCACAATCACATCTGCTGCTTTATTGAGACTTGGATTTAATTGTAATTTGTTATATTTTAAATCAATAAATAGAGAAAAAGTCTATCAATATGCAATTCTTTGTATTATTATGAAAATATAAAAAATGTTATAAAATTTGTGTAAAAATAACAGTATTCATATTGTTATTTTAATAATAATATTAACGATGAATCTACTCCTAATATAAATATCTAATAACAAATTATAAAAATTTAAAAAATATTTGAATAATTGACAACATATAACAATTTTTTTCCATTGTAAATTGTTTTATGAAAAATATATCAATACAGATAGTATTTGTTATTTTATGAATTTACACCACGTTATATTAGTTGTTCATGTTAATCGTGGTTGATATATAATTAATTTTGCAATTTTTCACCATTTTTTTTTTGTAAACTTAAAAATTAAAATGGTCTAATGTCTCCGCATGATTAGTTTAGTTAATAAAAATTAAAGTGTTTTTCATATAAGGTGGTTCGATTCTCAGTGTGATAGGATTTTTGAACACTTGGTCATGGTGACTGATCTCATTCAGATGTTGGTTTCAGC